CCGTTCTCACTGATATATATATATATATATATATATATAATATGTGTAAGTATATATCGTAGTGAATGAGAGAGAAAGAAGGGCGGAGTTACTTACAGCTCAAGAGAAGTGCACTCCAGGGATTGAAGTGGGAATGCAACTTCACGTGAGAGAGAGAGAGAGAGAGAGGAGAGAGAGAGAGAGAGAGAGAGAGAGAGAGAGAGAGAGATGAGAGAGAGAGGGTTGAAAGAATTAGTTATGAATAAATGCAGGTTAGGGTTTAGTAGTTTATATACACATCAGTTAGCCGCCATTAAACATCGAACAGTTCATTGATACGTAAATATGGAGTTGCTCGATGTTTATTGTTACAGAGTCAGAGATGCAGTAAGCGGTGCTGCAAGTATACGTGGGTTTTTAATGAAGCTGTAATATAAGCGGTAGATGAAAGCGGTTCTTTCTTGTGTGCGTGCGTCACTGTGTGTGACTGCTGTGTGCGTCTGTCACTGTGTGACTGTGTTTTCCTTTTGAGGAAGGAAATCAATTGGGCAGATTACGGTTTTCATCCCTCAATTTTGCACTAATTTTGTATTTGGTCCCCTATGTTTACAAAATATATTTAGCCGCTCATGTTTCAATAATTTAACTGATTTTGTCATTTTCGTCAGTTTACCATTAGTCCGTCGGTTAAGGAAATAATGGGCACACACTTGATTCTGTTAGTTTTAACGAAAAATTGATGGAATGGACTACAAATGTTGAATTTTTGAAACATGGGGCCAAATGTATTTTTTGTAAACATAGGGGGCCAAATATGAAATTAGTGTAACATTGAGGGATGAAAACTGTATTTTTTCCAAAATCAATTATTATATATATATTGTGGCGGCATTTTCTTGGAGGGCTTTTTCCCAATTTAGGCTGTATCAAACTGACGCACAAAATTTGTCCACGTCACACAAATATCATCTACTGGAATATATCAAGATTAGAATTAGGATTAAGATTACTATTAGGATTAAAATCATGATTATAATTAAAATTGGGATTAGAATTAGGATTATTATTAATATTGGTTTCAAGATTAAGAGTAAGATTATGACAAGTATCATGATAATGATCATGATTATAATTATGATTTAAGTTAGAAACATTATTGAAAAATAAATGAGGTTTGAACAACAGAAACTTCAACTGTATTTGCTTCAGCAGCATATATAAAAATTCACAATTAATATAAAAATTTACAGCCCCTTCAAAACAATGGCAACCCATAAACATACAAATCATAAGAATAAACACACACACACACACACACACACAAGTATATATGACCTAAATATAACAAAAACCGATAGAAATTAGAAACCGGAAAACGAAAATTAATCGTCGAACTTAAGTTATATATATATAGATTTGTCACTGGTCCTTCTGTAACGAGCCATTCTCCATCAACTTCAAGCTAAGAGTGTTGTACCTTTCTCGCGAGTATTGTCTCGATGCTTTTCTCCAATCCGTCCCCGCTTTCATCATCGCAGCAAACTCCTCGTAACTTATTCTCCCATCCTGCACAAATTATTAACCAATTTTCAAATTTTACGACAACTTGATAAGAAAATGTTTAAATTCGGACTCGGAAATGTGTTAACCTTGTCCGTGTCTACGTCTTGCATAATGGCAATTATAGCCTCTTCGGTAGTAGCCTCTGCCTCGTCAGCAAAGGCATCTCTCAGCTCTTCAATCTCTATATAACCTGTTTCGTTTCTATCGAAAAATTCAAATGCTTTTTGCATATTGTCGTCGTTGCCCATCTTTCTTAGGTGTACGGAAATTGCAACAAACTCTCCACAGTCAAGATACCCATCCTTATCTACATCACCCTGCATTTTCAAAAAAAAAATTAAAAAAATTGAACTTGGTTTTACCTAAACCTACGAACCAAAGGTAGAAATCGGGTTAATCGAGAACCGATAAATCGGGTTAGAAAAAGAAAGGCACTTACTGCTTCCATAAGAACTAGAAGATCAGCTTCGGGAATATGATGACCAAGCTTAAATAAACCGGTTCTCAACTCATTAATGTCAATCTTGCCCTTGTTGTTTATATCCATCAATTGAAACCCTTCCTTTATACCCGCAACTTCCTCCACCGACAAATGCTCGGCAATTACCTAACATTTTCGAACGAAAAAAAAAAAAAAAATCAATTCAGCAACAAAAAGAATTGCTAATTTATATTTCATTTATAAATCAAGATCTTTACCCTTAGAGCTCGTTTCTTCAACTTATTCATCATCGTAAATTGCTTAAGCCTAGCTATCACGGATTCACCCAAAGATACATTCGGAGCACTCTTCGCATTTTGTAACCAAGGATGATCTACAAAAGCCCGGAAACTATATTTTTCAAGAATGTTCGTATAATTTGATGCAGCGAAAATGATAAGTTTTTATGTTATATATACCTAAAACTTCTTGTGCTGTAAGTCGTTGTTTGGTGTCGGGATTGAGCATCTTCTTGACAAGATCCTTTGCTTTATCAGAAACTTTAGGCCAAGGGTCTCGTTTAAAGTCCACAACCGAACGAATAATTGATTCAGCAACTCCTTGTTCGGTTTCTGCGAGTTATTCGACACCTTCATTTTAGTTTTCAAACTTCGCACATTTTTATCGGCATTTTAGTTAAACTTTTAATTACCAGCCCAAAAAGGCGGGAAGCCAGAAAGTAATATGTAGAGAATTACTCCAGCACTCCACACGTCGATTTCCGGGCCGTAGTTTCTTCTCAGAACTTCGGGCGCCATGTAATAAGGGCTTCCGACTATCTCGTCAAATCTCTCGCCTGTAGTAAAATTACAAAACGGAACAGTTATGAAACGAAAGATTCAGCCACGAAATGGTTGGAAGCAAATAATAAACGGCATTGCGTTTACCAGGCTTGAAGAAAACCGACAGTCCAAAATCAATAGCCTTTAGTGGCGACGTTTCCTTATTATTCGCAAACAAGAAATTCTCCGGTTTCAGATCACGATGAATGACCCCGTGATTATGGCAATTCTGCAGAGAAGATAAAAAATACAACGGTTTGCGTGAGATTTCTCACCCGACGGAAACAAATCATGGGTAAAAACGGAAATCGGAGTTTCTTCAATAATTCCTTACAAATAATGCAGATGGCACCTTGCAAACGTAGAAAGTAATGAAAGCTAATAAACATTAACTTCAAAAGGAGCATAAAAGTTCCGAGACCATATAAACACACACACACACACTAACCACAATAACTTCGACAATCGTTCGAGTCACAGCTGCAGCGGCCCTTTCGGTATAATGCCCTCTAGCAACAATTCGATCGAACAATTCACCACCCTCACACAACTCCATAACCAAATGAACCGCACTATCGTCTTCGTACGTGTCCTTCAAGCTTACGATATTCGGGTGCTTAGGCAAACGCCTCATGATCTCGACTTCCCTCCTAACATCTTCGATATCGATTCTAGTTTTCAACTTCTTCTTCGTAATCGACTTACAAGCGAAAACTTCACCGTTGGTTTTATCGGTACACAAGTGCGTGATGCCGAATTCACCTCGGCCGAGTTCTCGTCCGAGTTCGTAAAAGTGTTCGATGTTATGCCCAGTTGGATTGTTCAATACATACGATTTTTTGTACCCACCTTTTGGAATTTTGTGGCCATCGGAATTAGCAACAAAGGGGTTTGGTTTATTACTATTTTTCTCGTCGGAGGTTTTTGGTACTGTGCAGCAATTACCCATTTGAGAAAGGGCTTTTCAATTTCAGATTAACACAAAATCAAATAAAATAAAACAGATCAACCAACTGATAAATCAACAGAATAGAGCTTCAATTTTCAGCGGATTTTTCAGCAAATTGGGTTTGTAAATTGCAGGAAAAATGTGGTAGTTTAACAAAAGGTAAAATTGAAACATTGAGCTTCAAAAACCCCAGTTAGGAAATTTGGGAAATTGAAATCATTGACTAAGAAATTTCAGCTTACAAAACAGGGGCGGAATAAACCAAGAAAAGAAGTGGGTTTCTTTCTTGAATTTTGTGTAGTCTTTTCTAGAAAAATTAGCTGAGGAAAATACGGAATTAAGAAGAAAAAAAATGCGCCAACCAAATGGGAAAAATGTTTGGAATTGAAGAAAACGTTGAGAATGGGAAGCTTCAAAATTGACGTTTCTTAGTGACTTTCCTCCTACCCCGCCAATCTACTGTTCTTCAAAAGTTTTTATTCTTACAACCACCCCTGAGGTATGGTCAATTTACGAAAAACCCCCTCTTGTTTGGATAATTATATCTACCCCTCAACTATGATTTTTTTCTTACATTTACACCCTTATGGTGTCAAATTCAACGTATTCATCTAAATTTTCGTGGAATATGCTCTAGTTTGTACTCGTTTTGCGTATAAATATAGTTTCTGATGCACCAAATCTGATATATACAAGCCGAAAAATACATATTATGATCATCTTTGCTTCAAAATGTAGAGTTCGAATGGGATAAAACGGGTACAAAAGTGATAGTATTACATATAATCTCGAAGATTCCACTAAATTTGAAACTGCAATGATAGACATGTAAAAAAATTTAGAGTTGAGGTGGTGGTTGTAATTACCCAAACAAGAGAGGGGTTTTCGTAATTTGACCATACCTGAGGAGATGGTTGTAATTTACCCTTATTATTATTGTTGTTTCTGCAATATGTTATAACAAGAAATGTCAAAAGATACTTCTATTTGAATTTTATTTTATTTTCAATCTATTGATGAATTGTAGTTGTCGAGAATTCCAAACAGAAGCTTCCATATTTCCGTCTAGTAAAATACCTAAATTAATATGGTCATATTCAATAAATTAGTAATAATTATTTCGTACACAGTATAATCTCGATAAATTAATGAGCTTGTTTAAATAATAATTTATTCTAGTTTTGGCTTAGTAAGAATATACAAAATTATTAGTCTAATAATTTAATATTTCGCTAAATTAATAGAATTTCGCTGCTTAAGATTGTATTGATTTATACAAGTTTAATTAAATAATATTTTTGTAGTGTCCGGACGTGATTTTATTATGATAAAATGATTTTTTTAATATAAATAAAAATGAAAAATGGTGGTTTATAAATTGTCCATTTGGGATAATTACATTTTTGGTCCCTCGTGTTTGGACCGATTCCACTTTTGGTCCCCCTTGTTTCAAAGTGAACAAAGTTCACCTCAATGTTTTATTTTTAAACAGATTTGGTCCACTCCGTCACATGGACGTTACCAATTAACGGAGGAAGTCATGTGCGCCGCACGTGACCCTGAATTAGGTCTGAAAATTGGGAAAAGAACCCCCAATTGCCATTCCCAACATCAGACTTCTCAATTCCCAAATTTTTCGAAGAACCCTAAATCGTATTCACTTTCCTCAAAAAGATCGATCACTTTCACCAAAAATCATCCCTCTAATTGTTATCCCACCCTAAATCCGTCATAGGCGATACAGAGGAGTGGTCAAGTCGCCATTTTTATCAAGAAGATTATACGAATCTCAGATTTGCTCCATGTCGCAAAGAAGTTTGCACGCATCAGGATTTACTCCAAATTATGGTAAATGTTCACTAAACTGAACAAGTGTGTGATTTTGAATCACTTATGCACTTTAATTTGTAAACTTCAACTAATTTTTTTTTAATTGTTTGATTTCAGCAATTCTTGGTGAAAAGCTAGGGTGTAATGTTAAATTGTATTATGGAGGGGTAATGAAACATAGTCCTCAAATGCATTATGTAGGTGGGAATATAGAGTACTTTGATTTTGCAAATGCTGGTAGGATAAGGATGCTTGATCTGTGGGGATATGCAGGGGAATTAGGTTACTTTGATACAGTAAGTTACAAACTTTGGAATAAATATGGAGAAAGTTTGAGTGTGGGCCATTATTTGAAAACTGATGCAGATTTTTCATTTATAAGAAAACACTTACCTGATAACCATGAAGTTGAAATATTCTTGGAAGAATTGGGTTTGCAAACTGGTGACATGATACCTACTGTGCAAAGCCATATAGCATCATCAGTTATCCTTGAAGAACCTACACTATTTGATGAGCCTGTAAATGCAAACAAAGGGAAAAGATTGCATAAGCTTGTAGATGAGAGTGACAACGATGAGGAGGATGATGACTTTTATGACAGTGAATATGACTTTGAAGAAGATGATCAGCTGTTTGATGAATTTGTTGACCTTGAAGCTGAATTTAATGCCTCTAGAAGTAAGGATAAGTCTACTTATGTGTCTGATGATGTTTATGCTAAAATGTTGTGTGAAGATGGTGATGATGATTGTGCTGCTAGTGATTCAATGGGTAGTGATGTTGGTTCTGATGAAGAACATTCCATTAAGTACCCTAAATTTAATCCTAAAACTGATATGAAAAATCCTGATTTGGTTTTGGGGATGGTTTTTGGTAGCAAAAAAGAAGCAAAATTTGCAATTGAAACTCACGTTTAAGAAGAGGGATGAGTGTTAGATTTGGGAAGAATGACAAGGTTAGGCTCAGAGCAACTTGTAGAAATGAGGGGTGTGGGTGGGCAGTCCAGGTTTCACCAATGCAGAATGATTATACTTGGCAAATCAAAAGCTATGTGTCTGAACATAAGAACTGTTATTGGAATTACAATAACAGTAGCCTTAAGTCAAATTGGATAAGTAAAACATTTGTCAAAAAGTTCAAAGATAATCCTAAGTTGGGTACAAGTGAGTTCAGAACTGAATTGTGCACCACACTCAAAGCAAATGTGTCTAGATCACAAGCCTATAGGGCTAAACAACAGACACTTAAAGAAATTCAGGGTACTGTGGAAGAGCAATTCAAATCAATAAGGAATTACTGTGAAGAATTAAAAAGGGTAGACCCCAATGCCACTGTAATTTTGAAGTTAACAGAGGATGAAGAAGGTCCAAGGTTCCAAAGGCTCTATATTTGTTTTTCAGCACTTAAAGAAGGGTTTAAAGCTGCTTGTAGGCCTGTTGTGGGGGTTGATGGCTAATTTCTGAAAGGGCAGAATGGGGGTCAATGGTTAGCTGCAGTTGGTCTGGATCCAAACAACAACATTTATCCAATCTCTTATGCCATTGTTGAGGGTAAAATAAAGGGTACTTGGCTGTGGTTTTTAAAGTTGTTGGATAGTGACTTAGAAATTGAGCAAAATCAGCATACATGGACATTTATGTCTGATAAACAAAAAGGTCTTATCCCAGCCTTTGAGGAATTATTTCCACATGCTGATAATAGATTATGTGTAAGGCGTCTGCACAGCAACATGAAGAAAGGTGGATTTGGAGGGTTAGCTATCAAACATGCTTTGTGGGCAGCTGCAAAAGCAACCAGGGTGGAGGAGTTCAATAGAAGGATGGATGAGCTAAAGGAGATTGATGAAAGGGCTTACATTTGGTTGGCAAAAAAATCCCCACACCACTGGACCAGGTCACATTTCAATGCATATCCCAAATGTGACATACTATAAACAACATGTGTGAATGTTTTAACAGTTTCATACTTGATGCTAGGGAAAGACCAATGATACCATTGCTTGAGACCATTAGAAATTTGTTGATGACCAGAATGGTATTGAATAGAGATAAGGTAGAAAAATGGGACTCTGCAATCTGCCCTAAAATCAGAAATGTGTCGGTGAAAAATATGAAGGATGCTAGTGAGTGTATTTCAATGAGAGCAGATGATTGGCACTACCAAATCATGGGGCCATTTGACCAGCATACAGTGGATATGCAGTTGAGGACTTGCAGTTGTAAGAAGTGGGACTTAAATGGAATTCCATGCAAGCATGCCATATGTGCCATCTGGTGCAAAAAGGATGATCCTGAAAGATATGTGCACAAACGTTACAGTGTTGAGACATACAAAAAGGCATATGAGAAGTCCATCAAGCCAATCACCAGTGCAGATTTATGGCCTCAATGCAGTCTTCAACCACCACTTCCACCAATATACAAAGAGAAGAAGGGCAGACCACAAAAATTAAGAAGAAGAGAATCAGATGAGCCCCCTGCCCCAGGTCAGACAAAGTTGAAGAAAAGTTGCAGAACCAATAAATGTAGAAGATGTGGACAAACATGACACAATGTGAGGAGATGTGGACAGAGTGGAGGGACACATGAAAGTAGAGTTGAGAAGAATGTTATAGAACCTCCAACCAATCCATCTGACCCTCAACCAACCACTCAAACTCAACCACAACCTCAATCAACCACACAACCCCAGCCTAACAAAAGGGGGAAACATGAGGTTAAATAAAAAAAAAATCTTCTGATATCTATTTATTGTTATATCATATTTATCTAATATTGTATTTTTTTTTGCAGGCCAGAAGACCAAGTAATGTTGGAATAAATATAGGACATATGTCCAATGCAACTACTTCAGTGACTGTAAGTTTTTACACTTTTTAAAGTTTAAATTATTTATTGTGAGTCTCATGTATTAATAAAATTTATATTTTATATAGATCAATCAAGGTTCAGCAGCAAATATTCTGGTGAATGGAAGGTGAACTACATCACATTGTCCAATTTAAAAGCTTCAGTTGGGAATCAAGACAAATGAGCATCAACCTCTACTCCTCATTCAATGAGACCACCACTCACAAAGACTCCCCCTTCAAGGACTGCACCTGGATCTTTGTCTGCTCTAAGGACAAGATCAACTCCCACCCCAAATCCTACAAGGACATCTAACAAAGAAGATGGCACCTCATCAAAGACTAGATCTGATGCTTACAGTCTTTAGATCAATTTTATGTTATTTTTGTGTTTTTTGGTTTGAACTGTCTGTTTGGTGGTTGATTTGGCAATTTCTGAACTTATGTAACAGAAAGATTTGTTGTGTTTCTGTTACAAGTGTTTGTTGGTTTCAAGTATGTGTTTTGTGCACTGTTGTGTTGGTTTGAACTCTGTTGCATTGTTTTGTGCACTGTTGTGTTGGTTTGTGTTATTGTGTTGCTTTTTGATGAATTTATGTGATGTAACATATTTTTGTTAATTGATGTTTGTTGCTTTAATGGTTGTTTAAACATTTCAATTGTTTATCAAATTCTTTATTTCTGTTCTTTTAATTTCTGCACAAATGCATTACAAATTCTGGTTAAATTTATGCACAAACTCAATCTCATTACTAATACACATTGTATTAAGATAATCAAAAGAGCATCCATTACGAAATATTTCGGCAAATTTTACAAAATATCCAATATCCAAAATAGAACATAACAACAAGCATAAGCTCTACACCAGTTCTGCAAATTTCTTCTCATATTTGGGCTTGCACATGAGTTGGATTGTTATAAATAGAAGACAAATAACAAGATATGCCATCATCTTCATCTTCCTTTGTGTCTTCTTGTACAGTTCAAGCTCAACTTGTATTTTTCTTTTTTTTTCTTTCTCCAGTTTCATTTTCTCTTCCAATTTGTCCAGTTTTTTCAACAATCCAGGAATGATGTTCTTGCATCTTCGACAAACTTCTTCGTCCACCCACTCAAAATAGCCACAACATGATGGACTCTAGAAAAAAAAATCAATTAAAGAGCAAAAAGAAAAGCAGAAAATATGTAAGAAAAAAATCGTTTTTTTATTTTTGGAAATCAAGTCACCGTATAATTTGGGCATGCCCGGAATTTTCTCCCCGGGTTCTTTTCCGACCATGAAGTAAGGGTTGAAAGCTCAAAACCACAACGACAAGTAACAGTTTCGAGTGGGAGGGACCACCCATTTCGTGAGCCAATATTGCTTCGATTGTGTGAGCTTCCACTTGAATTTGTCGATCGGCTTCCCATGATGGAGATGAATTTTGAATTTCGGTGAAGATGATCACCAAATATGTTGGTTTGGGGGGAATTATGGAGATAATTAGGGCATTTGGTTTTTAAAGAATTGGGGAAGAAGGTGAAAATTGTTGGGAATGGCAATTGGGGGTTATTTTCCCGTTTTTCAGACCTAATTCAGGGTCACGTGCGACGCACGTGACTTCCTCCGTTAATTGGTAACGTCCATGTGACGGAGTGGACCAAATCTGTTTAAAAAATGAAACATTGAGGTGAAGTTTGTTCACTTTGAAACAAGGGGGACCAAAAGTGGAATCGGTTCAAACATGAGGTACCAAAAATGTAATTATCCCTTGTCCATTTATATGGGCCGAATTTTCACTTCAGGCTTTGTAATTCTCAGTCCATAATTTATGAAATCACATATTTGACTAATTATAATGTTGGCACATACATGTGTCCGAATTCGGCCTGGTCCAGAAAAGATCTTAATTTATAGTTGGTTATAACTACAGTTGATTAAATTAAAGACAACATAAAAAAAAAAATAAAAAATAAAAAAAAAACCCAGAATATACATTTTGTTGCAAATCAACCTTAATTAGACCTCTTAATCTTATGTTTCTCTTTGTACTACACATCAACTCTATGAACGATATTATTATTGCATATATTTGGTAGGAGATATTCTAGAATCATTCTATTAGTGTAGAGATTCTTAGAGGATCGTCTTTTGTATATATTTGCTTGGAGATCGTAGGAGCTAATTGTAGCCCTTTAGATCAAGATGATTATCAACATCCATTGAAGATGTGAAGTTGTATAAATAAGGATAGACTCATTCATTTGTAAGTATCCGACTTCCCAATTCTATATAACATCCGATTATGGAAACAATAAGGCATCATGTGTGTGTATTTCATACTAAATACTAATATGTACCTAAATATATTAAAATATATCAACTGTGATATTTAAGTTTTAGAATTATCATTAATATTCCTGTAAATTTGAAATATAAATCCACTTGATCTTGAATGTTTTATTAAGTACATACAACAATTTTATCGACTACAAAGTTTCTATGATGAATGACTTTGAAATGACTGATCTAGGTGAATTGTATCATTTTCTTGGAATTAATGTGGAACAACAAAAAGGAGGAATTTTTTTTTCTCAAGAAAAATATGCAAAAGAAATTTTGAAAAAGTTCAAAATGGAGAACTAAAATCCGGTGTCAACTCCTTGCATCACGGGCTTAAAATTAAGCAAAGAAGGTGAAGGAAAATTGGTGAACACAACCATGCTTAATTGGAAACTTGATGTATCTTACAGCCACTCGTCCCGATATCATGTTTGGTGTAAGTTTGATTAACGGGTCTATGGAGAAGCCATATTCGAATCATTGGGAGGCGGCGAAAAGAATTCTTCGATATGTCAAAGGAACCATTGATTATGGTATTTTTTATGAAAAAAATATTTCTGTCATATTCGAATCATTGGGAGGCGGCGAAAAGAATTCTTCGATATGTCAAAGGAACCATTGATAATGGTATTTTTTATGAAAAAAATATTTCTGTTAAACTTGTTGGTTTTACAAATAGTGATCTTGGTGGAAGTGTGGATGATTCTAAAAGTACTTCCGGTTATGTTTTTAATCTTGGAAGTGGAGCAATTTCATGGAGTTCGAAAAAACAATCAATCGTTGCCCTTTCTACACCGAAGCGGAGTACATCGCGGCTTCTTCCGTCGGATGTCAAGTTATGTGGTGGAGAGGAATCCTCGAAACCTTGAGTTTCAAGAAAGATGGGCCTCCAATTATTTTTGTGATAATAGCTCGGCTATTTCTATAAAGAATAGCAAATTCTGATCTAGGAATTGGAAACCGACTAAACTCGTTTCTTTTGTTCATCTGGGCCATTAATTAGGGTTTGGAAATTAAAAGCCCAAAGAGCAGGGGCGGAACTAGGATTTTTCGGTAGGGGCCGAAAACTTTAGAGAGTTAATAAATATACGGCGGGGGTTCGGGGCAGCGCCCCGAATTTTTTCAGGGATATTTATGAAGAAAACCAACACAAATAAGTAATGAGTAAATATATATTGTTGCCAAAACAATATTCATAAACTTATGTAACATAAATTGTAATATAGTATACACTTAGTTGAATAAGTAAAAGTGTTTTAAAGACAACCAACACAAATAAGTAATGAGTAAATATATATTGTTGCCAAAACAATATTCATAAACTTATGATTTTATTTTCTGGAGCTCTCTTCTGTTTTAAGAGCTGATAAGTTATTACGATTTATTTTAACAATTATTTTTAAAGTATTTGAATAATTAAAAAATATGTTATTTTATCTTCATCTTTTTTGAATTTCTAAGATTTTTCTAAAAGAAAATTATCAAACATTTTAGAAGATCATATAAATTCTCAATCATCTTATAAGCTGAACTATTTCAGCTTATAGTATTAGGCTTATCTATGGGCTAATCTTAAGCCCTTTAATTCGTTGACCCCAAAAGTCAAAATTCCAATGAAGTATAGACTACGTCAAATTTATTATTCATTATTTATTCGAGTCAATGATATATCGTGTAAACCCCTTCTTGCAGGCTTACGGTTTTAATTGGTCATTAATTACAACATAAGATTATGATAATGACATTTTATATTTAAAAAAAATATATATATATATATCAAATTGTACTTTCATAATTCCAACCAGATCCAGCACTACCAATGACTTCGGAGATTTGTATTTTATTCTTATATAATATTTTTAGCTTTATTTTAAGCAGTTTTATTTTAAATTTTGGTCAACTTAATTACGTTACATGGCCAGAATGTCATGTGTATTTGTACTATTTTGTTATAGTGGGCCAAAACTTTGTATTATGACCTAACATTGTAGCATATTTATTTGACTACACTTATGGCGGCAAGACAAATGCATCTTGTATAGGTTTCGGTTTAGAAATAAAAATAAAAATAAGGGTAAATTACAACAATACCCCTATGAATTAAGGTTAAATTAAATAAAAAATTGTCCATGTTTTGAATAATTACAATCTTTTTATCTATAAATTTTCTTACACGTTCCATTATTTACAGAGTCAGATTTAGTGGAATCTTCTAAATTTCGTGTAGTGTCGCTCTCCTTTTTAATATTTTAATTGCTAAACATATATAGTAGATTAGTAGTATCTAGTACTTAATAGAAATATCTAAACAAAAATCTCCAACCTTTAGGTAAAAATTTACTTCTTTATATAATAAATACATTAATATATTTGTATACATTAAAAAAAGTAAAGCTACCATTTTATTCATGTTTTTTCTTTAATTATTACATGCAACTTTATCCTACCATAAATTTCTTTACTATAGCTAAAATATTAAACACAATAATAATAAAAAAAAATTAAAAGTTTAATTGCAATGAAAAATAAAAAATAAAAAATAAAAAAAAAAACACGGTCAAGTTCTAGTGAACTGAATGTGACCAAGAAGCCACCTCTTTCCCCTCTCTCTCCCTTTCTCTCACACACAGTCACACACGCAAAAAAAAACACACACCGGTGAACAGTATTAATAATAACCTGTGCTTGAAATATGGCAGATTCAGCCTCCCAAGGTTTCTCGCAATTTCTTCTTCTTCAATTTTCCTGACTTTTTCAATCCCAAGTTTCCTTTTTGCTGTCAATTTTTTTTGGTTTTCCACTCACCATTTTCCCCCCCTATATATACAACGCATACAAATCAACTCCAGGAGGATATTCATCGCACGATTAAAGGAAGCTCCCCTGTTTTTTTTTTTCTGTATCAATTGCAATTTAACAGGTACGAATCGTCTGATCCGGTGGTTTCAGGTTGGCTTTTTATATGCTGTATTTTAATGTATGCTTGCTTCTGTTACCAAATGCGGTGCTCGAATTCTTCGTTGAAGCCAGCTGCTGAATGTGTTGTGTGTCGTTTTTTATGTATTCAAATTGTGCGGCGGCGCGTCCGTCTGGGGTTTTTGTTGACGGTGGCGGTTTCCTGACGTTTTTTTTATTAATTGAATTAGATCAATTGCTTGTGCATTTATTTGTTCCGATTTTTTCTGAGATTGAGAGAAACAGGGGTTTTGCTTTCCAACCTATTTTGCAATGTTATATCTGGGCATAAATTATATATATATATATATATATATATATATATATATATATATATATATATATATATATATATATATATATATATATATTTAATTCTGATCTATTGTCTCTTATAACAGATAATTCTTGGTTGAGTGGATCACCTGTATCTATGGTGAGCTGAATTTTCTGGTCTCTTCGGAAAAACATAGAAATAAAAAAATAAATTGATTTCTTAAATTTCTTTTTTTCTTTTTTTGTATGGAAATGGTTGCTTTATGTGTGTTCTAAGGCTTTGTTTGGTTGCTGTGATTAGGGGGAAGCACCAGCTTTCTTTGCAGATGATCTACAGGAACATTCCCCAAATGGGGTTCTCTTAAATTCCAAGAGCTGCGAAACCGCTATCGATATCGGCTGCAGTAAAACAGTATGATGATCCAATTATGCTGAATTAACTATATTCTCTTCCAATGTGTTTTTTCTCCTTTTAGAGGTGAAGAATACTTGGTTATGAATGAATCTTGTACCTTTTTAATTTTATTCAGTATGTCATCGGTGCAACCGAAAATGAATCTGCTTCCACAATTGGAGTTCGGATTTTCGATAGATCTACCAATGAATGGTGAGTCTTTAATCTTAAGTGCCTTGATATATGGTGCAGTTTTCAAAATCGAGATAACTCAGTTTAATTATCTCGTTCGTAGGGTTATTCCCACTGTTTTGGGGATAAAACCCAAGCCATCAGAGGGCCAATCGGCTATCGCCTTAGACGAAGAACGGATCTTGGTTATTAAGGGAAACTCCACTTCCGATGATTGCTTTTGGTTTCTTGAGGTTGTTGTTTATCTCTTGATGACTACAGAACCCATAATTATTACATCATCTTGCGTTTAAAAACAAAATATTGTTTTCTTTTTAAGGTTGATACTGCATTTGTTCGAGAGCAAAAAACAAGATTGGGGACTGAAGTGGTTGCTTGGAGCAAAGGAGTAGTCGGTGAAGCTGAAAAACCGATTGTTATTAGTGGTCCTTCTGGAGTTGGTAAAGGTACTTTGATCAACAAACTGATGGAAGATTTTCCGTCCATGTTCGGTTTTTCAGTTAGCCACACTACCCGTGCACCGAGGAACAATGAGCTAAACGGGGTCCACTACCATTTCACCGAACGCTGTGTGATGGAGAGAGATATTAAGGAAGGAAAATTCCTCGAGTTTGCAGCTGTGCATGGAAATCTATACGGCACTAGTATAGAAGCTGTGGAGGCTGTTACAGACCGAGGAAAGGTACATATACAATATATTCATTCTTGCATGAAAAAAACAAAAAAAAATTCCTTCTGATTTGTGTTTTCATGATTTAAATTTTAAATTATGTATGATAATTGGAAATTCGATGTAGAGATGCATCCTTGACATTGATGTTCAAGGGGCAAGATCTGTGAGAGCTAGTTCTCTTGAAGCCATTTTTATCTTTATATGTCCTCCCTCGTTTGAGGAGCTTGAGAAACGCCTTCGCTTAAGGTGGGCTAGACTTCACCATATTACACCCCCCTCGTCACCTTTTTCAATACCCTCTTATTTTACAAAAGTCCGTTCCTTGATCACAGGGGAACCGAGACTGAAGAACAGATCCAAAAGCGACTCCGAAACGCTAAAGCAGAGATCGAGCAAGGAAACTCATCTGGACTCTTTGATCATATTTTGGTTAACAATAACTTGCAGACGTGTTATGAGAATCTTAAGGTTATCTTTGCCTCCAGTGGTATCCTGATTTGATTCTTTCATCCATATGGCCATTGGGGGCCATGGCCCCCCACTATTTTTCAAGAATCTACCGTTTTATATAGGAATATGTTATCTAATCGAATAATTCTGAAATCGTATTCTTTTTACATCTTGCAGAAACTTCTCGGCCTTAGTGATTGTGACAAGAATACCAAGATATCAGGTCAGTTTGTTTGAGAAATAATGCACTTAACATTTACCATTTATTCAAAACTGACCTCTATTTTTTCAATACAGTGCCGGAGTTGTTTCACATGCCTGTGGAACATACAGTTTCGAAAATTGAACAGAAAATCCTGATAAACTATATCGCCACAGAAGAAGAAAAATCGGCTACAAATATGTATGTGACATAAAAAACGCAATACAACATATATGTTTTTTCATTTTTTTGTGGATTTTAACTCCCTCGAGCTTTTCTTGTAGGTTTGTGCTGGATTTATCTTCGATCAAAGGTGGGGCCCCTGGACGGACCAGGAGTCTGAACATTCGCTTGGCAAAACCATCCACAAACGGCATTATTTGTTCGAAAATGGCAAGCTAACACATCAAAAAAAAAAAAAAAAAAAATCGACTAACAATATTTATGTTTTCGCTTCTTTTGAAAAATAATTAAAGTTCCGAGTTAGATTAGCCTGTTCGAGGGTATAAGAAAAGCCTACAGATATAACATGGGGAAGCAGCTTATGAACAACTATTTGACTTCCCATAATGAGAGAAAGAAAATGATTAATGAAAGCATTGTAGCTTGGTTAGGGGAGATAACTTGTTTTAATCTTTTATTCTTCTGATGATGTCGAAACACAAAACATTGATTCTTGTAATATGATATGCTTATTAATTTGCATTTGTATCTCTATATTCAATTCGTCGCAGTCTTGTCTTTAACTTTACGGTACTATTATGAAAATTGTTGCTGTGATATTCCCGCGTAAGCGAAGCAGATGCTCGAGACAAGTGATTGAGATAAGATGCAACAGAGAATTGTAGATGCTCAAGAAAAGATGATTTTTTATTTAATGGTAATAGAATATATGTGATATTCTCAATGTGCTGTACTTCTGATTTTTATTTTTTTATAATGGTAATAGAATAAATGTCTTAACAATTGTACATTAGGATGTGTTGGTTAGTCCAAAAGTGTGTTAGTTATCAGCACATGGCTGTCATGTGCTTTCATTGATACAGAAAATGAAAATGGACCACAGTTTGTAGGACAATATTCTAGTTGTTATAGATTTGAAATATGATGAAATCTTTAACCAAGTGGAACTATTTCCACCTCTTTTTTCTCTCTTTTTTTTTTAAATTCTTATTTAGTGAAGGAGCAAAATTAATTCTTATATAGTGCGCCTACAGGCTACACGTTGCTATAATCCTTTTCGGCGAAAATTGATGCTTTTCTACCAGCCGAAAGGAAGTTGGCGCCATTGGGCCACTTGGTGAATGAGACCGATGATAATAGTGGTTTTTTTTTTTTATATACCGACAACTAATTATTTTAAAAAAAAAAATTAAAATAGATATAACAATAGAAACCATTTTTTTTTAATGAGTGTTCGAGTTTATGCGGATTAAATATAGTGATGGAATATTCATGGGTCAAAAGACCTTGGGATTAGGACAAAAATGGGAATTGAACGTACAAAAAGTGACAATTTGCTGATAATAGAAAGTTTATGAATGAAATTAGCAATAATTTGGTGGTGGGGTCAAAGAATAAAGTGTACACACACACACACACAAATGGGACATTTCCTTGCCTGACCCGACCCAACCCATCACCTATGGCCCATGCCATCAAACTAATGGACATAAAAAGATTCACCCAACACTATACTTGTGGGAAGCTTCCCTAGGTTGATACGAATTGATTTGGTGAAGTAAATTTGAAATACTTGCATCATCAATCATACAATTTTAAAAAGGAAGAATTATGCAACCGTCGGTAACAAAGGATAGAAATAAGCTTAAAATGGTTCGGCCCGAAACCAAAGATTTCAGGCAAAAGGTTAAAATGGCTCGGCCCGAAACCAAAATTTCAGGCCAAGGTTAAAATGAATAGTTTTCAACAAAATAAGCTTGTTGATTAGAAGGAAAACGCTAAATCCAATTCTATCTACAATTGAAACTATCACAGTGCGCTTGCAAAAAGATGAATTAGCAGCAGAAATCTCTTCGGAGATCACCGGATATATATATATATATATATATATATATATTGTTTGCAAAAAATAATGAGGAAGTTTAATGATATGATGAGCAATCAAGAAAGAATAACAATGGACCTCTAGTAGAGCCGCTTTCTACACTCTTCTGCACCACAATAACAAGCCATTTGCTTTACGTTCCCTTCAGCATCCATCACGCTATCCAGTGCGTACCCGTAGTCATAAGTGAGCTCCTGCACACACAAAGAAAAGTCAAAAAATTAAAATCTATGTTGAGCAAGAATGTGATCTTATGGTCGTATGTAGATCAAGAAAGACGATTTTAGACATGACCATGGTCCGGGTCGAACCGTTAGTGAAATATGTGATCTTATGGTCGCGTGTAGATACAAAAATACGATTTTAGACATGACCATGGTCCGGGTCGAACCGTTAGGGAAATGTATAAATATTTGAATTGGGTGGCGGTGGGATTCGAACTCAGGACCTTTCATTTGGCCAGGCTCTGATACAATGTTGAATGACCATCTCAACCAAAAGCTTATGATGTTTAGTGAAATGTATCATTTATTATTAATATCTCCAATATTAAAACCACCAATCATGCTGAGCAATAAACGAAAGAAAGGAAATAGAAGAAACCTTGAGTGGCGGTATATTGTCTGCAGCAATTAGCATTATCCTTGCAAGACTGATATCATGATGCTCGTTCAGCATGCATTGGACGAAAAGATTAGGCTGACAACTATGGTTGATGAATCTTGCAAAATTGCCCGTTTTTCCAGCGTCGATGCAAAATGGGACACTCTCTGTTGCGTCTTCACCGACTTTTTGCAAGTACGAAGGCAAAGACACGTCCCTTAGCCGCCTCTGAGGAGTTTACAAAACTATTAATATAGCTAATCAAGAAAAAGTACCACAACCATTGATAGGTCAAGAAGGAAGCATGTTTCATCTAATTCCAAGTACACGAAACAAATGCATGAAAATTTCAAAGTTATGTCCAAATTAGTTAGTGTTGTCACTAAATAAAGAAAGCATGATCATGTACCTCTCGTCCATCCATTCCCTTCATTGTCTGCAAACAATCGATGTCAAAAACATAACTGTTATCGGCAGCAGGGTCCAGGTCATCAGTTTTTCTCAGAAGTCCAATGTATTCACATATGGGAGAACCAGAAGGTATGTAGTCCCAAGATCTTACACCCCATCCTTTCTTTGGTGTACGGAAAATCTGTAAATATCAACAGTTATACTGTTAAGTACATGCACATTTCCACATTATACAAAGTGAATGAGAGCAAGTTTAGTGACTTTCGATACAAACCTCCAAACGAAACCTAGGCCCGCTTTGGGAGGTCCTATTGACGCACTTAGGTCCACACCCACAATTAGGACCGCATTCAAACACCACTCCTTTAGCTGCAACTAATCTGGCAAATGGATTTGAAATTGGAATCATCAAACAACTAACAGATAAAGTCCTAACAAAGTTTGACTTAGTTTGTCACAATTTTGAATGTTCAAGCCGAACAATTATCTAAAATCGTGACAAAATCAATCAATAGCTTCAAAAATTTATGTAGGAGCTTTTATAAGATGTTTAAAATCAATTTAACCGAACAGACGAACTCCTATAAAACTTTATTTGCTTTAAGTTATACCTTCCACCTTCGCGGTGCACATATGGGAAATCACCACCATTCAGCTTTGCACAAGCACAACTTGTATGATCTGTGCAAGTGCCCTTACATTTGCATCCCGAGGGAGCAATTTCAGGAACACTAATATTCTTGCTGATCTTCATATCTTTGATATAGATAAACCCTAAATTTGGCATAAAAAAATCAATATATTGAATTAAAGAAAGGGAAAACATGTGTACACAGGGCAACTACGAATGATGATAACATAAAAAACACAAAATGGAATATCAATCCAACGGATTATAAGCTTATGATATGTTGTTGACTAGTGGCAGCGCATATATCCCAACGAAAATGGAAATTTCAAAAGCATCATACCCCTATTATTTGATATTAACATTCAATTCAATCCCTCGGTAAAAAAAGTAGTGAAGGATAAATGTTAATTTCTTATTACTTGTAGAGTTAATTTAACAACCGATTCAGATAATCTTAACATACCTGGCGGCATAATAGGAGGATCATCAACCAAATTAGTAACAGGGATTGGAATACTCTCAAGGCCTCTAGTTATATCTTCACACACCATCCTATGAATAAAAAGAAAAAGAATGACTTCATAGATGATGAGAAACATAAAAGGTTAAATAACATTACATATTATTGTCAAACATACCCTCGTATCTCGGATATAGATTTAGGAATACGACCTCGAGTAAAACAGACCTGCAACGGTTGTAAACATCAATAATGAAATAGTAGCATTTCATTATGGGCTTTAAAATTTAGTCGATTGAACTTAACAATGATAAACACTAAATAGATACATGATTATATTATTATGGTTTTACAATGTTTGATAGACATGTATAAATAATGGCACCGAGTATGGTAAGTACCTCTTTTGTTGTCATAGAAGGTTGCCCTTCGACCCGCTTAAGTCGAAACTTGTAAACGGTAAACCCCGACACACCCTTTTCAGCCCAATATTTAACAACCTGCAAAGTAAAGAAAAAATTGAGACACCATTCATACCAGCTTATATCATCAAAAGTCTCATTTCTAGCTTTAAAATATAGGTACCGTGTATAATCCATCATAAGTATACACCTTCTTGACGTAGCTGTTTTCACATTTATGTCCACGAACTACCCTTATAGGCACAGATTGCTCCATACAGTTCTGTGGGGGAGAGTTAACAATAAATAGAAATTAGCCACAGATGTTTTCAAGAAAAGATATTCTTTTTCAAGAAAACTTGAATGATTTAATAGTGAAGAAATTGTAATTAGAATACTCATCACATCGACAACTTTGTAAAATAAAATATGTAACTTAAATAGGTAAGAGGTGACTAACGTTCGCAAAATTTACATACCTTTAGTCCCAAATTGCCTCGTTTCAACACTTGGTCACTGATTTGACGTTTATTTCCAAGCAAGTCATTTCCTCCTTGACCAGTGTACACAACGTCCTCACAATTGTCTACATCATCCTCATATTGACCAGACAAGACAATAGATATGGCAAGAGGAAGATTGTACCCCGTCAAATTCTGCAAATTTCAATGGTGGAAGAAATTAATAAGGAATTATAATAGATCTGGGTTTTAAAATAAGGCAAGAATTAACAAAGTTTAATAACATACACATATACACACAAAACAGATCACATTGAATTATGTCATGCAGATGCAGCATGTCCGAAGAAAAACTAAATAAACTTGAAACCAAATAACTGGTGATCCAGAACACTTGCTAATTCTTCGAACGAAAAGATTGTGGGAAAGTGTGTACATATCATTTGCCTAATTGCCGATACAAATTTCAACTCTGCAAATATCATTTAAGAACAATGGCATTTTTCAAGATAAAATCACATGAATCATGTGCATGAGGATGTATATAACATTGACCAAAATTAAAATTTTACCATTGATGTTTTTCGACCAGCACTAGCAGTTTTCCCAATATAATCAATTCCATTTAGCCAGTGGTTGTGAAAGCCAACTACAACCATCTCAGCCCTTGAAAAGAACTGATGACCAACATCAATACCTGCCAAACATCAAATGCATCAATATCCAATCATATTTCGCACTTCCTTACCAAGTCAATTTAACTATGTTTTTAAAATACAAACATTAAGATATGAATCTGTTCCTATCTCAAATTTACTTGAGATCCAAAAGTTATCAGATCCTCCCAAAAATTTGATGCAACATATTTCTCGTATTTTCCGAAATATCAGAAAAATCTGTTATTTCCAATTCGCTGCTATTTGCTTAAAAGATTAACTATAGAAGGATTAGATATAAATTGAAAAACAGACCAACAGAATATACATTAACTCAATGTGGAAATTTCTAGAAAGTACATGAACTCTAAAATGAATCCAATGAGAAGCAGGATCAGCACGAGTACAATTTCAAATAAACATTAACTGCAAATTAAGGTCATTCATTAACTATTACTTCCCATTCAATATATCAAGCACCAACCCGATCACCATTACTCTTACCATATCGTATCGACCACCACATTCAGGAATGCATGTTATTGCAAATGTTGTTATCTACTATATATCTTTGTATGATTAAAGTTCTTGCGCGGTGCAGTTTCAGTTACAACATTAGAACAATTTACACGTACTAAAAAAAATGGCAGCAAAAAATTTCAGAGTTTCAAAGCTACCAACCTGGAAAGGCTCCAATTATCTTCTCAGTGTATAAAATAGCTCCAGTGTTCATCATCTGCCATTTTTACAACCGAAATTCAGACACTCATGCATAATACATCACACAGGAAGATGACAACAAAAGTAGATGCGATGCAGAGTGGTTAAACTGTGACTTGGAATTGCTCTGTAAAATTAAATGTGAATTGTGATTTTGTCAGACTTGTATATAAGTCAAAAAGTGTTGATAAACAAGTATTGAGCTTAAATTTAGGAATACTTGTCACACGCATTATCAACATGGCTTTGTGAATACTGAATTCAATAAATTTAACTTTAAAGTGTGAGCGAAAAATGCTAACACTTGAAGCACTATAGTCTTGATTATAAAATGAGTCACAACTCAATACACATAATACTTCATCGTTGTAAACTACAAAACATAATTGATAACTTGGGATATACCTCTGTTATAGCCTTCAGATCAGGTCTCTTGGAAGACTTTTTAGCACAATCTTCAGATTTATCCTTTTTCTACACATGTTTCAGCTCAGAAGTTAGAAACATATTAATTTCTTGTAATATGAAGCTTATTGAGATTATAATTTAGATAATGAAATACGAAATAGCAATCCATCAGAAATTTAGATAATGAAATACGATAATCGCAAACCTTGGATTTCGAATCCTTTTTCACGCTCTTTTTTTCCTCTGATTTCTGCCTTGCACATCGATTTTCTTCTTCCTACAACACAATCAGGAGTCATAATAAATGTGTTATCATTCTTTCAGTAATCGACATTCAAACAGAGTAAAAACCGTTAAATCAACACTCTAAGGTTAACTATAAACTCATTGCAAAATGCCAGTAGGCCTCATACATATCATCAGATAGCACTATTATACACTATACAATACATTGTATTCGTAATGCGCATACATTGGTGACAAAATTAGTCGATAATCCATTCGATTTCGGGACTCGAGTAAAAACCGTTACCTGAATAAAATGGAGATAGTGCTTGTTGAAAGTACGGAGAGTCTCGATAACCTTCGTATACGCGGTTGAATCAGCAACAGCAGCCTCGCTTCCATGGGTAACCACCTCAGCATCTTCCTTAAACTGAACCTTCCGAATCCTTTGTTTCTTCTCCACCCGACCCGTATCACTCTTCTGAGAAGGATCCGAACCGGCAGCGGAGTTTTCAGCTCCGGCACACTCATCAAGGCAGTCCGTATTGATCGCTCTTATCTTCTCTACCCGACCCGATTTGTTGGAAACGGGTGCTTTCCTTTTTTTAGTAGGGCTTGGAGAAACAGTGTATTTTTTAGCTCCGACCGTCTTCAATCTCGCGCTAGTTCTCCGAATCGGAAGCTCGGTATCGATGTCGGATCTCGAATCGGGTTGAACCTCGTACAGAACCACCATTGTTGATTTTCGAGAGCAATACGCAGAGGAAGATGGAAGAGGCTTTTTTGACGTTTGAGGAATGGAGGGAAGAGAGAAAGACTGTTGAAATCTTTTTGAATTCTTTTCGCTTCTATCCCCACAAATACTATATACGGTAATTTTTTTTACTTTTTCAAATTTAACTTGCTTAAAATAAAATAAAAAGTTTACCGTTTGTTTCTTTTTAGTGATTTGACATTAAATTTAACTGTAATTGAATTTGGGTTTGGAGTCCGGAATGCTGATTGGCGGAACCCAAACGTACATTGCACTACAGTTTAATTTTTTTATTCGGGTTGCTTACCGGTTCGACCAGTCAGCTTCTTTTCCTATTCGAGTAATTTAGTAGAAGTAATGTTCTTGTGAAACGCTAGCTCACCGTAAGTGTTTTGTGTCATACTCACAAAGTCACACAGGCCAGCTGGAAAAGGATTATATGAAATTTGCCATGCAATTTCTTCATACGTCATTTAAATGTGTATTATAATAATTATTAATATTTCTTTTTGAGAAAATATGTATAATTATTTGAATTATATATTAATCCAGGAAAAAAATTATATTAATTTCTCATTTGGGTCCCTCATGTTTACAAAAAATATATTTGGTTTCTCATATCTGAATAATTTAACACTTTTGGTCATTTCTGTCAATTTATCGTTAGTCCGTCAGTTAAAGCAGTGATAGTCACACACATGATTCCGTTAGTACTAACGTAAAATTGACAGAAATGACTAAAAAGTTGAATTTTGAAAACATCAGGACCAAATGTGTTTTTTGTGAACATAGAAGGTAAAATGTAAAATTGGTGCAAACTATAGGGACTAAAATTGTAATTTTCCCATTAATCCAGTAAAGATGACGTCACCCCTAAAAATATCACAGAACACACGCCTAATTCATGTCCAACTTTGGAAGCTCCGATTATAAGGCTGAACCAAATCCCTACCAAAAAAAAAAAGAAGACGAAAGAATAATTACTTTCCGTTCGAGAATATTCAGAAGATCGATGATTCGGCGCCTATTCTCTGCGGCGGCGCGGCTCCGTATTTTGCTGCCGCCGATACGCAGGCTCACTTCGTTCGTCGGAATGGCGGAGTTCTGGTTCCGTCGAGCATCTCCTCTTCTCATCAGATACTACCCGCGAGTACGCCTCGCCATTGTCGGCGATTTGAATTAGATGATTTTCCCCTTTTCTTCACCAATTATTCCTTTTTTTTTAGACACAGAGAAAGTACTTTAGATTATGTGGAATTGAGTGTGATGTTCTTTAACTGTCAGGAATGCACGGAATATACAGAAGTTGATTATGTTATGTTTTATGAATTATGATATTCCAAATTAATTGAAGTTTGACCGACAAATTAATCATGTTAGGCTCGACTGAAGTTCGTTAGAGTTCGACTCGACTGTGTATCAACTAATCTCAATAGAAAAAACAATAAAAGTTCGATAAAAATTCAAAACAAGTTTGAATAACCATGCGTTCGGCTTGACTCGGTGTACTTACAAGTTACACCCCTAGTTAGAATAACATTGGATCAAGAAAGTAAAAAAGATAAACAGAAGTAATATGTGCAATCTAGGATGTGTGCCAGAAATCCGTTTTTCTTTCTCGACTAGTGTTTATCTCAAAATTGTTTTCGATACAGCGTGTTTCAAAACTCCGAGGAATGCCGAGTTTGAAGCATCAAACTGCACAATGTATATATTGACATACAAATTGCTCACCCTATTTGTGAATTAGCATGAAAGAAATGTGGACAAGTGTGTAAATGTAATTACAAAGAATGAATCAAATTCAGGGCCCATCATCACCATCTCCAATCAAGTTACAAATATCAGAGCATTCTGACAAACTGCAAAAACAAAAACAAAAAAAAACATATGAAAACAAAGAATCATGTTTTATTAGTACAATCAAAGGATCAAGAGGATCAAATGCATGTAGTAAATGAGAATCAAAGAATAAGAAGATACCAATATTTTCGACTGCGAAAACCATCCTTGAATACCACCAGAGGCCTGTAGATCATATATATATATGTATTAAAACACTCAGAGCTACGTACAATTGAATATATAATATAATTACAAGGAAATATATATATATTTTTAAAATAGATTAAATTACTTCCTGATGTTAAAAGGGCCTTCGCCGGGAGAACCGAAGCCACCCTGAATGCAAGTGGTGACGCATTTACCGGTGCAACTCTCGGCTTTTCTCGATTTAGGCCTTTGGATTTTGTACCTTTTTGTGCACTTCATTTCAGGAGTGCACTCGCTTGACAATGTCTGAGGTATGTTCGACAGTGTTTCCTCCGGCTGCGCCGGCGCCGCTACTTCAATTGCGCCCGCCGACAGCGCCAATACGGCGGCGCCGGCGACTATGGCGGCAGCTATTGCCTGGCCTGTTGTAGTAGTAAAGGGCGTGGAAGGTAGAGAAATAAGTGATTTTCTGGGTGATTGTTCGGTTTGGCTTCCTCTGGGGCATATCATCGAGCATCTGGTGGACGTTGCGCCATAGAGAAGCATCCTCTTCTGAAATTATTTCTGTAATTGTTTTTTAAGCTCTGATTTTTGTTCAATGTTTTATCCACATGCTTTTTGGTTCCTTCATTTTCAGCCCCACGTTTCTCTCTCTCTCTCTCTCTCTCTCTCTCTCTCTCTCTCTCTCTCTCTCTGTGTTAAACTTGCATTGACTTGAGGTCAACAATGCTAAGAGGACAAAGAAACTTGTTACGTATAATTTGAATTTCTCACATATATTTAGTATTCGTTATGTATATCTTAAAACACACACACACACACAGTTCCATTGGCAGACCAGAAAACGGCGGATTCCGGCGGTGTTTCCGGCAAAGCCACCAAAGCCCACATGCTGATTAATAGCTCTCCGATTTCGGTTATCCCGAAAAAACAAAAAATAAATAAGTATGCTTTGTGCATCTCTATTCTGGCTTCCATGACATCAATCTTGCTCGGATATGGTATATATATAAATATGTGTGTGTGTGTGATTTCTTGTTATGTACATATATAATACATATGATCAATTCGCAGATACCGGGGTTATGAGTGGAGCTACTGTCTACATCAAGAAGGACCTTAAAATTTCCGACGTCCAAATCGAGATTTTGGTGGGTAGCATCAACATCTACGCGCTCGTCGGTGCCGCCGTAGCTGGCCGTACCTCCGACTGGATTGGCCGCCGCTGCACCATCATCTTTGCTGCTGCTATCTTTTTCGCCGGAGCTATACTGATGGGCTTCGCCACCAACTACTCCTTCCTCATGGTGGGTAGGTTCGTAGCCGGTGTCGGTATGGGATACGCGCTCATGATAGCTCCAGTGTACGCTACTGAGGTGGCGCCGCCATCTTCTCGCGGCTTCCTAACTTCTTTTCCTGAGGTCTTTATCAATTTCGGTACGTGTCTGGTTCTAGTTTCTTCTTTGTATACATAATAAAGAAATTAAGTTTCTTGATTATTTATTGTAATTTAAATTAGGTGTTTTACTTGGATACGTGTCAAACTATGCTTTCGCTAAGCTTCCATTAGAACTGGGTTGGAGGATCATGCTTGGAGTCGGAGCAATACCGTCTATCTTCCTTGCCGTTGGGGTGGTGGCCATGCCCGAGTCGCCTCGTTGGCTAGTCTTGCAGGGCCGTCTCAAGGGCGCGTATAAGGTGCTCAACAAAACTTCTGAATCACCACAAGAAGCCCAATCAAGACTCGATGAAATCAAACAAGCCGCTGGATTGCCGGAAAGTTCCAACACAGAAGATGATGTCGTCTCAGTCCCAAAGCGCAACCGTGGTGCGGGCGTATGGAAGGAGCTCCTCCTCCGCCCCACCCCCACAGTTCGCCACATCTTGATTGCAGGTGTGAGTGTAAATTGGAATGTAGTTTTCAATTTTCCCCTAGATTTTGAAATTTCTAATTTTGGAACAATAATCTTCATTCCAATGGATTTCCACCCCTAATCGCCCTAAACACAGGCTTGGGCATCCAGTTCTTCCAGCAAGCTAGCGGTATAGATGCAGTAGTTATGTACAGCCCGAGAATATACGAGAAGGCCGGCATGCGAAACGACTCCGACAAGCTCCTGGCTACCATAGCCGTCGGCATCAGCAAAACCATGTTCATCCTCGTGGCCACGTTCCTGGTCGACAGGGTGGGCCGCCGCACCCTCCTCCTGACAAGCTGCGGCGGCCTGGCGGCATCCCTCTTCGGGCTGGCCACCGGTTTGACCGTAATTGACCAAAACGACGACGAACAGAAACTAACTTGGGCCGTGGCCTTGTGTGTCGCCATGTCATTATCCAGCGTGGCGTTCTTCTCGATCGGAATGGGGCCCATTGCATGGGTGTACAGCTCCGAGATATATCCGTTGAGGCTGAGGGCGCAGGGGTGCAGCATGGGAGTTGCGGCGAATCGGTTCATGAGCGGGGTGGTGTTAATGACATTTATATCCCTGTACGAGACGATTACGATTGGTGGGGCTTTCTTCTTGTTTACAGGTATAGCTGTTGTTGCATGGATCTTCTTCTACACTTTGCTGCCTGAAACAAAAGGGAGAACCTTGGAGGAAATGGAGGACCTGTTTGGCACTTTCTTTAATTGGAGGTCCACAAGCAAAGAGTTGAACATAAAGAAAGAGGCAAATAATACTGCCTAAATATTTTAGAGTTTTCGAACATATTGTTTGAGGTTCATAATCAATGTACGAAAAATCATATCAAAACACACTTGCATAGCCATCACTTCTCGTCACATTAATGTACGAAAATCCTGAATGTGCAACAGAAAACACGACTATAACCAAACAACAACAAGAAAACGAAACGAATTTCGACCAGAAACCTCTGAAAATGACAGCTACTGCTAGCTAGAAAATCAGTGGCCAACCGATAGTATTTGTAAAAGTTAGGTTCAAGTTTGTTTATAATAACACCCATGCTGGCAATGTGATATGCAAACAAGAGATCTATAAACCGTGTAATCAGTAAATTAGACGTATAAAATGCTCGAGGAAGATCACGATCCTACAAATTTGAGAAAAAACAGAGAACCGTAATGTCGATTTCTTACAAGACAAGTGGGAAACATCAAGTAACTCGTCAAAAGTATAAAAACAAAACAAGAATATATTATAACAGCTAGCTGCTACTGAAGTTATCACCAGAAATGCTGACCTGGAAAGCCATCTCATACTTCTGAAGGCAAATACATCTCCGAAAATTCCAAACATAATCGACGATCTCTAATATCACCCCAGCCACCCCATCCCCTAAACCCAGCTTGATAACCTGTTTGATGCTCGTATACATGCACTCCCCACTTCGATTCAAGATTCGGAACTCTATCATTCTCTTCAACTTCAAAGTTGAAAACACCATTATCAATACATACCATTTTCTCACCTTGACCTTGATGCAAACCGCATTTCCCGAAGTGAACAGCGCTTGTTCTAGGCCCCCTCAACGAGTAAACGGGCCCACCAAACGAAGGATATACGGTGGCCCACATTGTTATATCCCAATTATAATCGTCGAACGAGCAAAACTCACCGGCCTTTCTATGAATCTTTTTCCACACTGTTCGATTAAACGCGTACCCCACATTCCCCATTCTCTCAGCTATCAAACTCTCCCACCCTTCTCCCCTAGACTTCACATCCGACGGTGCAAGATTCGCAGCGTAACAATGCGGGCACTTTTTAGGTTTCATCTCCGTAAGTAACTGAATGTTCCGATACGCGTTAGGGAAAATAAAATGGTCTTCTTCTATAAATAGAATGTGACCGAAATGGTTGCTCGTTTCTTTCAAACCATCCCACACTGTATTCATCATCCACCACCAATGATGCTTCAACGAAACAATCTTCGGCGATCTGTGATTTCCGTACTGATCGGGATTCCCTTTGCATTTATTCCTTGCGGGGTCCTCTTTGTCTTTACAATCATTCGGCGAAACTCCGGGAAAGCTATTGGGGAATATATGAGGCGAATAAGGGGCGAAAATCTGCTTAACTTGGCAGAATTTGATTTTTTCTACAATCTTGTTCATCTCTTTGTAGTATCCATCGTGACTGATGATAAGTAGCGTTTCGCTTATACCTACGACTTTCGAGAGGCTATCGATAGCTACTTGGAGATATTGAGGCCGGTTATGAACGTATAACACGATTACTATGTGATTTTTGGCTAATGTGGGGTGTAAATCTAGGTTTCTCGGTGGCATTTGATTACGTTTCTGTAACGAAATCGAAAACTCGTTCTGTTTGGGGAGGTTCGGATTCTTATTGGGAACGGAAGAAAAGTTGGGATTCGATTTCGATCCAACACCTTGATCGGTTTCAGATGAATATCTGCTAGTCAGCTCTATAAACGTATTTGTCCTAAGTAATAACATCAACAGAATAACTAAGAGTATACCTATCAAAATCAAACGGCAAACAGCTACACCTTTCAACCGGGGTTTTCTGTAAGCAGCCGCCATTAACAATAAGAGCTTCGTGCTTGCGCTAGATAGTTAAAAAACAAAACAAAAAAGCATAAAAAAAAAAGGAGCAGATCTTCACCTTTTGGAGAACATTGAAGCTGAATTTTTCACCATGGAGATAGAAAACGAACACCTCGCGACTTGTGGTGTTGACTATCGGAGAATCCAATAAAAAAATGGAAGAAATCAGCTTCAATTGATGAAACGGTGAAGAAAATGGATCGTTAAATGCGTGGAGAAGATGGGTTTTGAAGAATTTCAAGTAGTGGTGTTTCCATTGTTGCAATGGAAGAATTCAGATAGAAGAAAAAAGAAAAGGGGAAATTATATTTGATTCAAAGTTGTGAGACGACTCGGCCAAACACGGTGTTGACTCTGAGTCGTCTAGATTGGAGTTTTACTTTACGTGGGTAAACAGCAATTCACCCACCCCCTCAACTTGCATTTTCTCATTTTCAACTGTTTTATTTTATATATACTCGAAATAATGAAAATATTTAGTGTTTGTATTTTTATATTATAAATAATAATAATATCCAGATAGCTATAAATACAAAAAGTCCAAAATTAATAGTCAAATTAGTTGCACTATACATACAATTGAGTATTGACAACTGACATTAATTTCTATATTTAATTTTTCTTAAAGCTATATTGACTGTTTTATAGTTTTATTAATTCTTAATTATTAATGGTAAATAAATGGAGTAGACTGTAGAAGTACTTACCTAAAATCTTAACCTTTTATATATAGTTAAATAAATCAATAAATTTAAAATAAAAACCTTTTATTTTTTTTATAAAGATATTGAATTTTAGACTAATTTTGAACCAAAAAAAAAAAAAAAAAGTTGTAATTATTGAACAACTCAAAGCACGAGTTATTATCACAAGCACACACTGCCCTCTAAAAATGGTACAATCAAAATCAATCGAAATAAACCTAATCAAAATCAAAATCACAGCCTCAGAGGCCAGTATGCAAATAGTGTGTCACAAATTTCATGTCATCAAATTGAATTTCTGGCTTTTTTTTTATCAAATAACAAATCATCATTCTCATGCCAGAAAATAAAAAAAGAAGAAATATCTTCGCCAATGGACTAAAAATAACTCGAAAAACTTCACTTGTATATAAGTGCGTCACGCCCTGGTCCAATGCCGATATAGTGAATGGGTACACCGACAAGTTCTTCTATCCTCTCTACGTAATTCCGTGCAGCCTTTGGCAGCTCGGAGTACTCTCTGATGGACGAAATATCAGTCTGCCACCCTGGCATAACTTCATACTCGACCTATACAAAAACACGGAGAGAGGAAATTAGACAAAGTCAAGAAAAGTCTACGATTAATCCAAATCCTTTATTATAGAAAGAGAACGTAAATTAGAACTTGCCTCGAGTTGCTCAAGAAGTCGCAAATCTGCAGGGAATGATGGGACTGGGGTTCCATCACTTTGCTTGTACGAAACTCCCAATTGAATTTCTGATAAATCTGACAATACGTCAAGCTTAGTAAGGTTCAAAGAGGAGAATCCGTTAATCTGACAGCAGTATTTCAATGCAGCTATGTCAAGCCATCCACAGCGACGAGGGCGACCGGTTGTAGTGCCAAATTCCTGTCCAGCAAATCTAAGTAAATCACCCCCTTTACCCAATATTTCGGTTGGGAAAGGACCAGAACCAACTCGTGTAGTATACGCTTTCACCTGCATAATTGTTTATCAAGAAAAAAACAGAAAGCAATCGTGAGTAAAACCACTACAAAAGTATAAGATCGAAAATTATCTAAGAAAGGTATTTTTAAGCCCATTTACCACTCCTATAAGATCACCAAGAACTCGAGGAGCAATACCAAGGCCCGTGCAGATTCCTCCAGCAGATGGGCTAGAGGAAGTTACGAAAGGGTACGTTCCAAAATCAACGTCCAACATAGTTGCCTGACCACCTTCTACCAAAATCTTTTTCTTCTGAGATATGGCATCGTTAACAAAATGCACAGTATCGACAATGAAGGGCTCCAACCTCTCAGCATACCTTTTGTACCGTTCAACTTCCTCCTTGAGCATGTCGGGGGTATAGTTAAAACCTTGGAATCTCGATGCAGCATCGGATAATAAAAGATCGAGTTTCTGAGCAAAAGTATCCATATGCCTCAAGTCACTCACTCTTATGCCATTACGGATAACCTTGCTTGAATAGCAAGGCCCAATACCTCTCCTTGTGGTTCCGATGAATGATTTAGCAAGTTCGGCTTCCCTAAGCCCATCGACAATTTGATGAAAATCGAATAATAGGTGAGCACGGTCGGATATTAAGATCCTTCCATCGCAAGCAACTCCGTTGGATTCGAGCCCATCAACTTCTTTGAAGAATCCAGGTACATGGACCACAACCCCGTTACCAATTACACAGAGAGTGTCCTCGTTAAGAATTCCTGAGGGAACAAGGTGAAGCGCAAACTTCTTGCCCTCTGAATTGTAAATTGTGTGGCCAGCATTAGCTCCGCCCTGAGATTAAATGGTATTGAAGGTTTCAGAATAAACAAATCCAAGAAACGAAAAGCACGATTTCTTTTCATTCCACTCAGAAGCTGCAAATGGTTATTCCAAATAAATACTTATGACTTCAATAAAACCACCTCACACATCACCAGTGTGTAGTGTCTAATATATTTATATGACGATAGTCGTATCTTATACAGAGGAAATGGTGCAATTAACAAAAACAAAACTATGCACATACTTATTCAAGGATTATCTGCATGCACTAATGCTTTGAGATAATCACAGGTCAATAATCTTTCTATCCAGGTTAAATTCTACAGAAGGCTCTACAAAAAGCTTCACAAATTAGGTCTCCAAAAAGCTTCATAAATTATACAATTCAAAGAGAAACTTCCCCCAATTTTTGGAAAGTGAAAAGATTAAAGAAAGAATCCCCTAGATGATATTTCTTTCCTTCTTTACTTAGCTATCAAAGAGGACGAACTTGAAAAAAATATGCATAGCGAAACAATCGAAAACCACATATTTTGCCATAAATCGAAACAGGCGAAAATCGAAACTATAAAAAAGCACAATGCGAAAATGAAGGAGAAACAAGCTCACACACACACACACACACACACACACACACACACACACACCTACCTGGCAACGCGCGACGATGTCGAATTGCTTGGCGAGGATATCGACGAGCTTTCCCTTGCCTTCATCTCCCCACTGACATCCAAGGACGCCGGATACTTGACTCAGCGATCCAATCCGACTCGGTCCCGATCCCAAATCAGCAGCTCCTTGCTCTATCACGACGGAGCCGCTCTTCGCGGCAGCGGAGCAGATAATCGTCTTCTGCTGCTTGTTGTTGGCGGAAAAGGAGAGCTGAGGGTGGGTGTGGGACCCGCAGAGCTGTCTGGAGAGTGCGCCGTTCCACGTACGCGGCGAGGAGGAAATGGAGGCGGAGGACGAGATGCTCATGACGGCGGTGGGGCAGCGGAGGCGGAGGGAGTGATAGAGAGAGGATTGAGGGTTTAGGGAGGAGATGTGTCCGACTCAGAAAGTCAACAATTGTGTTTTTTTTTATTTTATTTCTATACAATTTTTCATCTACTTTAAGAAATTTATATTTATATATATAGTTCGAGCAATAATACGTTGGCGAATTAAATTTTGATAAATTTACAACAAGTTTTTAGAAAGCTTATTCTAATTCTATTGTGCCGTAGGCGTAGAGTATGATCTTGAAAATTAATATTCAATAAATTAACAAATTCACTTAAATAATGATTTTTTTTTCTCAAGTCCAACTCGAAGACAATGTGCTAAGTTAATAATTCGGGAAAAATATAAAATAATACATATTTTTAAAATTCCTATATGCCCGATGTGATATATATAAACTAATAATGCCTATAAATAACGTTGCGAACATATAGTATCATCTAATCTACGATAACTTTGTAAATATTCAACAAAATATGATTTATTTTTTATTTTTTATTCTTGTTGAAATTGACAATATCACCTTCAATCCCGCCTCTCGATTTTCTTAATGTGGTAAGAACTTTCGGTATACTTTAGTCATAGCTCAACGGAAAAATATTTAAATACGTTGTTGTTTTAAGAATTTCCGTCCGAGAAACGGACTTTGTAGTAGAACTATTATCTTCAACTCCATCCTATATATCAGTTGCCATGAGGTTTTTCATTATTGTTCGTCGGTCAATATTGTTAAACTTACTTTATTTTCTTCATGATTGTCCAAGAGATATTCAACATCCATTTTGTTACGACAATTCATCTCGTTGATTAGATTTTACAGTTTTCGGGTGATTTCACCATCTAGTGGTTCATCATAATTTTATATATATATATATTGCAAATAATAATTATAATAATAATAGTAATATCATAAATTAAGGTATAAATTAATAATTATTAATTTTTCGATAAATTAATATTTATCCAAATGTGTTGAATTATACTGGTCCAACTGTATTAAATTATATAGATTTAATTATATACAATGTAGTCCAACTATTTCGATCCGTTATGTTGACCTACAAAGCCCAGCCCAATTAAATCCAAACCCGTTCCATTCAACACAAGACTTCGAATAAATAATTTAAGCCCAAAATCTTATTTTCTAAAATAATAAATAAATAAAAAATTCAAGCCCAAGCCTGACTAGCTGTTGACTCATTTGACCAGACTGAATCTCAATCATTTGTTTTGTTTTTTTAATTAGATAATGATTTTTCTTATCATTTAATTTTTGGATATATTATTTGTAATTTCACCAAGCATACCTGTTAAAAAGAAAAAATGCTCATTTGAAGGTTAATATATTAATTACAGATATTAGAAGAGATTAAATAATAAATATTATCACATTATTATTTTTGTTTATTATCCTTTGTTTTAACAGGCTGTCGTATCTTGTACGGTACAACTCTAAGTATAGGGTCCCGACCCCCCACACTTTCTGTTCATACTATGCTCAAAAAAAGAAAAGCAATTAATTTCACTAATTAATTGAATTCGGTATCATCATCTTTTTTTCTGTTCGCGTATTGAATTTTTTTTTTTTTTAATTCTGCAAACCTACATTTTCGCCCTATATTTATTGCAGTAGTCTCCCCTTTTTCTCCGCTGCTGAAATTATTTCGGATCAGAATCTGAATTCCTATCGATAGATACGTATATAGATTGATATACACGTATATGGCGATTCCAGCCGCAATTGTTGTTCTTCCGTTGGGCGTTCTCTTCTTCGTTTCTGGGCTCGTCGTTAATTTAATCCAGGTTTGTGTAGGGTTGCTTGTTTTCGGACTTAAATTTTATTTTTCCGAGCTATTGGGAGCCAAATCAAGTAGGGATTTGGGGATTTTTTTCCCCTCTTATTTTGGCTGGCATCATTTGAGTAGTTCTGTAGGCTTTATTAAGTTCTTAATTGATATTTTTTATTGTTATGTGTATATTTTATGCTTAGTTCATCGTTCTGTAGCTTATCTGTTTGTGTTTATGTTAATATGAACTGAGTGTAAGTGGATGTTTTGTTCAGGCAGTATGTTATGTGCTAATAAGGCCGGTGTCGAAGAACACTTATAGGAGGATAAATCGGCAGGTGGCAGAACTTTTATGGCTCGAGCTTGTGTGGCTCATCGATTGGTGGGCTGGTGTGAAGGTGCGAATCTTTGTAATGTAGTTATATTATATATCATTATTGCACGGGAGCGTCGCATATATTTTGACATAACTTTGGAATGCTTATGGGATTGAGGTGTGATTGTATATTTTCCACATTGCTAATCAGATAGTAATCCGTACTACAGTTTAAAGTTGCCATGTGTATTTCATTTGGATGATGGTTGTTAAATTTGGCGTGAGATTGACGTAGAATCCGTCGAATGCTGAAGTTAACTCAAAGAAAGGTTTGAATGCCGCTATTGCCATGATTTATTTACTATAACGATAGATCGAGCACTCTAGAGTCGAATATGTCAAACTGCCTAGATAATAGATTGTTTCGAATTTAAATGTCCATGTTGGGAAGCTGTTCTGTTGAGCATGTTCACGTGTTTTGAGTTCGTAGTGAAAAAAATCCTTGGCAATTGGCAATAATCACTTTCTATTCTGTTCACTTTGGATGAAAAGCATATCTGTTCTTAGATGAAACTCTCTTATTTCCTGTAGATTCTCATCATCATACAATATGGACTTCAACACCAAACTATATCTTTTTACGTTTGTTAATCGAGGAATGTGCTAATTATTGTCGGTTATTTTCGTGCTGGTCTTGCATTTCATAGTGAAATATCATATGATACTACATGACTTGTGTTAAGTTGAAACCCGTTTATTGACTCTCATATTATACTGGTATTTGTTGCAGATCGAGTTGTACGCTGATTCTGAAACCTTTAAATTGATGGGTAAGTCCATAGAGTCTCTTCATACAATTTGAATGCTTCTTATCTCAAAATCTATATCTTGCTTGTGATTCACATATATTTCGTGATGCTCGTGATTTCCAGGTAAAGAACATGCACTTGTCATATGTAACCACAAAAGTGACATTGATTGGCTCGTTGGATGGGTTTTGGCTCAGGTTTGCCATCTTCCTGTTGCTTTGCGACAACTCTGATCTTCACATTCATTGTTGATAGTACTTTTATTCCCGATCATTATTACATGTCATGCACATTAGCTGTTCTTTCCTAGGAAGCTTTTACTCATTGATTTTTGGATACTTTAACAGCGATCAGGTTGCCTTGGTAGCACATTAGCTGTTATGAAGAAATCATCAAAGCTCCTTCCTGTAAGTACCTAAGATTGATCTTGTTATAGTATTATTCCTGAAGCTTCAGTTATATTTTAGGTTCTTTGTTCCTAATATGCAATACTTTACTTAATGCTAAGATCTCAGCGATAAAAATGAGTAATTGTGTATAAGATTGAAATGAATTGCCTTTATTGTTGAAGTAAATCTAATATACCTTCTTTTGGGACACTTGTATGGTTAGAAATCTGATAAGCTTATTAATGGTGAAATTGAGCTGACAAAGTAAATAGATTAAATAATTTTCTGAGTTAGGGGCACCAATAGGAAGTGATGAAAGAGGTTCCTTTGAAGATTTTTGTCCAGACAAAGTCTTTCTGCAATCTGTGATGTTATATTCTTGTCAAACTATTTCACACCTGGGCCTACTTGTTTTTATATTTCCGTTGGAGCATGCGATAAGATGTACTGAAAATGTGCAATGCAACTACTCACCTATGTAGGTGATAGGATGGTCTATGTGCTTCTCTGAGTATCTCTTTCTTGAAAGAAGCTGGGCAAAGGATGAAAGCACCTTAAAGGTACTGTCAATTGATAAAATGTTGACACCATCATGTATATTTTTTATAAGGGTGTATTGTTTCTTTCTCTTGTGTTTCTACATTTCTTGGTCGTCCTAATTGATTTTGATAAAATCTATTGCAGTCCGGACTTCAACGACTGAGTGATTTCCCTCGTCCATTTTGGCTGGCACTTTTTGTTGAGGGTACTCGCTTCACTCAGGCAAAACTTTTAGCCGCTCAAGAATATGCATCCTCAGCAGGACTACCTGTTCCAAGAAATGTTTTGATTCCTCGAACGAAGGTTCCAACCTGGCCTACTTCTAAGATGGACTACTTATTTTTGTGTTGCAAGCTTATGTCTATTTCTTAACTTTTTTTCCGCCTTTCAAAATTTGGAACTTGAATTTTCTACTTTAAGCAAATTAGAATATGATATGCTCATAATTGCTCACTCTTGGGCGTCTTTCAGGGTTTTGTTACAGCGGTAAGTCATATGCGGCCATTTGTTCCAGCCATTTATGATGTGACTGTTGCTATTCCGGAAACATCTCCCCCGCCAACCATGCTAAGACTCTTTAAGGGGCAGCCCTCTGTGGTAAGCCTACAAAATCTTATAACTCAAAGTTTATTTGGTACCATTGTGGTAAATGGCAATAGACGTGGCTTGGAAGTAATTGTCATGGCTTAATCTGTTTCATATGGTGTACCAGAGTATAAAACCCTTGTGCATATGAAGTTTTACTCGTTTTGTGCAAGAATACTGTAGTTTGCAAGTAATGGCAGTAAAATGGAATTTACCTTTCTAAAAATCATGCCATGCAGACAGCAGTTTTGGGTTATATCATCGTATTATTTCCTGAATTCAAATTCGCCACATCGTTTTCGAATTTTTGTATCTCATAAACAGAAAAGTATCCAAGTATTTTCAAACTGTTGACGTAATATTAAAATGAATATTTTTCAGGTTCATGTCCACCTTAAGAGACACTTAATGAAGGATCTGCCAGAAACGGACGACGAAGTTGCACAATGGTGTAGAGATATTTTTGTTGAAAAGGTACGTCATATTCCAATAACTTATTTGAAATACCATTCTTCCTAAATGTCTTCTCCTTTTGAAGAGAAGTACCTAAGTGTACAAATTTCTTCCCCTAAACAGGATAAGTTATTGGACAAACATAACTCTGAGGGCTCCTTCGGTGAACAACTGCAAGACTTTGGGCGCCCAGTGAAGTCCCTTTTGGTAATTTACTTCGGTGATTTGCTTCGATTTTTTTTCTTTCCCAATTTATTGCATACTCGTATTGAGCGAATATAAATCGTTTCTTGGAATAACAGGTTGTGAGTTCCTGGGCAATTTTGCTTATCTTGGGGGCTCTGAAATTTTTTCAAAGGGCCTCACTTTTCTCATCATGGAAAGGCATCACGTTTTCAGCGATTGCTTTAGCACTCATCACGTTTCTTATGCAAGTCTTGATTCAGTTCTCTCAGTCGGAGCGGTCAACCCCTGCCAAAGTAACCCCAGCTAAGCCTAAGAAGAGTGGGGAAGAGACACAAGAGAAACAGCTGTAAGTGAACTATTTTTCTTGGATAAAATTAATCGGTTGGCCTCGTTATTAATATAGCGTATCCTCTGAGCCAAATTTGTATTGTCCAACGAGGTACTTTTGTCCATTTATTATTGGTTGTAATATTGTAACATTCGAACGTGCTCGTGCTCTCTGATTTTTGTATGGACACAAACAGGCTGTATGCATATTAGTTCATTAATTATGTCAGGACTAGAGAAAGAAAAGAAAAAATTATTACCTGCTTCTGTTCTAGGTTTAGTATGAATGCATTGTTGCGGATTTATTTACTTTCGAATAGTAAGATTAGATACTGCTACGGAAATTTTGTGTTCGATGCGGCGAAGTGGTTTCTGTTCTGAAAATTTTCCTGCATGCGGTTTTCTAAGACTTTACCAACTAAATGCTCTTGTTTCGAGTTTCGATGGTTTAATGTCAATGTATTTTAACGGAAATCGATTTGTACAATGTCTGAAGAATGATGATGCAATCTATGAGTTAATATGAAATATATCGAGCAGATCTTTATCATTCATTCACACACAAATACGCAAAAACTCATAAAAGAATGCCACGTAAGATATATAACGGTTCGTTAGAAAGTAGAAACAACATTCGATAATGATATAAATCGTATAGGCCTAAATAGGCCTAACCCAAACTATAAGTTCGGGCCCACATTTTCTAATAAAATCCCACTTGGTTTAATTAGCCCAAGCCCATTTAATTTAAATAAGAGTATGAACATTCAAATCCAAATGAACCTAATTGAAATGTCGGGGAAAGTAGAGGGGCACTTCGACAATTAAAGTGAAGTGGGAAGGAGTTTTCTGTATTGACAATATTACCCTTGTATATAAACATGTCTCCACCGCCCTCTTCGTTCAATTTCTGATACTCAGTTGCCCTAATTCAATTCACGGTGAAGTGAAAAAGAAAAAGTTTTTGAAACCACCCAATTCGGAAGCGGGGTTGTCAATCTCCCTTCTCATTTTCATTTTTTGGGGGTTCGAAATACACAGAGTGTGTGTGAAAACATGAGTCGGAGTTTAGGAATTCCGGTGAAGCTGCTGCACGAGGCGTCGGGACACGTGGTGACCGTGGAGCTGAAGAGCGGTGAGCTGTATCGGGGAAGTATGATCGAGTGCGAGGATAACTGGAATTGCCAGCTCGAAAACATCACTTACACCGCTAAGGTATTTTTTCATTGTTAAAAATGAAAATAAAATTGAAAAAATATATATTATTCTGATTGTATATGTTTTATTCTCTTCCCCTCAATTGTGCCATGTTTGTTGAAAATATATCTGTTGTTCATTTCAATTTTCAATCGTCCCTTTACATTTGCGGTTCTATGTGATGTTTTAAACCCTAGTGAACAGTGGCAATTATGTAATTCAGTTGAATTACATGAATGAATGATTCTATACTGTACCAATGGTGCACACATCATTCTGGTTTCAATGAACCTAAATTCGCCTTGCTCGTAATTTGACTTGCTCTCGGTAAACGCAGGATGGAAAGCTCTCGCAACTAGAGCATGTTTTCATCAGGGGCAGCAAAGTCAGGTGCATACTTATCTTCTTATGTGAATTGTATATCTGCATCGTATTTTATCTTAAATGTAATTAATTATAAAAAATATCAGGTTCATGGTAATCCCAGATATGCTCAAGAATGCTCCCATGTTTAAGCGTTTAGAAGCTAGGATTAAGGTACCATTCACCGCACCTAATTTAATTTCTTCATTTTTTTGTCCTTTTCTGTTTGTAGTTTCGTCGTCCGTCGTTGATTTCTTGTTTCGATGTGTAGGGCAAGGGCTCGTCCCTTGGTGTTGGACGTGGGCGTGCGGTTGCAATGCGAGCTAGGGTAAGTTCTTTTCTTTGTTATTATTGATAAACATAATAAATCCGGAACAATTTTCAATATTAGTGCAGTAACTCTTCAGTTGGAATGTTCCTTTTCTTCGACTCTTGAATTTCTCATCGTTTGTAGGCCCAAGCTACTGGTCGTGGCGGTGCTCCACCTGGTAGGGGGGCTGTGCCCCCTGTTCGGAGGTGATCGTATACATCAATTTGTGTTGCGGTTCTGTATTTGTTCTAGTTATCCATGAGAAGAACTTTGCTTCGGTTTCTTACTTACTCGCGTATGGCAATGCTTTGCTGTCTGAATTGAGAACTTGAAGTGACTTAATATGTACCTGGGAAGCAAACTGGTTTTGAAATGGCTGTAGTTGCTGTCTTGTAGTAATGTTTTCAATAGGTGGAATGTGCAGTTTAACCGACTTTTTTACAGACTTAAGTTTTGTTCCTGTCGGATTTTGATTTTTTCGTTTCCGTGTATTGAACTTGAGTAAGTGCAGTAGTGGGATGAACTTGTCTGTTTTGTCTAAATGAGCAACTAGTATTATGCTTTTAAGTTGCCGGCTTTTTAATTTCGGTTCTTAAGATATCTCAAGTACATGGAGAAACAGCGAAATCTTGTAATGAAAAACTGCAATAGTCTCTACAAGAGATTCCTATGCAAAATATTCGGCAAGTCAATAAATCAATTTAAGGAATGTGTATAGATCTACGACGATCAGTTTACCTTGCTTTGGTAAATGTCTTCCAAGTAGAATTCCGTTTTTCCCCATTGCCTTACGAAAACAAATACGAAGAACAAACTCAATGTACATGAAACTAGTACACCCCCACTGTTAAATTAGCGAAGTTCCCAACTAAGCAACAAAAGCATTAAATCCTTCATCGTACATTGTACTATACAAGATTGTACCGGATACCGTTCTTGCCCGTTGCCTTTGCCTTTGCCTTGGAGCAGAGTAAACACAAAGAAAGGGATACAATGGTCATTTCAAGTTCAGCTTGACAGACCATTCCCATCGTTAAGAGCACAGCACACAATCGCCTTTTGATGCCCTTTGTAGACTTTAACTTCCTCACCATCAGCCAACGACCATAACCTTGCAGTTGTGTCCGAAGAAGCTGCGAATCGAAATTTTTTCTTAGTGGTAAAAAAAATTAAGTTGAGAATGTGATGATTTACTATGCACAAATAACAGAGGAGCAAGATATAATTCGTAACTCAGTAAAATGGAGGTTGAATTTGATAAGAAAACACGGGAAAGTTCCTAAAATAAAAATATTTTGTAATTCTCTATTGGTCAAAGCTTTTGTTACATAATCAATTTGGTTTTTCTTATTTATTTAATCTTCGTGTTGAAGTCAACAGTTCCAAGCTTGCCAAAACTCATTATCCTCTTTTCAGTTATCCAAAACAAGATTCCGACTAAATCCAACTACTCAAACATCATATATTAATACTGTTCAATTACGTACCCGTGACTACAAAAAGACCATCAGTAGAGAAAAGACAGTCCCAAACCCAGCGTTGATGTCCTGAAACAAACACCGATTAAATCAATATTACAGCGTCGTGAGAAAAAAAAAAAAAAAAAAAAAAAGTAAATACGGTTCAGAAAAAAAAAAAGAAAAACACAATCATAGCCTGCCAAAGGGTCATCAAATGCATACCAACTAGTGTATTTTCCAGAGTAAAACCATCCACATTCCATATCTTGACAGTATTGTCCGAAGATGCAGTGGCCAAGTACCTGTAAGAACCGAGACAACTAGTTCACATCAAATATCATAATAAATCAGATTAAAAAGAAACGGGAGTAAAATTCCAAATCAGAAACTAACCGGTTAGGTTCACACATCTCTGGGGAAAGTGCGCATTTAAGGATATATCCATCATGCGCCTGTAGTTTATGAAGCGGCTCGAAGTTTGTCATAGTCTGCAACGGTGCATAAAGAAATTTCACTATATAAAACCTTCTGGTAAAGACTTTAAAAAGGCAAAATTAACACATACTAAATTCAAGAAATGTCTGACCTGGGTCCCACGTAACAAACGCCACACATAGCATGTTCCGCGATTATTTGCTGCAACTACTAAGCTTCCATCCCACATTACAGTCAAGGATCGTACAGCTGTATCCACTTCTGGTACCTGAATTATAACATCATTTTTTTTTATGGGTTTTTCCGGTAATTAGCATAATTCTTGGTGTGGTTAATAACTATGAAGGACTTTAATAGTTACGAGAGAACTGTTAGCTACTTACCAACTCACAACTGCAAGAATTTGCTGTTAAATCCCAGACACGGATATTACCGTTTTGGTCCCCAGATATCAATTCAGTCTGCAAATAAATCATCAAGAATCTTAATATATAGAAGGTATTTGTTCCAAATACCACGTCTATCTTAATATGCTTAGGCCTCGTTTGGTTGACAGATTTAACCATGATTAATTAAATAATTGGACTTTATTGGATGATCCAAACAACTGTGGAAAAAGTAGCTCTAATTTACGCTAATTGGGAGATCATTTATTGGACCTGTCCCATGAATGCAACAATATAATTGAGGTTTCGTAAGATTATTTATTCTTATCTTGCCTAATTTTATCTTATAAACCACACGTGGCCTTAGAAGTCATGGGCAAAATGCACCTGAACCATCGAAAGACACATATCAGATGTAAAAAAAGGACTGCTTTCCTCTTACATCTTTGTGCGCTCGTTATTGGTTGATGATATTTTTGTAGTGAATAGAGATATGTATTTTAGATAGTAACATACGTATCTCTATGCTATTTAATTTCCAAGCACTACCTAAAATAGCGTAATATTCCAGCAAAAGAATCAAATCTAAAGAAAAAGGCGAACTTATCTGACCTGATTTGGGTGCAAAATAACAGTATTTACTGCTGCGCGGCTTTCATATTCCCTCTGGCAACCTGGTGCTCTATATTCAGAATAGAAGTAGATCAAAATCAACGTCAAATATTGCCAAAAAGAAAAATACAATAAATAAATAATAAATGATTAATCCCGTCACCGTAAAACTCTGTACCTCAAGTCCCAAATTTTTACAGTGCCATCTTCAGAGCCCGAATACATCCATTTCCCATCACATTGAAATCCAACAGCCATTACATTATTAGTGTGCGAGTCGTAGCTCATCACCTGATACGAACGAAAACGAATTTGCTAATTATGCTGAAGACAGCTTTTTAAGAGTTTAAGGTTGATTAAAGAAAATGAAGTTAGCAAATAAATACATTTAAAAAAAAAAAGGTGAGAAGCATACAGGTTGAGGGCTGTTCGAATTGATATCAAAGAGTCGAATATGAGGATTTCCAGCTGCAGCTATGTAGCGTTTATCGGGGGTGAGCTCAAGACGGTTTACTTGCTGCCCATAAAAATAAAAATAAAAATGGATCAATTTAAACAACAATCGGAAATACCTCTTTGCTCCATAAGGCTTATTATACCATGCATATTTGTGAACTACTAGAGCAGAAATGAACCTAATCTCTGCCAGATCACGCATTCTTTCTTACACTAAATCCCATTGCCAATAAACGAATGCAAAGCACGAAAATGTATCCTTTTCGCAGGCTTCAAGCGTTAATCGAAATCTAATTTTTCTATGGATAAATAAATATCCAAAGTTGCTTCAAATGTCAACAGGTATGAAAAACCCTAACTTGTCTTAATATCGGAAACGCAACTCGTATAACAATGCTTTCACTTACGACTTATCAAATATCCAGATACGAAAAGCGAAACTCATTTATGCAAACCGTGATCCCCACATCGATACACATATTCCGATTTTCAAGCCCATGCATCATCGGAAAAATAAAAAAAGGCGATAACATTAAAGGCATACAGATTCAGGGTACTGGATTGTCCGAAAGCAGCGTCCATTTTCGGCTTCCCAGAATCTAATGGTGTGATCATAGCTTGCAGTCGCCAAAACAACTGTTGGTTGAGCCATTTTCTTCTCTCCTTATTTCCTGTTAAAAAAACTGAGAAAAAACACCATTAAATAAAATATTAACGAATCAAAATCAATTGTCCATTCAACCAAACAAGGCCTCGAATCAAGGGTTCATACTTCAGGCAAATAATTTTACTTTTTACCAGCTAGCAACATTTAGAAACAAAAAATTAAAGAAACCCTGAAAATCCACTAATCCAATAATTTATACATTAACATAGGCCGACGATCATACAATTACTGCAGGTGAAAGAAAGGGTTTAAAATTCGTTAATTTTTATTTACCTGTGTGGCGAAAGTCAAACCTTCACCATGTTTTGTTGTAGGGTTTGGATGATTTCATAAGTAAATGGGGCGTTCTTCTCTTGCATTTATTTTCCGTACAAAATACAGAATCTGCTGTTTTCTACTCCGATTCTAGTAGTTCATTCAGGAGGAGAGTGAGGAACTGGTTGATTTTAGAGATTCCCGTTATTTTCAATTCTGTCCCTCTAAAAAGGGAAAATACTAATTCCTACCCTAAATTTCATATCCCCAAAATCCCAATGAGATTATTGTTTCAATTAGTCAATTTTTCGGGAATTGGTAAATTCAAATTTATTTATATAATATATAAAATGAAACCCCGAACGATATGTCATCCTATGTGTCATTCCACGTGTATCTTATGCGTAATTAGTTTTATTTTTTAACTTTCTTAAATCGGTTTTGCATTAGTTATAAAATATAGTCTCGTCAATATTATTATATCAGTATATATTAGTATTAATATTAATATTAATATTTTTTTTGAAAATAAAATAAAATAAAAAATATTAATTTTGGTATTAATATCCATATTAATATCAGCATCAATACAAATGTCAATATTAATACTAGTATTAGTATTAGTTGAAAAATAAATCGATTAAATACAGATTCAAGTTCATTTGAGTGTAGTAGCAAATCAAATCAAATTACTCGATACTCGATTCAAGACTGTTCCTTAAATTCTCATTTACACTCGATTTGTTAACATCCAAACTTGAACACATAATTTCGTTCAATAAACTGTGGAGTTCAACTAAGGGAAAAAAAAAAGTGATTTTTTTTAACATAAAACATAGGCAATTTATCGAGCTCGAGCCAGTTGCTTATCAATACAAGCTCAAACAAAACTTTAAAAGATGGATTAAAATTGAATAGACAAAAATTCTAGTCGATTCATTTTCATAAGAGTATAAATGGGCTTGATTCCTTTAAATGGGCTTTATCTTTTACTTTTTACAAAAACCCAATTTATTACGGGCCTGCAATCCTCGGAAAGGCCTATAAAGAAATTAAAAAAAAAAAAATTGGAAAAAGAAAAAAGGAAGTAATTATAAAACGGTGGGCCCGATTATTGGTCATCTTTGAAGCTACCCTGGTCGGCGCCGTATATGATTTGACCCCTTCACGTTTTAGATGTTTGGTATAATGGTCACCCATGTTAGGTAGGGTCGTTGCTTTTTATGTTTTTAGACTTTACCCTTTCTTATATTCAATGATTTTACAACTGTCAAATTACGACATAACCTCTTAATTTTTTTTTTATTAATTACAATTACATCCATCAGCTATGAATATTATTAAATGTTCTTATTTTTTATTTCAAATTTAGTGAAATGTTCGAGATTATGTGAAATATTCTCCAGGTTGTACCATTTTTATTTCACTCGACTTCTACATTTTGAAACAACGTGTATCTCTTGATTTGTAAATATCATATTATGTTGCATCAAAAATTGAATTTTTTGCACAAAACAAGTACAAACTAGAAAATATTCGGAAGAAGATTTAATATTATAGGAATGAATTTGTAAAAAGATTTATAGTTGAGTGGTGAATGTAAGTGGAGTATTTTCATAATTTCCCATTATCTCATGCCGTGGATTTGTTTAATAAAATCAAGATTTAAATGTTATGTAAATTAAGAATTTGTTTTATTTTTATTTTTAATTTATTATGGAAATATCTAAAATTAAGCTCCACTAAATATGGAGTCGTTACTTTTCTGCATTAACCTGCAAACGAATCAGTTCATGTATCATAAAATTTGAACAGCTGAAACTGCAGAAAGGAAAATTTGAAAAGTACTAATAAGCAAATATCTCAATTCATTTTACCATAAATGATAATCTTGATACAAAAGAATGCAACCATATCATCAAACAATCATCTAACTACAAATTCCAAAATTAATCCACACCAAATTGACAACAACAACAACAACAACAATTATATAGCAACAATCAATAATACTCAATTCAATGCCTCAACAACGCGAAAACGGAGAGGAGGAGCGACGCTCCGACGGCGGCGCCGGAGACAGGCAACGAGAACGCACCACCGGCGTCCGGTGAAGGCGCAGGAGCCTGAGCAGAAACTGTGGTGGCGTACGCGGAGAGCGCAACCACGGCGTAGGCTAGCAGTACGACGGCCTTCGAGATGCTAATTTGCGCCATTTGGTTAGCTAGCAGCGAAAATTCGGAAGAAAAAATTGAGCAAAGAAAGAGAGAGAAGAGATTGAAATAGTGGTGGAAGTACAAAATGAGGTTTGGGGGTGGTGAACAAATATATAGAGGGAAGGGGAGGCTAAAGTGACAGCTGGTGACAGAGAATGATCAACTACAAAGCTTCATATGTATGTATGTGTGATTGGGAGTACTTGTCGGTGACGGCGTGTTGACGCGTTGCTGCTTGCTAGGCTGTACAGTGACGGACTTTTCCACGTTCTTGTTTGGCACTTTAGCTGTCTTTCAAAAAACATCCCGTGCTGCACGCTTATGGTGTTAAATTCAACAGAATTTTCTAGACGTTTTGTGCAAAAATGCAATTTCTGATACACCATAATCTAATATTTACAAAAGAGACACGTCTTATAATGTCATCTTGTTTCGAAATGTGGAGTTCGAATGAGGTAACATGGGTACAAAATTCGAGAATATTCCACATAATCTAAAAAATTCTACTAAATTTGACACCACCAGAATTAAATTTGCCTGTAAGAAGATTCATAATTGAGGGAATAATTGTAATTACCCAAACACGAGAAGAGTTTTCATAATTTGTTCAATTCTAGAAAAAAACTTAGACAAGTAAGTCCCTTGATAAATCCAATCCTCAAATTACAATCAAACATCACTCCTGTAGCAAACAAATTATACATCCAAGCCCAAGACAACCAAAAAAAAAAAAAAGAAGAATTAATCAAGAGCAAAAGGCTCTAATCATAAAAAAAAATTAAGAATCAGGAGTCCTTAGCCAACTTCTGTGCATTCATGAGGGTTTTCGTGAGCCAAATTGCGGTTTCTCTCGAAGAAACCATCTCTTCTCCAAACGGTTTCAACACACCCGAAAGCTCATCGAATTTGTCCTGTTTCAGCAACCTCGCACACAGCTCAAGCAACGATTCCAAAGCATCCGCCCTATGTAGCCCTAAATGTAACGAAGAAGAATCATCCATCGACGCTCGATTTAATATCCGCATGAGTTCTTCCTCAGTTTGCCTCGACATAGTCGGACTTTCTTCTTCGATCTTTTCCTTACCATCACCATTTTCAGCCACCTCAGTTCTTACTACACTCTCTTCGGTCGATCCCCTGTTTTCTTGAATAACAGAATCCTCTGTTTTATTCTCTGTGGCAATTGGACTCGATAAAATCTCCGATTCCGTTATTTTTTCCTTCTCAAATTCAAGATTTTCCAGCTTCGCATCGTTTATATTGACGGTTTCTTTAGTTGACGAAGAGTCGAAATTATCGAGATCGTCTGCATTGCAAGCAGTTGTGGCACAGCTAGTGCCACCGCTTTTAGAATCTTCGCTGTCGTGTGAGATTTTTCCGGAGTAGCTAGTGGGGTCCACTCTCTTCGTCTCGAGTTTGTATTCTATCAAGCCTTCTTCGCCGCCGTCATCGAGTAAATTCGGAAATTTTGTGTCGGTATTTTCGTCGAATAACGGGAGAAGCTCTCTCTGTTTTACTCTCTCCAGAGAGTTTTTCTTAGCGCCAGAGCTGCTAGGTGATGATTTCTTCGTTTTCTCCTTTGACTTGTTCGGCGAGGGAGACTTCACGGGAAGAAAGACGGTGTTTGGATTGTGGCAACGGAGAAGGAACGGTTGTAAATGCGGGTGTCGTAAAAGTTCGGCTGCCTAATGACACGTGTAATTAGTCGAGATTAGCGATAATAATAATATTTAAATCACTCGAAATTCGTATGAGCTTACTGTTGGCCTGTGTTCCGGGCTCTTCCTTAGCATACTCTTAACGATTTGTTTTCTGAGATAATAATAAAAAAATTAAAATAAAAACATAATATATATTATTTCATAATTAATTTCTTACTAGTGACATGAACGGAAAATTTTACGGTTAATGTGTAGTCGACGTGGAGAAAGACTTACAGAGTGGTTGAGTAAATAATCGGAAGTGGAGAGATCAATGATTTGTTGATCTTGTTGATTAATCCAGCCATATCCTATTTTATTTTAAATATTAGCAACAATGTTTTATCGAGAAAGAATTCATTGTAAAAAGAAAACGAACTTACGGTAGCTCTAAATGCTTGTTGGTGTGCAGCAATCTCAAACATACAACAACCTATAAATAAGAATATCATCAAGACTTTTAATCGTAAAAAGAAAAATGACAAAATACGAACTTACGTAAATTATTAATTTTTACGTAATTACCAAGTGACCATATGTCTGATTTATATCCATACGGGATATTTACGAGAAGCTCCGGGCACATATAATTGGGGGTTCCGACAGCCTAGTTTGAAGAACGTAAATTTTCCAAGTTTGTTAGTGTAAATATAAAAGTTTGGGTCATCGTAAAATTCGATAAAAATGTAAAAATTTGGGTCATCGTAAAAATTCATACCGAAGAAGCAAGACCACCCTCGTCGAGAAGTTTTGCCAATCCAAAATCCCCTGTAAGTACAATACAGTAAGTAAACAATATTAAGAATTAATGCAGGGGGGAATTTGTCGTAAAGACTTATTTGCCCTTCTTACCGAGACGGATATCGTTTTCCTTTGTGATAAATATGTTAGATAACTGGAGGAGAAAAAAACAACAAGGATTCGTGTAAGGATCAAAACATTAAAATTGCATGATTGAAACGAAGATCCGCGGTATGTGGATCTTAAGACAAAATTAACCTTTAGATCCCTATGAAGGACACGATTGGAATGAAGATAGTCGATAGCTAATAACAACTGAGTCATCCACTTGCATATTTTCTGGAGCAAATGCGACAAAATTGAACAATAAAGCGTAAAAAAAAGTTAGATAATATGGAATAAAAGAGGAAATCATTTCACAAGAATATTAGCCGATTCACCTCCTCTGGAAAATATACTCCTCTTGCTCTCCTTAATATCTCCGATCTGCACAAAACGAACAGCATAAATACAAAAAAAAAAAAAAAAAAAAAAAAAAGAAGAACGTTCCGAAAGCTCTTAACCGAAAAAAAAAAAACATGCTACACCAAAAGTATCGTTTTTTTATCCAAAACAAACATTAATAACGGTAATAATTTAGCTTACATGTCTTCACCTTCACAATAGTTGGTTACAATGCATATACAACTTCCCTGAAAAAAAAAAGCAATTAAAACGAGTAGTTCCCTTTATAAATACTAAAACTTGTCGAACTAGCTTTTAATAACCCTACTTAAAAGAGTGAGAATCTACACGATACCTTGTCAACCCAAGCATCTTTATATTCGATAATATACGGATGTCGTAGCTTTGCAATTAATTCCATCTGCAAAATAAATAACATCACATATCACCCGAGTATACGAGATCGAATATGCAATCATTTAATTCAATAACAACATAACATTCTAATGATAAAAATCGACATAACAATTATTTAAAGTAACCTCTTGGTGCGCTGTACGCTTAAACTTCTCCGTCTGCTTAGAGATAGGAATTTTCTTTAGAACATACCTGCAGATAAAACTAAAATTACTTTTTGAACCTCCATTAGTAACTCTATCCTCTGCTCTGTCTGAATTTCTTCAAAATGTGTTTCTTTTCTTAAAATTGATAAAACAATCAATCAATAAACAGAACTAAATCAATTTAGCTTTCTTGCATCGGTCTCTGTAATAAATCCACACTGGTAAATTCTACACAATAGAACACTGTATACTTTGCCCAGATTTCTACTCAATAAACACACACACACACACACAGAGGAATGCATGCACAGCAATTTGAAGAAATATATAGATATTAGAAACAGAAAATTCTTACTTTTTATTCTCAGTTTTGTGAAGAACAAGAAAAGCAGCTGCAAAAGCACTTCTTCCAATCTGCTCGATTACTTCATAATCTTCCATCTTTGACTTGGAATCACAGTTTTCTGTCTCCATCAAACCCTTCAAACCCCAAAATAAAAAAAATAAAAAATCAGATGGGTCAAAAATCAAAATCCTCTTTTCAGCTAAAGATTCAACCTTTCGGCAGAATTAATCAGTTATTGAACTCACCCCACTTCAATTCAGCAACAAATTAACAAGATTTTGCGCTTTTAAGCCACTCACAGAAAAAGCAAATCGTGGGTCTTTAAGCAGCAGCTTCAGCAAGAAGAACCCTTAAAAAAAATTGGTTTCTTGATTTTATAGGAAAATAATAATAATAACAAATAATTAATAACAACACTCTGACGCTCTGAAATAATGAAGTTGTCGAGTTACGTGATATAATTATGGCACCGAGTTATAACAATAGTCTTCTGTGTGTGTGTGCGTGTGTGCGCGCGTGGGGTGGGGGTGGTTGGTGGTGTTTGGTTGAGAGAGGTGGGGTTGGGGGAGAAGACGCACTTAATCAGCATTTTGGGGGTACAATTATATATAATGGACAGTTAAAGGGCTCACTATTAAAAAAACCCAAAGTTCAGCCAAAGCTAGTAAAAAAAACATTTTAAAATAATATAATAAGACACGAGTCATAATAGAATTTTGCAATACTAATTTCATAATTATATGCACTATAATTATTTTTTAATTATTATTAATATGATATTGAGATGGTAGAAAGGTAAAGTTGAATGATAGGTATGGAAGAACAAAAAACTTTACCCTATTTGTATATATTATTATATATTTATTAAAGAATCAAGAAAGAATCATCCTTTTCACACCGGTGAAGTCACCATCCTCACCTAAAATTAAATTACAAATTATCTAAATATTTTACCCCATAATAATTAATTATTAATTAGCCAAAATTAATCCTCTTTATGTTGTATAATATATAATGGCCTGTGATTTCAATAGTTTTTAACTAAAAAAGGTATATTCTTTAGTGACAAACACAGTGGGAATTGAAGAAAATTATCTTTGAAATGTGATTACAGACATTATGATTGCATTAGATATATATTATGTATTAATTAATATATATCTAAAGTTGAAGGGTCTTTTCTAAATTAAATGCCCTTTAATTGGACTAATTAAGCAAACCCCACCACTCAAAAAACAACAAATTAAAATAAACTAAAAGTTGAAGGGCTGTGTATATATATAATATAATATATTCCAAATTTTCAACACTTTGTGCATTATTAGTTGTTGCGAAATATTATTCATAACCAATTGATATAAAATGAATTTTTAAGGACCCCATGCATATTTTGTATGCATATATACTAAGAGTACTGTACGTGCTATATATATCTACCAAGATCCTATATATAAATATTTCTCATTGAAAGCCTATGCTAAGTACATCTGAATTGACATTCATTGACTAGGTCAAAGGTGTTATTATTTCACCTTTAATTTCAATCAATTTATAAGTTATATAACCTTAAATTTTGTCCAAACTATTTTCCATAGTTTTTTTTTTTTTTTGATAATGCAGGAACCCGCAGCCAACCATATAGGTGCACTGGGTAAACCTACACTCTCGTATAATAGCTTGCAAACCATACGAGAGATGTAAACCACACTAGGTTAACCATGTGTGACAAGCTCGACCTAGCGACCGTTGGCAAGGGGATTCGAACTTGGGTCAATTGACCCAAGCTCTCTTGCTCCAACCGCTAGGCCACCCTTGCGGGTAACTATTTTCCATAGTTGGATGGGATTCAGGTGGATATAGTAAATTGCATGTCATTATTTCTCATTATTCAGATGGGATTGAGCGTTTCGAAATAAAAAATCCAAACACGATTGAAAGTAAATTCGAACAATCATGCATTCGGCTCGAATCATACTGGATTTTTCCGGATCGTAACGGAATATTTAAAATCGATAATAGGGGTAAAGGGGCAAGGTTGGTGAGAGAACAATCAAGTTGGTTTTTTTTTTCACTATAGAAAAATAAGCAAAATTTAAAGGGTGGTGGGGGCATTAATCCTGTGAGGAAAAGCCATCCAATGTTTGCTGGTGAACTAGTTATTATTATTGTCCTTTATCTATTTAATTCACTTATTTCTTCCACAAATTTAAATGGGAAACTTTTCAATTTAATCTCCTGTCGGTAGGTCAATGGTCAACGGTCATTTTTATATCATTTATTTTTACATACTGGATCAAAACAGTAAAAGTTTTAGGTATTTTACTCAAAAACACTTGCACTAGAAAAAGGAAAATAATTTATATGTGTTTTCACTTTTCACTTGTAAACAAATGAAAATTCTTGGCCACTTATTAACTGTATTATTATTCGATTAACCAACCTTATCTAATCTAATAGCTCAGCAAGACAACCACCTTATTAATTAATTGTTTAATAAATTTGGACGATTTTTCATTGCAACCCGATTGAGTTCTGAGACTATGTTGAATGTTTTTCGATAGAACTTATCTCTAAAAGTTTGCTCAAGAAGAGAGAATGTTTATTCCATAAATAATTAGTGAATGAGCCTTTTACAAATTTTCGATGCGGTATAGTATCTTATTTTCGTCTATGTTTAATAGAAATCGGTAGCCGACCAAATGGTCCACACCAACCGCACTTCGTACGATAGCAAAGCATCGCTTCTAAAGTATTATATATATAATGTGACACATTTTATTGAAGAAGAAAAAGGATATATAAGTGAAGGAAATTATCTTATGAAGTTGGCCCTAATTTGCTCCATTTTTTATGACTCAAATTATGTAAATGAAGCTTGACTAATTATGTCTCATTCTTTTATTTTAAAAATTAGGGTAAATTACAAACACCCCCTGAGGTATGGTCAAATTACAAAAACACCCCTCTTGTTTGAATAATTACAACCACCCCCCTCAACTCATCAAATTTAGTGGAATCTTCGAGATTATATGGAATATTATCACTTTTGTACCCATTTTATCCCATTAAAACTCTACATTATGAAGCAAGATGATCATAATATGTGATTTTTAGCTTGTATATATCAGTTTGTGGTGCATCGGAAACTGTATTTTTTACACAAAAAGATTACAAACTAGATCACATTTCACGGAATCTAGATGACTATGTTGAATTTGGCACCATAGAGGTGGAGGTCTAAGAAAAAATCATAGTTGAGGGGGGTAGATGTAATTATCCAAACAAGAGGGGGATTTTTGTAATTTGACCATACATCATGGGGGTGTTTGTAATTTACCCTAAAAATTAATTTGAATTTGTAGTTTCCTTAATGGGCCAGTCCACCAATTACAGGCTGCGGCCTTTTTATAAATAGAACAAAATATTATGGGCCTGGCCCAAATTTATGGACCCATGAATTTACACTGACAGTATAATTAGTTAAATATATGATTTCAAAATTTATGGGCTGAAAATACTAACAGTGTATAAATTACAATATAAAGTATTTCAAATTATTTTTCAAGCACAAATAATTAAATATAAAATGAGAAAGTAAAACTAAAACTCAAAGATAAATAGAAATTAAAAGAAAAAAGAAGATTAAGAAAAAAAAAGGGTATAATTGGCAAAAAAATATAATTAAGTTTCAACGTGAGGGAGGTAAATGGGTATTTAAAACGTACAAGTGTGGCTAAGTGAATGATATACAATAATGCAAGGGAGGTAAATGTAATTTGCACTTTTCCTTTTCTCCATTTTAGGCGAAAAATAATAAATAAATATTGATACAAAGGAAAGAAAACGAAGTCATTAAATCATTTCAAAAAAAAAAAAAAATCATTTCTTTTTTCTCCTTTTCTCTTCTCTCTCCATCTCTGTCTTCTCTCTCTACTCACCTCTCAAACTGCTCCAATTATCTCATAGATTAAGGTATTGTTTACGCTTATGTTCACTTTGATTCTTAGCTTTCTCGTCGAGTCGACTCAGATTTACTGATCTGTTGAGCGATTTTCTTCCGTTTCGTCCTCTTTTTTTTTTTTTTTTTGAAACACTTTTCTGGTGGGTCAGGAGAGATAGTCTAGATATTCGTGTCCGATTTTGATAAGTTAAAGATCGTCCGATTGACGGATTTGTTTATTAATTTCAAGCTGAAATTTGTCCTTTGTCTCTGCTATGTTCATGTTTTTTTTTTTGTTTAAATAATTTTTTAATGAGTTGGCTGTGTGATTCTGGTTATGCATGTGAAGAACTATGAGTATGCTTACAAATTTGAACTCTTATCAATCAGTTACTGTATGTAGGAAATTATGTATAGGTTGTTTAATGTTAGTATCTGTTTCTGACAAAAGGGAATTTTGTGAAAAATGTTTGAAGTGTGGATTTTTTAAAGGTTTTATGATATTTGGGGTTTTTTTGGTTATATGTTGATTTTTGAAAGGTTTTTTTGGATCGAAGGGATTTCGAGAGAGGGGGAGAGATTTGATTTATTCGGATTTTCCCGATTTCGATTAATAAAATTAATATTGTTTTGGAATCATTGCTATTTGTTCTTTAAGGATATTTGGATTTTGGAAAAGCTTATCATGTTCATCGTTTGCTACTCGTTGATTGTTCTTTAATAGGTTTTCCGATTCTTTTGTATCGAGAATCATTGAATAAGTGTTTACATTTGAAGCAAATTTAGTGAAAGGATAAATATAGCAACTTGGTGAAGTTATCCGTTATGTTTATAGACGGAGGGATATATTTGGTACCGTAACAAATTTTTCATCATGTATCGAATGTATGGTGAATGTAGCAACTTGTTGAGGTTGTCGTTTATGTCAATGGATCGATATCTTTATAATCATTTGACAAAGAAACCAATCGAACATTAGAAAAATTGGAACAGCTTTACATGAAATTGAATATGAAGTTAATTCTTTATATTTCATCTTTTTTATTGATATTGCTTCCACAATTTTCTCTTGCCTCTTTTCCTTCATTAGGGAAGTTGCTTAAAAAATGGAGTCAACGAAAGAGAGTGGCTGCCAAGCTTCGGAAGGACCAATTCTATGCGTAAACAACTGTGGCTTCTTCGGAAGTTCGGCTACTATGAATATGTGCTCCAAGTGCCACAAGGACATGGTATTGAACCACCAAAACGCCAAGCTGGCAGCAACGTCTATCGAGAACATCGTTAATGGCAGCACAAGTACTATCACTCAGAAAGATCCCATTTTTGCCCCTGCTGTCAATGTGGAAGCTATGTCGGTTGAATCGAAGAAGCCCGATTTGAGTTCGGGACTGAATTCAGAGACGAAAGCGAAAGCGGGGCCCACTAGGTGCAGTTCTTGCAGTAAGCGCGTGGGGCTCACGGGGTTCAGTTGTAGGTGTGGGAACATATTTTGCTCTGTTCACCGCTACTCTGACAAACATGAATGCCCGTTTGACTACAGAGCTGCTGCGCAGGATGCTATAGCGAAAGCAAATCCTCTTGTTAAAGCCGACAAGCTCGATAAGATTTAGAGGAAAAAAGAAAAGATGTGTGGTGGGCTTTAAAAATGATGATTTTGTGTTTGTATATGTAAGTGCTTCTTGGTGGAAGCAGGTAATTGTCGTAATAGGGATCTCGAGTGACGTTTGGGGGTGGATTAGGGCGAGAGATATAGAGGGAACCGCTGTGATTTATTGCATTCGTATGACCGGGTGTCCGTCCTTTTTTCGATTGGCTATGGGTTCGTTTGGTTTTGGTCTACAATGTGTGTGTAAGTTGTTATTTGCTGGCTTGAATGACATTGTTGTGGTTTTTACCGTGCCTGTTCTCGTTTTGCTGTATGTGTAAAAAATGCGAAGAATTATGTTTGTGTACGAAATCAAGAATTGCCTAATACGGGGAAAGGCAAAAATCGAACCTGTGACAAAAGCCACGAACACATGCAGAAACTAAAACAGAGGATGTAGCGAAGGAAACCGGATCGATGAATTCGCTCCGGTGTTCGTTTAGAACAACATATCATATATCATGCTATCACTATTGTGCCTACTACAGTTTGCTTCTGAACAGATAGTCATATGATGGATCAAAAAACATGAAAGAATTACAGCAGAAAAAAGAAATAAATTCGAAAAACTCGTTATTCCAGCAGTTTTGAAGGGGGGGAAACCCCCCACCCAGAAATGAACTAACTCATAAAATGAGCCCTCAATTGATCAAGAGCATCATTCCAAACAACAATGGTTCGCACAAATTACATTTTTATTCCTCGAAACAGCTAATAACTGCACAAACTTTTTAGGAAAAAAAGAAAAAAAAAGGTATAACCTTGATTCAATCAGATTCGGCGGATTCCAATTCGAGCCTTTCGAGGGCTTTCTGGTGGGCCCAGGTCTCAATGGTGAGATCGGGCTTGGCGCTGAGGCCGACTCCGAGCATAACGACGGTGAGAAAGCTGGTGATGTAGCAGGGAAGCTCCCAGTCTTCCCAATTTCGTGACTCTCCGATCGGCGGCGGTGGCCGGCTGAACGCGAAGCCTTTGGGTTGATCCTCGTGTCCTGCTGTCGCCCATCTGCTCGGCCCGCCTCCTCCTCCGCCACGTGTCCGGAGGGACGGACTCAGTCGAGACCTAAGAGAGCTAGCAGCGGTTGAGAGAGATTTCAACGACGCCATTCTGATTTTTTTTGGTAGAGAGAGAGAGAGAGAGATATATATACACAGAGAGAGAGAGAGAGAGACGCGATCAGAGCTTTATTTGGGTTAATCGGAGAGGATTTGTGCCTTTGTGGGAGGGGGAGGAGGCAAAAAACGACGACGTGTTGAATTGATGGTGGAGATGCGATTTTTACCTGGTATATGGCAGAAATGACAATTTAACCACTTCATAGTTTGAATATTTCACTCATGTCCCTTTATTATTACTTTTATGCCATTCAAACCCAAACGTTTTTTTTTTTTTTTTTGTTTTTTAAAATTATTATTAGAGTAAATTACGCTACACCCCTGAGGTATCTTAATATAACTTTGATATCCCTGTGGTGTTTGTAATTGGTGCCACACCCCTGGAACAATTACCGGAGCCAACCGATATGCGCTATATTTTTTTTTCCCACCGGCCGTTAATGCTACCATAAACGAAAATTTATAAATCTTATATAAAATAATGAGGATTTAAGAAATGTTAGGAGAACCATGTCACCCACTAGCTCTATGCTGTCTCTACCATTATCTGAAACTAATAGCCTTTTGGAACCCTAACGAAATACTTATCCAATGCATGATTCCGTTAGGATTTCTAACAATGTTTCAGATGTGATTGTAATTACCGATACGATAAGGACCTTAAAGTTATTTTAGCATACTATTACTATTATTACTCGAATGTATATAAATCATGATAGCTTCGAATTTATATAAATAGGGTAAAACCGTCCAACCTCGAATTTAGTCGAACGAAATTCGAATATTTAAATTTTTTTACAAAATTAGAGCCTTTGGCCCATAACTAATTTACCGAAAATAGAATTCATTACATTTTTCCATAAAAGAAATTTACCAATAATCTCCACACAAACAAACTCCATTCACAATATGATGAAACCTACTTTTATCTCTTACAAACACCTCCCTCCCATAAACCCCAGACACAAACTTGGCAAAGTTATGGCAATCCACGCAAATCCGAAGGTTCTTCATTATCCTTATCGGCTTCGTTTCCGAAACATTAATCATTCCAAAAGCCAAAGCGAGCTTCTCACTGTGCCCTAAAAGCATCCTTTCTTTCTGCTCCTCGTCAACATCGTACAAAACAGAACTCAAATCCGGACAATAACCAGCTGTCTTAATCCTATCCGATAATTCTCTTACCTTCAAAAACACCTCTTCTTTTCTGGGATGCGATCGATCACTAGCATAAAACGTATGTATTGTATGATCAAACTCGATCCAGCTCTTCCCTGGTTCTTTTATCACCGCTTTTTCCTTCATCAACTCCCTCAATTTCCTAACTTCTTCCCAATTTCCCTCGCATGCATATAAATTACAAAGAATTACGTAATTCCCAGCATTTTCTGGTTCTATTTCAAGAATTTTCCTCCCAGCAATCTTTCCGATTTCCACGTTTTTGTGGACCCTACAAGCACCCATAAGCGAACCCCATATAGCAGCGTTTGGTTCGAAAGGCATCTCTTTTACGAACTGCAAAGCCCTCTCTAATTGTCCAGCTCGCCCGAGTAAGTCAACAACACATCCGTAAAGCTCTATACTAAGGTCAACCCCGTTTCTTCTTCCTTTCATCTCATCGAAAAATTTCAGCCCAATATCCTCCATTCCTCCATGACTGCAACCGGATAACACAGTCAAAAGAGTGGTGCTATCGGGTTTGACTTTATTTTCGGTATTCATCCTATTATATAAGTCTACTACGGTTTTCCCAATTCCATGCTTACTGTACCCTGAGAGCATAGCGTTCCAAGAGATCACAGTTCTCTCAGGCATTATCTCGAACACCTTCCTAGCATACGAGAGGTTCCCACATTTTGAGTACATATCAATCAACGAATTTTGTAGGACGATGTAAGAAGATAGTTCGGATCGAAGAACATGTGCGTGCACTTGCCTTCCGTATTCGAATGCAGCAAGCCCTGATAATGCAGTTATAACACTGGCGTAAGTAACGAAGTTTGAAGGCATTCCTTCTTTCTGCAGTGCACAGAATAGCTCGAGTGCTTCTTTATCGAGTCCTAACTGAGCATAGCCGGAAATAATTGCAGTGCAAGAAACAACGTCTCTCTCCGGCAGAGCTTCGAATACGGTATGGGCTTCGTGGATTTTTCCAGCTTTGGCGTATAAGTCGAGAAGTGAGCTACCGACAAATATGTGGAATTCAAAAGGGGTTTTAATGATGAGTGAGTGTATTTGCCGGCCATGTTCGAAACCAGAAGCACCGACACAAGAGGTGAGCACCGTTGCAAAAGTGAACTCGTTCGGGTAAGTACCTGTAACCTTTTTCACGTTACAACAGCATCAGAAAAGAAAACGAAAAATATCTATTTTTCATGTCTTTCGACTTTCAGACGGTTCTGCAAAAACATTTTAGAAATCAAACCTGATCTAAGCATCTGAACAAAGAGAGTTAGAGCATCAGAGTACAGCCCACATTTGGTGTACCCAGAAATCATAGCGGTCCAAGAGACGACATTTCTTTCAGGCATTTCATCGAACACCATTCTGGCATCACGCAAAACCTCACACTTCAAGTAGAACACGATCAGCCTGGTTCTGAGGTACACAGGGGGGAGATAATGAGTTTTAATCATGTGGGCTTGCACCCTTTGGCCTCCAATCAAAGACTTTTGATTCACACATTCGTTTAACAGAGAATCATAGTCTTTGAATTGCATGCCGAGTCCCTGCACCGACATTTCTTGCAATGCATGATTTAGTTGAGTGTTCGAACAATATGTTTTAATTAGTTGGTGGGTTGTGAAAAATCTGTTTGTCGGATGATGTAAATGTTGAGTGATTTTTCTCAGCATGTCTGTAGCTTTTACGGACACATGTTTCTTAGTGGAGGTCTCAATAAATGATTTATATGTTCATAACTCATAACTCATGAATTTTTATTTTTTTATTTTTTTTCTATTCTGAAAATAACCTCTAACAAATGTTAATTTAATAAAATTAACACGTAGTTTGAAGAATAAAATAGTTTTTTTCCTCATTTAATCGTCCCTATTAAGTTAATTTCCATGGTTATTTCTACGTTACAACACCCGGTGTTGTCAATGTGGGTATAGTCGATGTGTGTTTGTGTGTATATGAGTGGTAAAGATCTACATCAAGCCTGCCTTCTCTAATTTTTCAATTGTCGTTATTTTGTTACATAAATTTCAGATTTTGATTGAAGAGCTACTAAAGCATGTATACATATAAAATAAATATACCTATATATATATATGAGGAACTAAATGAAGTCTTCTTTTTCAGAGCCTCTGGATAAACAAAATAAAGATTTCCATCCGACAACAATTGGATGGCATGGAAATCCAATCTCAATAATGCTAAACCATAACCTCTCTAATTTCCACTTAATTAATTAATACTCTACTAATAATAATATATTTCGTATATATACAAACTACCTACTCCTCTCCTTCAAAGCTCCATTTTCAGCTGATTCGAGTGCAGAGAAGCTGTGTCGAAAAATTCAAAAGTTAATTCATATTCGATTATTTTTCAAGAAAAAAGGAAAAAGGCGGCAAAACTTTAATATACCTGAATTTGCAGGAGAGTTGTCGTAACTTAGTAATGAATTATCCGGAGTAATGAAGTTAGGGGCTTGTTCTTCTCTGCCCCACGATGGCTGATTAAGTTCGTCAAAATGCCATGGCTGTTGTTGATATTGATTTTCTCTGCTATCGTTGATTTGCCCCTCTCCCCAAATTGACGGAACAAACATGCCCAGGTAGCTATTATCGATTGTGGAGCCGCTCTACACATCAAATAGTTGTGTATATAGTAAGTTTAACTAACACCAAATAATTGCAATAATTAACAAACAAAAAGGAGAAGAACGCAATTTTTGCTTCATTACCTAACAAATTATGCAAGTAAGACCGACTATACCCAGTTAGATAGTTTGGCAATTTGCCACTCAATCAATTAAAGGATAACATTTAGTGCACGGAATGTAAACTAAGAAATACTTACTTCGGCAGCTAAGAGAGCATCAAGGTTGAAATCGATTCTTGGATTAACAGCAGCAAGTCTCATGGATAAAAACTGAAGAATCAAAAAGAACATTTTCAATTAGCTGAACTTGTTAAACGGGAATTTCATCAAGGATACATCTATTCTCGTTTTTTTATATAATAGACTAATGATTTGATTCTATTTGCTAATATTTCGCCAATTGGTCAAACTTGAGCATAGACCAACAGATTAAGTCTAGCATTATACTTAAGTGGCAATTATGCGTTGAGTCTGACCTCCACTTGACGCTGAAGTGCTTGCACGTGATTTATTATTTCATCAAGCACCATTGCAGTACCTGAAATCTGATCGAAAAATAAATAAATAAATCAATTAATTTGTATTCGTTTCCGCTGATTCCTATAACATGCAGAAAAGTGAACGTGAAAAAAAATTAAAAAAATCCCCAAATTTAAGATTCTTTCAGCTGCCATGTTGCAAGAACTTGATAAAAATGCATCTGCTAACTAATCTCCAGTCACTTATTTTCACAACTTAGAAGGTCCCATATATAAATATGTAATAAGAGCAAAAATCATTTACTAGGGATATAGTGAAAAAGATTTAATTTAATATAGTAAATGACAAGAATGCCCTGCAAAAGGGACATGTAACAGACCAACGGAAAAGGCCAAAAAGGTGAAGACGCAGAGCAAGAATTAGGAGAGGGACACTTCAGCAGCGGCCCGCCACTTTTCTTGGTGCAAAAGGCATCAGCTTTTTCTTTCCCCAATTAAAAAAAGTTGAGAACGACCCCTTATTTATATATTATCATCATATATCTTTTTTTACAAAACCCAAAAGCAAAATCTAATCATCACAAAAAAGTATAATCAAAAGGAAGACGAAGAAGAAGATTTTCTCCTATGCGCACGTAATTCAAAATCAAAATCAAAATCAAGTATAATCACAATTTAGTCCGTACAGAAACAACTTTTTGAGAAACGACATCGTTTTGAGAGATCAGACCTTGTTGCATCCTGGGACCAGCTCTTGTAGCAGCTTCATCCTGGCGTTGATCTTCTCTCTCCTTGCCTGCATTGCAAGGGATTTAAGTTCTACTAATCAAGATTAAGGAGATGATTATAGACTTTTTGATGTTTTAAATTAGATTTAATTAATTACTCTTTCAGCTAAGCTGTGGCTATCTGTGGCTTGGCCCCGTCGAGCTCTGACATGAACATATGGCAGCTTCTCCCCCCTTTCTTCAGGAGCTTCATTTTCCACCATTTTTTTGCTCTTTTTATTCGATTCCTTCACCTGATAAATATTCAGTTATTATTACTTACGTATATACATATGTTTGAAAGAAAAATTCAGTGGGGCTTTCGGATTATAATATTTTTCCTTGGATTTTCTAGGAATTGAAACCCTAATTTGTGGCTTCTTTGAACTTAAAACAACTGTTAAATGCTAATTTTGCCATAATTATACATTTTTAAGTATTCAAAGCCTGATTCAAAAAGCTTAATGATGAAAGTAAATCTAATCCAACTTTAGCTTCAAAAGTTTTAAAGAAAATCAAAATCAAGGGTGGGTATGTAAATTACCTTTTTCTCCCTCTCCTTTCGTTTGCTGGACTTTGTGCTGTGGTTAGAGACGGCGGGTGAAGAAGAATTGGGGTGAGAATCTCGGTCCAACGGCTCCTGCTTCACCGATCTCGAGGCCGACATATTGGTCATACTCTCCGGCGAATTATCAGCCGAAGCAAAGACGGAGAACTTTGACGCACGGTCAATGAGCGCGGTATCGGAGGGAAAAAAGGGCGGCGGGTGCACGGGTTTGGCCGGAAAATCTTCATTGACTAAGAGCTCCACAGCTTGCGGCGGAGGGAGTTCGAGAAGCGCCGTGAATGAGCTCCGATCGATTTCCGGTAGACCGGATATCAGGCCGTGGATTTGGTCTAACCCGAAATCCATTTCTCCAAGTTTCGGTCCGGATATTCCGGATCTAAATTGCGGTTGAGATGCTTCAACTTTTGGTTCCATATATAATTTAATAATATTCACCAACTTTCACTCAATTCCGATATCGAACTCGAAATTGTTCAAAAACGTGTGCAGAAAACAAACAAATGGAATTCAGCCGCGAAAATGGACGATGAACACAAACAATTGGGGTTTAATTGTTTATGCAGATACTACGAATTCTCTTGCGAAATTCAGAGCAATGACAAAAAAATCACCCAATCAATTCAGTACGAACCAGAATTCCGCAAAAACTCGAACAAAATTCCAGCATAATTACCAGAAAAAGAAGATCAAAACGAAATTAGAAAATGGCGGAAACAATTCAGGTATGGCTGGTGAAAGGTGAGAGACGTGAGCTCGATTCAGAACTCTTATTTTTGTGTTTAATTGAAACCTCTGAGTGAAATGAGAGCTCCGATATCAATGGCGGTCAAAGGCTAGTAATCAGCTCACTTTCTCTCTCTACAGTGAGTGTTGAGTGTAAAATGGATTTGCCTATTTTCTCTCATCAGTTTATATCAACTGTACTGCGAAAGTGCGAAAGCTATGTTTGCTATTTGGTCCCTACTCTCTCTGCATTCTTTCTCTATCAACCCCAATAATTCTTAATTTATATCTTTTTCCCCATTTAATGCTCTATTAATTGTCACCTTAATTCTTTGTTAAATGTTTTGTGCGTGCCGATAAACATATTAACCAATGTTTTGAAAACCGGACCGGACATAGAACCGGACAACCTACTGGGTCACGGTTGGACCGGTTCAACCGGGGTCCGACCGGGTTTTTATATATTTTTTTTGATTTTTTAATATATAAATCTTAAGATGACTATTATACAAATATTTATTCAATAATTACATTATTCATTAAATGTCAACCAAAAACTCTAATTTAGTAATTTATGAATTATTCACAATAAAATTAAAGCATAAAGAAAATAGAAATAAATTTTGAAACATTAATAGCATAATTTAGACATTACATATGTCATTAAAAATTAACGAATATAAATGTTTGAAATATTATAAGAAAAACATAAAATATCTAACAATAAATTACTAATTCTATTTTATTTACGAATATATACATTTATATATTCAGATAGTAATTTTATATGTATTCAGTATTAATAGAAAGTAAAATTCAAAAAAAAAATATTAATACAAAGTAATAAAACAACATTAAACAACAATTAATACTATTTAAATTACTCCCCCAAACCCTAATATATAAGTATAGAAACCCATTATTTACCTAGCCCCACCGCCTCCCTCTCTCTCCTTCCTCGTTTTCCACCTCTATGTTGTGCACTTCCAACTTTTTTCTTCTCTTTTTTGCCTTCCCCAACTCCTCACAAACATTATCTATATTCATGTGGTGTTAATATTCTACTGGAACTACCTCTAACAAATCAAAAGTCCAAGAGAAGTGTAAAGAATTTACAGTTTATGTTTATAGGTAGTCTTTTTTTTCTTTTTTTGTTTCTCCCTGTGCATAAATCCGGTTTTTGGGGCCGGTTTTTACCGATTTTTGCCGGTTCAACCGTGGTTGAACCGGTTCATTAGCAGTTGACCCGGTTTTTTTGCATTTACGGGTTTTGAGGTCGACTCGGACCGGACCAGTCACCGGTTCGCGGTTGAACCGGTTGGACCGGCCGGTCCGGTCCGGTTTTAAGAACATTGATATTAACCAACATCGATTTAATATAATTTGTTGAATTCATTTGAATAATTTTCTCGTAAATATTTACAGTCTAGATATTGTAATAAAATCACAATTGACAATTTTTGAAAATTATTAAAATTAAGAAGGATTAGTCAATTATAGAGTAATTTACCAAAATAGGCACAACGTCTAACGAATCGGGTGGACCGTAGAGTGGGGACCGACCCGACAACCGCCTTTCATGGGGCAGCGGGTGACCCGTCATTTTCTTTTCATTTACTCCTAATTAATTTACTAATTACCCTTACATACTCTCATATATAAATATTATATTTACATATTTTATTATTTAAAGTTATATATATAAATTTTTTTTTTTTTGCCTTGTCTCGTCATTATTACGAGGCTATTAAATGCGGGTCTTGAATTCGTACGTTGTGGGTCAATTATGTCGGCCCAATAAAGAAGTGCTTTCTGCCAAGGGGTCATTAGCAATAAACCCCTCATATAGTTAATAAATAGTGATATGTCCACCCCTTAAATCTTTCTTTGTGATAAACCCCTAGAAATTGTATTCCCAATTCTACCCTTGTATCAATTAGCATAATTTCACCCAATTATTCCTTTTTTTCTCTCTTTCCATAATCATAATTTAATTCCTAAAAATATATTTCCAAATTCCTAAAAATTGCTACCAAATTAAAAAAATTATTTTTTTTATTTTTTATTATTTATTATTTTCGGATTTTATTTAGTCATTTTTTATTTTTATTTTTATTTTTTTAATATTTTTTTAATAAAAATATTTTTTTTTTATTTTTCTTAAACAAAAAATTGAATTTTTTTGGACAGTTTACAATGCCGAATATGACTATAGTTGAATATGACTATATGTGACTATGTCAATTGTAGTCGTATTATTTCTTTATATTGCACTTTTTTTACATTTTTAGCTTTAAAAAATCCGATTATATAGTGTTGTACAGTCATGTTTACCAAATTATATAAAACAACTAAGATTCCCTATTGTTTAGGGAAACAATACAATCAACATCCACACAAAAAATCGCAAAAGAATCACAATTTGAATCTTGTTTTTTCAAGTCAACTTGAAACGAGAAGATAGAACATATTCGAATATGACTACAATCATATTCAACAATAGTCGTATTCAAAATGACTACAGTCATATTCGAAAAAAATACATAAATATGACTATAGTCATATTTGAATATGACTATAGTCATGTTGCTGCTACTGTACAAATTTGAAATTATATTTTCAGATCTGGAGGGAAAAAAAAAAGAGAGAGATAAATCGAAAGTACATATAAAAGGGGAGAAAATTAACGAACAAGATGGAGGGGGAGTACGCTTCAATTCATCTAACTAAATACATAAATATGACTATAGTCATATTTGAATATGACTATAGTCATGTTGCTGCTACTGTACAGATCTGAAATTATATTTTCAGATCTTGAGGAAAAAAAAAAAAAAGAGAAATCGAAAGTACATAAATAAAGGGAGAAAATTAACAAACAAGATGGAGGGGGAGTACGCTTCATTTCATCTAACTAAATACATAAATATGACTATAGTCATATTTGAATATGACTATATGTTGCTGCTACCACAGTGAAGGGAATGGGAAACAACACACCTTTGCAACCTTTTCCGTAGCATATACCGCAAGTAAGAGTCTGTTCCAATAGAGCTGATTCCCATGTACTTGCACATATTCACTAGACGAGGCCTAAATTGCAAAAAACACAACCATATCATGTAATGATTGTTGTATATTTTAATCTTAAACAATGAGATACAATTATGAATACGAAAAAATGAACCTGCTGATATTATCTAGTGTGAGTTCATCATTGAACAGCTTAGCAAATCCCAAAATTTCCTCATTATCACCATCGCAAGCAAGGAAACATTGATTTATCATAAAAGTGGAAACCAGGTATTGAACCGGCACATCATCTTCTATAAACGAAAAATCTAACAGAAGTACGAAATATAGGCAGGTGCAACTGATGCATACTTTAGTAAATTTTATGATACCAAATCTATCAAAAATTAAACAGTTGCACAATCATCATAAGCTATGTTCCTCGGACAACAATGATTAGCTTTACTATGTAGAAATGACCCATATGCACAATTCCCAAAAAGAATATTGCTGCTACTAATACATAAATATGTTCCAGATCTGTAGAAAAAAACAAAAAAAAAAAAACAGAGAGAGAGAGATAGAGAGAGAGAGAGGGAAAGAGAGAGAAATCGAAAAATAAATAAATAAACACTACACCAAAAAAGTGATTTTCTAACAGATATATCCGTTAGTATTATTTTTTCTAATGGCGAAAAACCGTTAGAAATACTGCGTTAGAAATTTAGAGACAAATATTTCTAACGGATGTATCCGTTAGAAAAAATAAAAATTCGTTAGAAAAATTAAATTTTCTAACGGTTATCCGTTAGAGATGTAATTGTAACACTTCTCATTGTAACACTTCTTGCTAAATGTCTAACGGATATTTCCGTTAGAAAAATGAACAATAATAATAAAAAAAATATTAATTCATAATGCAATGAATTCTCCATAATGCAACCCAAAGTATAAAAAGAAAATTTATATACCATCAACTATTGCAATAAATTCTCCACCGTTCATTAATAAAAGTATCAAAACAATCTCATGTACCATCACCTATGTACTATCAGCTAGTACAATAACATTCCTATACACTAATCAAAAATGAATTAATCCATGTAAACCGAAGAAAAAAAAAAGAATACATTAATTTCACCATTCATAAGTTTGAATTTATACGTCAAACCTGTTTTGGCTACTTCTTTCAAACATTTTTGCTCCAAGTTTTGTTGACAGGTGCTTTGGAGAGCCTGAGAACAAAATCACAAAACCAGAATAAGCTGAAAATTTCATTTTTTTTTAGATAATAACATGTTGTAGGAGAAAAATGCAATTTCATACCTTTAAGAGGAGGTTTTCATATACAATAGATATTTGATTTTATACAGTGGTTGATTCCCTTGAAAATATCATTACTGTGGGACATGACCTTCAATGAAAAGATTAAGCATTATGGTAAAAAATATCATACAAAATAAATAAAACACACGCACTCACATATGCAAAGTAAAACCAATGCAATTATCTATATCTAAACTTGTATTTTTTGATCGTACACCATTCGTTAAGCACATTAACAGGAATTACTTAGATGGATCTTAGAATTTAGAGTGATAGTATTCTTATTTTCATACAATCTCTCTACCCAACTATCAATTTTTTCATACTTTTGCTAAAAATATTTATTATTTGCTAACCTGCGTAATATGCTGCGGTCAGGCGGTTCTGTTATGCCGTCATGTCGGTGCCGTTGTGCCATTGCAATGCTCTGCTTTGCCCTCTCTCACAAATTATTAAGTTTCCAACACATACGTATAGAAATTTCAATCAAAGGTGACTGAAATTTAATTAAATAAGAAAACTAAGATTTGTTAACATTGCTAAATAGTAGAAAGAATGAGCTTACCAGAAAATATATTGTCATAACTCTCACATGTATTTCTGGAAGTGTTTGTGCAACATTTACAACCATAAGCTTTCTTGCCTAACAAATTCTCAAATCATATTCATTAATTATATTAACGTATATAGAAATAACCATTTACGATAATGGGGAGAAACAATAATCAAATTATACGTGGAAATTGACTAACCCATTCATCGAATAGATCACCAGGACTCCAAGTTGGGTAATCTTCAATCAAATTCAAGGAAACTATAGGTTGAAGCTTTCACCCATGTCTGGAAATCAATATTGATATTAGAGAAGTGAAAGTATAAAAAACTTAATTTAGTCACCAAACTACTCTATTAGTAACAATTTTCATGGGCTATTCACGGAACAACTGTATTAGACCATCGTTTATTCTATGACAGCAAACATGCTCCCAGAATTAAAAAAAAAAAAAAAAAATCCAAATTCCTTCACCAGTATTATTCCACCATTAAATCTAATTTGTAGAGAAACTACCAACATGATATGTATCGGTAATTAATAGCATCGCAATGAACATCATATGATTAAGAACCCTAAATAATTTTCAAATTATATAACCCCCGATTAATTTTGAAAACCAATCTAATTTAGGGTTCTTACAACAAAAACGCGATTGAAGAATTAAAATGACAAGAGATAGATCTTACTCAAAGCGATTCAGTGCCAGGTGGTGGCGGAGGCGAGATAAAGAAGTCGGAATTGGCTGCTTCGTAGTAGTTACTGGAGCGGAAGTGAGTGAAAGGAAAAGGGAGAGTGAGGGGAGAGGGTTGTGAAGAACAATTAAAAAGAAAAGATAAAATAATATTGTATTATTCTAGTTTTATGTTGTTAAAAGTAATTTTATTATTTTTAATAATTAAAATTCCGTCACACATATTTCTAACGGTTTCTAAATGTTACAAAAAATTCTTGAATTATTATAATTCAATAGAGCTAACTTCATATTAATAGTAACGGTTAACTTAAATTTCTAACGGATATATCCTGTTAGTATTTTCTAACAGATATGTCCGTTAGAAATTATAAATTTGTACCGTTAGAAAATGTTCAATATGGTGTAGTGAAAGGTAGAAAATTAATGAAAGAGAGGGAGGGGGAGTCGACGACAACGGAGATGGCGGTGGTGGCGGCGCGGCGTGAGAGAGGCGGCGGTGGCGGCGGCGTCGACGATGAGCGGCGGTGGCGCCGACGATGAGCGGCAGTGGCAGCGGACGATGAGCGGCGGTGGCGGTGGCGATGAGCGGCGGTGGCGGTGGCGGCGGACGATGAGCGGCGGTGGCGGCGCGGCGGCGGTGGATGAAGCTTGAAATTTTAGGAGTGTTTTGAGAGTTTAGGTGGAGAGGTGGAGAAGAAGATGAAAGTGGTAGGTGAGCAAATAATTAGGGTTATAGTAGTTGAGGGTAGGTTTGTCTTCTCACACTAGTCTAGGGGGGTCTCACTAATTAAGAATGAAATTTGGGTGTTGGGAAAAGTCTTTCCAAGTCAATTGGGTTTAGTTCAAAATATTTTCTATTTGAGGGGTGTATTGCATATTTCCCCTTCTGCCAATTTTTCATTTCGGCAGTAACTTATTGCAACCAATTATTGTTCATAAGTATTAAAAGGCTCTTTATTATTAGTAGAACCCATAATTGAATTCATAATTAAATTAAATTAAATTAGGCCATTAAGTTATCACTACTGTTTGTAAGCTGTAAATTGTAATTAATTGTGGTCTATTTTTCGTTTTTTTTTTTTATCCTTTGTTTTTATTTTACTCTTTTTTTAATGGGTGATGGGATTTGGACCACTAAATCCTCTGCCATTAAAATTGTGTGAATTAAAAGCAAATATCATATTCTTCATTATAAATCATCATTAGATAGTGCCCACTTGGGTGGGGTGGGCCTTTTTAGGGCGTGACTTACACGCAAACTTAAATCTTTTGGCCCAAAACTATTTGGGCTTCAGATTTTTATGGCCCATTATCAAATTATTTTCTAACCAGATATTTGTACAGTAAAGTCTCGATAAATTATTAACTTCGCTTCAATAATAATTTCTGCATGTCCCGACTCGGTTACAACGTGGAAGGATTTGGAGAAAATTCTAATACAATTGCATTTTCATGTGCAACAATCAACTGAAAATTCGATAGAACTTATAATCGAATTGGAATTCGTGATATAATATGTCTTCAAATTTTGCTAAATAAAAACCGGAAATAAAAAATTTGAAGTATTGGATTTTTGAAGTTGAAGAAAATCGAATACTTCATTCCGAGAAAAAAATGAAAATCACGAAACGATTCGTTTACACCTACAAGCTGCGCGACAACGACTTGGAGAAAACTAATGAAGTTTTCATGAGGATAGGCCCATTGGGCCCACATAGTAAACAAGGAGACAACTTCAGTCCAATTTTTAGCCCAGAAAAGGACCCAACATTGTCGAGAGAAAGTCACGGAGTTATTACACCAACTTTATCAAATTGTCCAATCTTTATTTTTTTTTATTTTTTTATTTTTCATTTTGAATTATTTGATTATTAGAATTTTAATATGTTTTCATTTGATTTAAACACTAAAAAAATCCTTTTTTTTTTCCTCCAAAATTTGCACTTATAAATCAATATTATTTAAGTATTTTATATTAATATGTTGTAATAAGTTTATATACTTTCAATCTCCAAAATTTCATTTTCTTTTTATGAAACGAAATTGAAATTGGTTTTTTACTTTCGGAAAAGACGGGAAAATTGTGCGTAATTGGCTAAATGTTGTAGTGGTCCAAATGTCCTTACATTCAACGTATTATGAATTAGATTGATTGTACACCGTTATGAGTAACCTTCTATATCGCAGCCCACAATATATGTCGGGCCCAATTAGCTGTCACTTGACAGCCTGTATTCCAACCCGGCCCACAAAACATCGCTGTATCTTGCAATCCGTACAAATCAATTCAAAATTTAAACAAGTTGAATAGAAGATTGAACAAGCAACATTTTCTTGCCTTGACATCTATTTCTTGTAGCTATCAAGAAATAATGGAATGGCCAAACGACTAAGTTAGATAGAACCGAAAGGGGCTAACCGTAGTTAACGTTAACTAAGTGGGGCAGTCGAGTCACTGTTGGCTGGTTACTGTACGGGAATTGCGTGAAGATAACCGCAGAGGATTGCAATTCAACTGAAACCGGACCAGTGCATAGCATCATCGTCATCGCCAAATACAGCATGCACAACAGATAAAGCAAGCCTGCAATATTACATTACCGATCAATGTCGTAATTCAAACTATTATCGCACAAAACAGAGCAGAAAAGACCATTTACTTAGATATTTATTCCTACGAATCAAGAAAATGAACAAATTTATGTAAATAAAAATCTTGGTAAAATTTATTGTGTAACTAAAACATAGAAGCGTAATTTACAAATTTTTCGAAAAAGCTCTTATATTTAGCTATGAGTATTGAGTACCTAACTTCTAAAATTCAAGTACTGAGGTACGAAAATCTAATTCTTCGTTATTCGGGAAGAGGAATGAGAGCATAGCAGAAAAAGTTCCTGCACAAACAGTTCTATATCCAAAACAAATATAGATTTAATGAGAACTACTTACATATTAAGAACGGTATCGACTCTTCATTAAACAGAGGATTTAAAAAAAAACGAGTTTTACGAACCTGGTAATGACTAGACCGAAGAAGACTATATAAACACCCAGCTTGATAATCCGAGTCTTCTTCTCAGCATTAAGTACTCTAAAAACCTCGGTTACATCTATACGATGCTGCTGTGATAGGTACCTGAAGGGCAAAATGGGAAGAGTTCAAGATAAGTTGTAGAGAAAACTTCTAGGCCTTGTTTGGGAATTTTTATTACGTTCGATAGATAATATAATCAAACTTTGTCAAATTTTTGGGGTTTAAGTTTCAAGCCCATACTAAAAGATTAAAAAAAAGGCCCCAGATTTTAATCACTCCCACGAAACATATTTAGTCTAAAACCTATTATCGCACAATCTTATTAAGGATATTACATTATCATGGATAATGTAATCCTAACCAATTCAATCAATCTTATCAATCCCACCAACATTCCCAAACGAGGGCCCTAGCCTCTCAATTTACATGGCGATGTGTGATTATCTACAAGCATTTTTTTTCTATTTTTTTTTAACCTCTTCATTCCACTACGTATATTCTACATCAAGAAATCTTTTGCTAGATTTTTTTGGCTAATAGCAATAATCAAAAGAATAGTATATCAGTGATAAGAAAATCATTCGTTAGATGAAGAACTTACCGCGTGAGATTATAGTATGCAGGGGGTAGTGAGAGTAGGAACATGAACCAATGCCCTGTCACGAGAAACAGAATGCAGAATGCCCCTTGTAATAAATACTCGGGAACAATCACCGAGTTGACTCGAGATGATAGTTCGTACGGATTCAAATAATCAGCTTCCAAATCCGAGAAACCTAGGAACTGCAACAGACAAATTGATTTTTTTGTTTTGAGATGCACATAGATGTTTCAACCATGTTTACGACTACACCACAAATTCTGTGATAGCTTGATACTTTAAGAATGTAACAAGGAAATAAACGAGGGTGTACGATAAGAGAAAACGGGAAAAGCAAAAAGTGGAATCAGATTGTGCAATTACATACTCACACACAGAGAACAAAAGAACTGCGCAAAAAAGTCGAGGCAATGCAATAAGGAGTTTATTCGAAAATCAAGAAAAAACGAGTACGACAACATAATTCACACCGAGACCGAGTAGTTCTTACAAACTACAAGAACTGAAGCTAGTTACTCTCTGCTCAAAATTACATCTTCAGCTTTTACAATTTTTTTCCAGCAAAATATATTGCAAATCAATAAAGCTACCAATATCAAAAAAAAAAAAATCAGGGTTTGTCTCCACAATTATTTCAATAATGCTGCGAAGATTTCAGTTTCCTCAAACCAATCGAACGCATGATTGCATAGATTAGACAAACTACAAAGAGGGATTTAATTAGGGCAAATAAATCAGAGATATAGAAGACAGAAAAAAAAAAAATATATACCTGGTAAAAATTTAAACCTAAAAGAGTAATGTTCATGATTGAAAAAACTATCCAGAGAATTGGGTCCCAAGCCATTGTTTTTTTCTTTTGAAGAAGAAGAGATTAATGAAATCTACTCTCCGTCTATAGTAAGATTCTTCGATCCTCTCATCACCCAACACAGATCAGAAACAGTACATATATAGATACAAATTTATGTATGTATAGATATACGAGTTAGAGACGCTTTAGGGAACATCGGTCTGCAAAGTTATCTGATAAAGGTTTCAACTTTTTTTATGCAAAATTAATACCTTCGTAAATATTTTTAAAATAATAATTATTATGGTAAATTAACTACTGCTCCTATGGTAATATCAAATTACGGAAAAACCCTTCATGTTTGGGTAATCATGATAAGAAGGCCCAGCATATTTTCTAATTGGGCCTCTCGCAACAATCGGCCCGAACTCAATACGCCGTCGTTTGGAGCTCATTAGCTTCTTCGGTGTTCAGAAAGACCGAGAGAGTTGCTGAATAATAATCCTTACAGAATTAAAGACCCAATTTTTCTTTTTCCAGTTTAAGAAATCATTCCTTGTTCAAATACTGAATAGATTCACTGGTAATTGTTATTTACTTGCATTTTGTTTTATTCTTAGCTTTTATTCTGCTTTGTTGTTGAGTTTTATTTGTTTCTTCCCAAATTATTTGATGTATATATTAGGAATAGATGGAGATATTTGTATCAAATTTTGCTTATAATTCTGTGGTTAATTGTGTGTTAGACAAGCTTTGATTTTATTATTGTTCTGAAAATCATGAGTATTGTATCCCTAATTCATGTATCAGTAAAGCACTGTGTGTTTCTGCGCATAAACACACACACACACACACACACATGTTTGTGAAAGGAGTTGTTTTGCATTGTTATTGCGTTTATTGCGCATGAATTTCGTCTGGTTATCGTTTTCGTTTCTTCGTTTCGGTATTGTATATTGAAAGATTTGAAACATTCCGTTTTTATTCGACATTAGAAACGAGATTTTCGACCTTCATGTTAATTAGGAGCTTATATATGACTGGTTTTGATTTCAAATTAATCTGTTTAATGCGCAAAGTTAATGTAGTGTGTTCGAAATGGTGTCTGACTATATATCTATCTCTGCAAGGTTAATTTAATTTCGTCGTTGCTCTAAGGCTATGCCACAATGACGATCTATTCTCCTCTCACCAAAAACGTAGTCTGCTCGATCGGAAATCTCCAAAAACCGACGATTATTCGTGTTTTTACCACCAAAGCAAATTATTGTTGCCCGATAAGTGTCTTTCAATCCTTTCAAAGAAACTATTCTGGTTACGGTACAGCCGTACGTAGCCCTAGTTGCCGTTCACTTGCGTTCAAAAAAATCGTTAGTCCTAAACAAACAGAAACCTCGAGATGTAATAATATAGGACCTTTTTCTTGGCAACAACGTGGTTTATCCGGTGGTCTTTTTATCGGGTTGTTCGTTTGTTTTTCTACTTCACAACCTTCTTATGCCGATGTTTCTGGGGGAGATGAAAAGAAAGAAAGAAGTTGTGACGATGATTCTTCGGCTGACTTTTCGCGTAAGAAAAATGTGTTGACGGACTACTCTGTGATTGGTCAGTAGCTAATGAAATTCTGAATGGAGTTATGTTTTTTTTTTTATAAATATCGGAAGTGAGTATGAATTTGTAAGTATCAGGTATACCTGGAGACGGGAGATGCTTGTTTCGATCCGTTGCTCATGGAGCTTGCGTACAATCGGGAAAGCCTGCACCGAACGAGAATCTTCAGAGGGAACTAGCAGACGAAATACGGGCTAGAGTATGTTCTAGATGCCTTCACGTTCGGAAATTCTAGGGGATCTATATGCATGATTAGTCATCTGACAGTGTATTCTTGTAATTTTATTAGGTGGCTGATGAATTCATCAAGAGACGGGAAGAAACAGAATGGTCAGTCCACTGAAGACACGATTTCATAATTTCTGGGAAATTGATATTGCTGCGATTCACGGATTTATGAAAGAAAAAAATTTACTTTCGTACGGCTGATTTTCTGTACTTTATGAGTTGCACTAATCCCTCAGGTTCATAGAAGGTGATTTTGAGACGTACGTTTCACAAATAAGGAAGCCTCACGTGTGGGGAGGCGAACCCGAATTGTTGATGGCTTCTCATGTACTCCAGTAAGTCTTACATCTACGTTTATTCTTCTCGATCGAGTGTCTAATTTTGTCACAACCAAGATAAAAACTTGCACAAAAAGGAAAAAAAACAGAATAGAGATTTCAAGAACTAATAGACATGATAATATTTTGCAGGATGCCGATAACAGTGTACATGCACGACAAAGATTACGGTGGCTTGATATCGATCGCGGAATACGGGCAAGAGTACGATAAACACAATCCTATCAAAGTCCTATATCACGGTTACGGTCACTACGACGCACTACACATTCCTTGCAAGGGAGATCCGAGGCCTAGGCTTTGAGGTTGATTCCGCTCCGTATATCTCATTAATTCGAAATAATGATAACCGGAAGATATTTCATGGACCACACAACACAACACAACACCACACTTATGTGAAAGTGCATTTTATCTCTTGTCTTTACATAAAATTTTGTCAGAAAGTGTGTCTTATGTTTGTGGGATGTAATGAAAAAAAGGTAGGTTTCCTTTGACAACTTTCATCATACTGTGTGCCCACCACCACCACCACCAGCAGTGGTGTTGTGTAATCCAGCCCTTCACTACCCATTTTTGTCTCGAGGGGTAAAATAGTAATTTCACATTATGGTTCATTTTCTTTGGATTTCAATTTTTCTTGCTTTCAGCAAGTTCTCTTTTGTCCGGTGGCTCAGAGCCCCACCCCACTAATATTTGGCTTTTTGGGGGGTTAATTTGGTGCATCTGGTTGTCCTATCCACTGAATTTTGAATCTATACTTGATTTGACCAAAATACCCCTCTAAGTGGAAATTGATTTTCTGAAAAAGCAGAATATTGCAGCATGTGCTTGCATGGTTTCCCTGACACCACTTGTCTTGAAAATCTAGGCACGTTTTTCTATTACCACACAACTCCTCGGACCTTCTCCATTTCAACATTGCAATATAAAACGTTTTCTTCTTATTTTTCATACTACAAATTGCAATATTCTCATACACATACAAAATTTAGTTCTGAAAAACAATATATATTTTTTATTTTTTATAATTAAAATTTAAAATAATAAATATTTGAAAACTGAAGTCTTGAACCTCTGGATTCAATAATAGTTGTTATCAGATGTGCAAAATGACAGTCGATTTAATTAATTAAAACTTAAAAGCCATAATCACGAGACAACGTTACCTACTTCTTTGGCTCATCTACCATCCCAATGTAAAAATAATATATAAAAAAAAGAACACTATTAAAAAATTAAAATAAATCATATAATTAGTCAAAGAAAATTCAAAAATTCTCGAAAAAAACATCAAATCTCACCTCCTTCATCCTCTACTCCAAAACCCACTTGCATCATACATTCTTACAGTAAGTCTGCTGCAACTCCTTGTTGCAGAAAACACTGTTCTTGATTTGTATATCCAACCCAAGATCCCATTCTCTATACATGCAAAGATTCCAACTTTATTAAAAAGAATCAATCTTTGTTCAACCCATTTAATTTTTCTTCCTTGCATGCGCAGAAAGATTGATTTTTTTTTTTTTTGAAAGAAAGAAACAGAAGATGAAGAAACCCGCCATTGTTGCTCTGCTTAAATTTCTTCACTTGTTAACTTTCTTAATCTCTCTCACTTCTGCAATAAACTCAGATGGGCTATCACTCTTAGCTCTGAAATCAGCCATCGCACAAGACCCATCAAAAGCTCTGGTTTCTTGGTCGGAATCAGATTCAACCCCATGCAAGTGGGCCGGGATCCTCTGCAGCCGAGACCACCGTAAAGTCACCTCCATTTCACTCTCCGGCAAGAATCTCACCGGCTACATCCCATCGGAAATCGGCGCCCTCACATCCCTCACCTCTCTCGATCTCTCACACAACACTTTCGGTGGACCTCTGCCGCACCATATCACCACCCTACAAAACCTCGTCCATCTCGACGTGTCTTCCAACAACCTCAACGGCTCGCTCCCCGAAAGCCTCAGCAACTTAACCCATTTGGAAGGGACTCTGAATCTTTCCTACAACGCATTCTCCGGCGAGATTCCGGCGAGTTTCGGACTGTTTCCGGTGATGGTTAGCCTTGATCTCCGGGGTAATAACCTCACCGGAAAAATACCTCAGGTGGGTTCACTGGTGAACCAGGGTCCAACTGCCTTCACAGGGAACCCTTATCTTTGTGGGTTCCCATTAAGCAATCCGTGTGCAGAGCCCGAAGCTCAGAATCCAAGATTCTTGAACCCACAAAAGCCCGAAAACGATGGGCAAATTCCGTCGAATGGGCTCGTCGAAAACAGAAGGATAAAAAGTGGGGTGGTGACGGTTTCGGTTATTTCCGGGGTTTCTTTAGTGGTGGGGGTGATTTTTGTTGCAGTGTGGGTGATTAGGAGGAAATGGAAGATGGAGAAGGGCAAAACGGGAATAGAAAATGTAGGCGCGGTAATGGTGGGGAGGGAGGAGGGGCAGAAGGGTAAATTTGTTGCTCTCGACGAGGGGTTCGGTATGGAATTAGAGGATTTGTTGAGGGCATCAGCTTATGTTTTGGGGAAAAGTAGGAGTGGCATAGTGTACAAGGTGGTGGTTAGTGGAGGCGGAAAGGTGGGAGGATCCGGCGTGGGCGGACCCGCTGTGGTTGCGGTGAGGCGGCTGAGTGAGGGTGATTCCAAGTGGCGGTTTAGGGAGTTCGAGGCTGAGGTGGAGGCCATTGATAGGGTGAGGCATCCCAATATTGTGAGGCTTAAGGCGTATTACTACGCCATTGACGAAAAATTGCTTGTTTCGGATTTCATTGGAAATGGTAGCTTGCACAATGCACTTCATGGTAAGAAAAAATCTCGACTTTTCTTTTTTTAATCGGCATTTGCGTAATTTATTTGATGAGTATTCTGTTTTGATTGCTTAATGATAGAGAATTGTTGCATTATTTTTTCCGATGATCATTGTTAATTCTATCGCCATGGCTTGAATGCTTCTTTGCAATAATGGAAATATGGAATGTAGCTAGTTTGCATGCAAGTCTTGTAAATAATCAGAATATATTATTGATAATCTAAAGTCTACATACATTTTAGAAGATGTAAGATTTGTCTCTTTTAATGTCGGATTATATATTCATTCTTAGCAACAAGTTGCTCACAAAGTGTTGGCATTTTTTTGTATAGTTGGTTCCGTCGTAGTCGATTAATTTTCGGCACAGCTGGCTCTTGCTCTAGTTGCTTTCGCACGTTTATTGTTCTGTCTTACATTTGTATAAATTGTCATATATGCAGTTAATGTTCTGTCTCATTTATTTGGACTGCCAACTCTTTAACAAAAAAAAAAATTAATAATAAAAGGATTCAAGAATTATGTGGTTCTTGTATTAGTTGATTCAATTTCAATAAGCATATGATCTGATATACTCTTGGCTTATTTTGTTTTGTCGAACGATGTAGGGCCCGCAAAAAACTCGCCACCCTTATCATGGGAATCAAGATTGAGAATAGTTCAAGAAACAGCAAGAGGCCTAACGCACATCCACGAATGCAGCCACAGAAAACACGTCCACGGTAACATAAAATCATCGAAAATCCTCTTAGACGATGCCCTAAAACCCTACATTTCGGGATTCGGTCTGTCTAAACTTGTGCCAACAACAACCTCGAAATCTGCTAACATGTACGTGGGGCCTGAAGCTCGAGACGGAGCAGCGGGCAAAAGGGTCACTCAGAAATGCGATGTGTACGCCTTCGGTGTGGTGCTGCTAGAAGTGCTGACGGGGCGGGAGGCCGACTGTGGGTCCGGTGAGGAAGGAGGGGGAGTTGTGGGACTTGTTAGGAAGGTGTTTGGCGAAGAAAGGCCGTTGTCTGAAATTATAGATCCGGCGCTTTTACATGAGGTTCAGGCGAAGAAGCAAGTTGTAGCTGCGTTTCATGTCGGGCTGAGTTGTACGGAGGCGGATCCTGAGTTGAGACCGAGGATGAGAACCGTTTGTGACATTCTTGATAGCATCAAATTGCAGTGAGAGTGTATGGTGTTGATTTATCTAAATTTCTTGTAAAAAGTGTGTGTGTGTGTGTGTGTGTGTGTGTGTGTGTGTGTGTGTGTGTGTGTGTGTGTGTGTTTGCATTAAATAATTAACAAATAACCTTGGGTTAAGTTCAAGTTTTACTGAAAACTCCATTGTTATACTCCATCAATCTCAAAACAACTGGAATTTTGGAGGACAAAAATGAATTATAAGAGGTTTTTTCTGATAAAAATAAAAAACAAATATGAAAAAATTTCGGGAAAAATATAGTTTTCATCCCTCAAATTTGCATATATTTCACATTTGGTCCCTCATGTTCATAAAAATACGTTTTGTCCCTCGTATTTTAAAAACTCAACATTTTTAGTTCTTTACGTCAATTTTTCGTTAATACTAACGGAATCAAGCATGTGCCCATCACCGGTTTAACTGTCGGACTAACGGTAAATTGACGAAATGACAAAAGGTGTTAAAATTATTGAAACACGAGAGACCAAATATGTTTTTTATTAACATAGAAGGGTCAAATGTGAACTTTGTGCAAATTTGAGGGGTAAAAACTGCAGTTTTTCCAAAATTTATCTAACAAAATACATTAAATGCATTAAAGCCCAACATAATATCCCTGAGCATGGCAAAAGAGTAAATTGCATTAAAAAAACCGTTAAGTGGGTCCCGCACTTGCCGTTGGTCTTTCATTTTACCCGTCTCCGAACAACTCTTCTTTCTCGGGCGAATCACAACGCAACGAGCCTCCCATTTCACCCAATTTTCCCAAATCTTCTGATTTTTAATCTCCTCTGAACCCTAATCCCAAATCCTCAATCGATTTCCTCTGTTTCTGCCTGAAATACATCCCAATTCGTACTTTTCGTTTTCTCGGTTTTCGCCGAAAAACCTGCAGAAATGGTCATTCCATTTCCGATTTGCGCATAATTGATACATTTCGAAGGTCTAATGCTGCAAATTGTGATATTTTGATCAAAAGTGGAGATCCAAAAGCAGCATTTGGGGTTGAGACAATGTCGAATTTATACAGAGGGGATTTCAATCAGAAGATCGATTACGTGTTCAAAGTTGTACTAATTGGGGATTCCGCGGTGGGTAAATCCCAATTGCTGGCTAGGTTTGCCAGAAATGAGTTCAATTTGGAATCGAAAGCCACAATTGGTGTCGAATTCCAGACCAAAACACTCGTCATTGATCACAAGTCCGTCAAGTCGCAGATTTGGGATACTGCTGGCCAAGAAAGGTTTCGTTCCGATCGAACGATATAGCATTTTTAGTATATTGAGTTGTATATCGAGCATCTTATACTATTTTACTATTTTTTTCTAGGTATCGAGCAGTGACGAGTGCTTATTACCGGGGTGCAGTAGGTGCAATGCTGGTTTATGACATGACTAAACGACAATCGTTCGATCACATGGCCAGGTGGCTCGAGGAGCTAAGAGGGCATGCTGATAAAAACATTGTTATAATGCTGGTCGGGAATAAGTGCGATTTGGGGACTATTTGTGCAGTTCCATCTGAAGATGCTCGGGAATTTGCCGAGAGAGAGAATTTGTACTTTATGGAGACATCAGCGCTCGAATCTAAAAACGTGGAAAGTGCTTTCATGACGATTTTGACGGAGATTTATCGGATTGTGAGTAAGAAAACTCTGGTTGCTAACGATGCTTCTTCGACATCTTTGACAAGTACTAAGATTATCGTTCCTGGTCGGGACGGAGATGGTAATGGAAAGAGTGGCTGTTGTATATGACTTCTTGATTCAGTTCCTTTTTTTTCGTTTGGAAACTGTCTTGTATCGACGAAAAAAATTATAATAATGATAATCGAGTCATATTTTATTGAATTTTGTTGGGCGCCCGTTGAACTCGAAAACAAATAAACAAAAGCTACAAAGATTACTTATGGCCTATGGGAATGAGATTAGAGGATTATAGATTACTAAGAACAAAATAAACAAAAGCTATAAACTGAGGCGGAGGTTAAGTACCTCGAATGAGTGGACCAGTTCAAAAGGTAAAGAATCAACGGTCTTGATTGAAGATTTAGAGAATTCTCAAATTTTAACCGAGACTTGAGCTTTTGTGTTGTTGGACTGATTTCTTGTCGGATTGACTCGTAGGAGAAATGAGTTAATTGACTGGATTAAATAATCCGTTGGGCCCAAAGTCAGAACAAATTTTCACCATTAATCACTAATGTAGTACAACTTCCATTAATTTTAAATGTCTATCCAATCATAAATTTACTTCCCATATTATGTGTTGCAAGGTAGAGTTAAATTTGTTGACAATTTGTTATCCATCATCAATGAGTATCTATGGGAAGATAAAATATAATTTAATAGCTTTCTAAATATGTAAAAGTAAAATTTGAATTTTATTTTAATATTAAAATGAAGGGTATTTATTAGGAATCTTAATTTGCGTGCATACACCTTAATCATCATTTAATTTTTTTTGAAAGAAGAGTATTTATTTAGGAGATTAATTTATATTTTATATACTTAATGAGTTCTATATGAATTCTTATAAATGTATTATTAAATAAACTTGGGTAACAAATTAACGAGGATCGAACGTATATAGTAATATTTGTATCATAGTTTTAAATTTGTACAGTAAATAAAAAAATTCATAATTATTTTTGAAATTTAAAATTGGATCCAAATATAGAATATAATTAATAAAAAATGTGAATTAACGTTTTTCAACATAAGGTGGGGGGTAAAAGAGTAATTACAGACGGAAATTTTGACCTACCGCCTTTGAAGAAAATTTGAATTTCAACTGAAACGGAAGGAATCCCGCTCACGAGCTAAATTCGAGCAGCATTTTCATTTCATTTTGAATTTCACAAAAATTTCATTTCTGCAAATGATTTTTTGTATAAACTTCCGCCACACTACATTTCCAAGATCTCGCCGTTCAACCTCCTTCTCCGAAAGCTCCTTCTTCGCATGAGAGAGTATACAGAAGCCATCCCCCATTGTTATTCTTATTAGCATCGCCCTTCTCAAAAACCCATTTCTCGAAGGTACTCACTAAATCCTCTTTGAATCTATGCATTTTCTTCTTCGTATTATGTTTTTATGTGTTTTTTTTAGTTCCGTTTGAAGCCAGAAATTGATGAATTTTCGCCCTGAAATTGCAATTGATGAATTAGACGTTCTACTGTTTAGGGTTCCACATTAATCTCTGTTCTTCCGATGTTTCGATTGATTCTGTGTGTGAAGTTCTTTAGATTTATTTACTGGATGATTAAATGTTGATAGTTAATAGTAACTGTTAATTGTGAAATACTTTCACTGAGTTGGTTAATTTTGAAGTTTTCATGACAATGTATCTTGGGTTCGTTTAATTACTGCAATTAATTTCAATTAAATGTACTTCTGAAGATATTCAACACAATGCCTGAGGCAAGAGATCGATTATCGAGGCAAGATGACGTTGTAGCAGCTTTCAGCAGAAGACGAATTTCAAGCCCACGTGATACAAATATTGGAAGGGGTAATTCGGTAGTTTTTGTTCTGGAAGACGAAAGCGAAGACGGGCTTACTGCAGGAACACCGTTTCGGTGGAGAGATAGGGCGATGGTAGGGACACCTGGACGAATGGGATTGGTTACAGGACGCGGTGCTATTGGGACTCCAAGAATCGGGCGAACTCCATTGACGATTGGCCGTGAAAACTTGTCACCGGTGGCGGGAAGTGGCCGTGGCCGTGTTCGTGGAAGTGCTCTGCCGACTTGGTACCCGAGAAGGCCACTTAATGACATTACTCCTGTTATGAGGGTAAAATATTTTCTGTTTGAAATTTCTATTTTCGTGATCTATATGTTTTTTGCTAAGTTTCACCATTATCTCGATCTAACTTTTTTTCCCTGTTTGGTATAATTTGATTAGATTATATGTATTAAATTATATGCCATGCTTTGATATGTTAAATTTGGTATCTAAGAATGCGACTTAATTGCAACGAGGGTAATTCTTTTCGGTTGTTTGAAATTTGAATTTTTGTCCTCCGTGTTGTTTTTACCAAATTTCATAATTATCTTGATTTGACATTTGTCCTTATTTGCCGTAATTCGATTTGTAACATCTTTGGCTCGGGTTGTATTATTAGGTGTATTGATTTGCTAAGTACCGGGATATACCGCTTCTGCTAAGTTTCATCAGTATCTTGAATTCTTGATTGGTATTTTTTCTTGTTTGCTCTAATTAGTTTGATTTGTCTTGCAACCTTTTGGTTTCGTATGATGTTTATTTTCTATTTTTTGTTTGTTCTAATTGTATGTGACTTAGTTCTAAAACGAAAATGCATGCTGAAAGTTTGGTTCGGGTTGTCTGTAAACTACATCTCTGAGTTTGGCAGAGGTGAGAACTTGTAATAAGTGATCTTCATTATCTCAATGAGGTTCACTTAGTAAGGGCAACGTTTTTCAACTAATTCTGAGACGATTATAAACATGTATATATATATGTCCATAGGCAATTGAAAGAAGAAGAGAGCGTAGGAGAAGTGGTGAAGGCCTACAAACGGAGAGTCCTATTCTCCAGGACTGGATATTCCAAGATCCCTCCGTATCCACATCAAGTGCTCGACTCGAGCACAACATATCTCTAAGATCTCCACCCCCCACAATTTTAAAGAGGCGTTGCCCACCGACTATAGGTAAAGTTCCCAAGATATTACTCGATATCACAAATCAGAAAAACGGAGATTCATCTTGCTTGACGCCACAAAAGAAGCTACTGAACAATATCGACACAGTGGAGAAAGTTGTGATGGAGGAGCTTCGGAAGCTGAAACGAACTCCGTTGGCTAAACGAGCGGAAAGGGAGAAAAGGGTTCGGACGTTGATGTCAATGCGGTAATTCTGACGGTTCTTTAGTGGCAAATGTTTCTCAATCAAGGTTGAGGTTTTTACAGTGATGTGATGTGGATGCTGATGTGGAATTTCGAGTGGCTGGTTGATCATCTATTGATGATCTTATTATCCTTAGTGCTTTTTGATCATCTCTTGATGATAACCCCCATTTAAATAGGTCTGTTTTTTGATTTTGTTTTGCTAAATAGGATGAATTTGATTCTTGATAAGCAGATGTAAATAAAGACTATTTTTGGGTTCTATTTGTTCTTACTGAGGTATATTTTTCTTAACTGCTTGTCCTGCAATAGCATTAGGATCATCTAATTTGTTCTTGCCTACAAAAACAGGATCTATTGGGCCCAATTTTAGGTTCATATTTTTCATTTTATTTTTTAGGAGTAAATTACGTGCATTCCTTTAGGTGAGGTTAAATTACGAAAATATCCTACATCTTTGGGTAATTGCAACATTCCTCAACTACAAATCGTTTTACACGTCCATTCTTGTGTCAAATTCATTAAAATTTTCTAAATTATGTGGAACATTATTCAATTTGTACACATTTTACCCCATTCGAGCTTTACATTTTAAACAAGATGATTATAAGATGTGTCTTTTGACTTGTAAATATCAGATTGTGGTGCATTAGAAACTGTATTTTTGCACAAAACGAGTAAAAACTAGAGAACCTTCCACAGAAAGTAGAAAATTATGTCGAATTTGACACTCTAAGGGTGGACGTGTAAAAAGATTCATATTTGAGGAAGTGTTTGTAATTACTAAAACGTGAGGGAAGTTTTTGTAATTTAACCTTACCTCAGGGGTGGGGCGTAATTTACCGTATAATATCTGGAATATCCTTTTTCCAAGTAATTTACGTACGCCAGCAAAATACTACGGATAAACTGAGGTGGCACGTGGGCCCTTATATCGAAATCCCGCCGTGTTACACCACCACCACCTCCTCCGCCCCTCTCTCTCTCTCTCTCTCTCTCTCTCTCTCACACACACACACAACACACACAAAATCCTATTCTCCTTTTGCTTCGTGTATATCGCTTTAAACGCAATTTTGCCACAAATTTTGATGAATCCATACCTAAGTTAACCCCAATAAATTCTTTTTACATTTTATCAATTTGGTTTTTTCTTCTCCTTTTTGTAATAACAATTTTTCAACTCATTAGATTGAGTTTGGTTTTTTTTACCCGCAATTTATTTCGTGATTTGAAAATTTGCCGTTTTTGAAAAGAAAAAAAAAACAAATTAGATCCATTCAGGTTGTCAATGTTCTATTCCGATTAGGGTTTCTTTCACATCGATTGAATTAATCGAAGAATCCAATATTTTTCTGATGTTATAGACCTTTTTTTTTTCGATTATAACTTGATTTGAATTCCTGTAAAAGGGAATGGTTACTGTAAATCTGGGGACGCTTCACTATTTGCTAGATCATGTGTATGGTGCATTGCTGCACAGAACAAAGATAACCCCTCAATTTTTTTCTGGGGGGTGGGGTGGCTCAAAGCTTGTACTTTTAGAGAGAATGATTAAGCAATTGTTTCCTGAATTAGAATCCCAAAATTGGCCTCCAACTTTGGTTCAGCCTATTTGGAATACAGTTTGGGAAACAAAAACTGCTTGTCTTAGGGAAGGGGTTTTTCGGACACCTTGTAATGAGCAGCTTCTCAATGCATTGCCCCCCGAGAGTCACACCGCTAGGGTTGCTTTCCTTTCCCCTAAATTCGTGTCGCCGGAAAAGATGGCATGTGTTGTTCATCTTGCAGGTATATCTTGTGATCAAGTTTTTGTATGTCGTATTTTTATGAATTGTGTTTGTTGACTATGGTTTACAATATTACAATTGTGTTTGTTTGAATTTAGTTGCGGCTTTGTTGTTAGAATCTAATGATCATTGATGGATTGATGATAGTAATGATCGGAGAGTACGATAAGATTTAGAGATTTCGCAAAGGTGGTCTAGGCATTGTATTGAGAATATGTTCTGTTTTTTTTTTTTTTTTTTTTTTTTTCGTTATTGAATTGATAATTGTACTACATTGTATTAAGTGCATACTGCGTTGATGTAAAATTTCTCAAAAACACCCATTAACGACAAATAACGAAGTGGGAGATGTTTTTTCAGTTGAGGCAAATTCTGATTTTTTATTTATGCATTATTTTTTTTCGTCTTTTGCTCAAATCATGATGGAGATGTCAAACATATCTCCTTTGTTTCAGGTACGGGGGATCATACATTTGACCGGAGGTTACGTCTTGGTGGACCTCTGCTGAAGGAAAACATAGCAACTATGGTGCTAGAGAGGTGAAATTAATTTAAATATCTGTCAATTAATGGCTCTGACAAACTACAGAGTTTCATCCAAGCTTATGTATTTTACAGCCCTTTCTATGGAAGAAGACGTCCGATGCTGCAGCGGGGCGCAAAGCTCTTGTGTGTAAGTGATTTGCTCTTATTAGGAAGAGTGACCATTGAAGAGGCTCGTAGTCTTTTATATTGGTTAGAATCTGAAGAAGGGTTTGGGAAACTCGGTGTTTGTGGACTTAGCATGGGTAAGACTTGCCTCATTAACACGATTTCCATTTCTTGACATTTTTAGTAGATTTTCTATTTATTAATTCTGTGGGGGGGGGGGGGGGGTTAACATGTCATCGTTTACTCGAGAGCTTAATGTAGGGCTGACTGTTGGTTGTTTCCACTCAAGCAAAGTAGCATAGTTCTCTTCATTTTCGTTCTTGGAGTTATCGTGCACATAGGAAAGATAAATATGAAAAATCAAGAGCTTTTGCTTCAGATTTTCTCTGCATGCATATGGTTATCTCTAGAAACCAATAGTGGAGAATGGTTTTCTACAGTTTTTTAACTTTGAATAATTAATCTATGATCTTGAAAATCGGTACTCTTTGTAGGCGGAGTACATGCTGCTATGGTAGGGTCGTTGCACCCGTCACCGATTGCTACACTCCCATTTCTTTCTCCACATTCTGCTGCCGTGGCATTCTGTGAAGGTGTGTTGAAGCACGCCACTGCATGGGACGCTCTTAGAGAAGAACTTTCCATGGAGAATGCTGCTACCACTATCGAGCAAGTCACCGAGCGAATGCGCAATGTCTTGTCTCTAACCGACGTCACACGCTTTCCTATCCCTAAAAATCCCAATGCTGCCATATTTGTCGCCGCTACTGTAAGTATCATAGTTACCACTTTCTGGCTTCTGCATACTGATTTTTCGTTTAGAAGCAAATTAAATTTCCGTTTGTTAGTGTAAATTATCTCAAGATCCGAAATTATTGGATATTTAAGTATGAGGGCTTCTGAAATTGACGAGCATAGAACGGAAGAAGAACCCTTCATTATTTTCCTCGTATTAATGAGCAATTTGAGTTAACTCGTATAATTACAGGACGATGGGTATATACCAAAAGACTCGGTAATGGAGCTTCAAAAAGCATGGCCAGGATCGGAAGTGAGGTGGGTTAATGGTGGGCACGTTTCGTCTTTTATTCTTCACAATGGGGAGTTTCGAAGGGCCATTGTCGATGGACTGAATAGATTACCGTGGAAAGAATCTTGTCTATGAATTATGATTATCACTGCCCACACAAATGGTAAGCATTGTTCGTTCTTCACATCTAACGTAAATGGTTTCGAAGGGGTGTGTTTGTAGCCTCTGGTCTCTAATTTGTTTCTTAAATGAACAAATTCTTGTTGGATAACTCAATAAAAATATTAAAAAAAAAAAGAAATGTTCATTATCAATTTGATCATTTATTTCATCCTTCTTAGGTTGGTTGACCGACCCTAAAAGTCAATATTATGGGCTTGAGAAAAGCATGCATCCTAGGTTTTATTATGTGGTGAAGGTGGACATGCCTGAGAAGTTTGACTATTGCAAACTGCTACTTTTTGTTGACAATGAATTAGTTATGCATTTATTGATAAAAAAAAAAAAAAGAATTAGTTATGCATTTGAGTCACATTTTAATGAATCATGCATAATGCATGGATTTAATTTAATTGTGAGATTTGAATTACGTGGTAAATCAAATTAATTGATTAATCAAAATTCTATCACGGAACTACTTATCTAGTGAAGGCCGAAACTGGGAATAGTTATATCAAATTATCAATTGTTTAAAAAAGTGACAGCTAATCCCCTTAAGTACACTAATAATTACTACTTATTAATTATTATGTGTTATAATATTTGTTGTTTTGGGTTGTTTATTTGTATTAAGAAAACTAATATATGTGCATGAATTGTATAAAGTGAAGAAAAAAAAATTTAGTGTAAATTACGGCCACTGATGAGGTAATATCAAATTACGAAAAGATCTCTTATGTTTGGGTAATTACAATTACCCTCCTCAGCTATGAATCATTTTACACGTCCACCCTTGCGATGTCAAATTTAGTTGAATCTTCTAGATTACATGGAATATTGTTCAGTTTGTACACGTTTTATCCCATTCGAACTCCATATTTTGAAACAAGATGATCATAAAATGTGTCTCTTGGCTTGTAAATATCAGATTGTGGTGCATTAGAAATTGCATTTCGTACAAAATGAGTATAAATTAGAGAATATTCTACGGAATCTAGAAAATTATGTTGAATTTGACACTTTAAAGGTGGACGTGTACGAAGATTCATATAAGTTATTATGCCGACAAAAAATAAACGTGTATTAATTTGGCAAGATCTTTTGTCCATATAGCACTTAAAAGAAGTAAAGAACAACACGCAAAACCTTCACCTATATATAGTTGACTAAACCGAAATCAAATCTCATAATACCATTTGCAAGGAAAAAAAGATGATTCCCTCAAAACTTGGCACACTCTGTTTCTTCTTCCTTTTCATACATCTCTCTCACTCAGCCACAGAGAGATGCAATCGAAATGACAAAAAAGTCCTCCTACAAATCAAGAAATCCCTAAACAACCCCTACCACTTAGCCTCATGGGATCCCAAAACCGACTGCTGTGACTGGTACGTGGTCGAATGTGACCCCACCACCAACCGCATCGTCCAATTCAACCTCTTCTCCGGCAACATCTCCGGCCAAATTCCGGCCACCATCGGAGACCTCCCCTTTCTCGAAACCCTAGTCTTCCGGAAGCTAACCAATCTCACCGGAACAATCCCACAATCCATCACCAAACTCACTAACCTCAAAATCCTCAGGCTAAGCTACACTAATCTCTCGGGGGCAATTCCGTCATTTCTCAGCCAACTCGAGAACCTCACCTTTCTCGACTTATCGTTCAATAATCTCACCGGAGAAATTCCCCCGTCGCTCTCGCTGCTCAAAAACCTCGACGCTCTCCACTTGGACCGGAACAAGCTCACCGGAAAAATCCCCGACTCGATCGGAAAGTTCGCCGGAAAAACGCCGGATCTTTACTTCTCCCACAACCAGCTCACCGGAGCTGTCCCGAGATCATTGGGTGACTTAAACTTCACCGTGCTGGATTTTTCAAGAAACAAGCTTGAAGGCGATGCGTCTTTCTTGTTTGGCGAAAACAAGACTGTACAGATCGTCGATTTGTCGAGGAATATGTTGGAGTTTGATCTGACAAAGGTTGAGTTTCCGGCGAGTTTGAGTTCGTTGGATGTGAACCATAATAGGATCACGGGAAACTTGCCGGACGAGTTGACTCAGTTGAATATGCAGTATTTGAATGTGAGTTATAATAGGCTTTGTGGAAAGATTCCAATTGGTGGGGATTTGCAGAGCTTTGATAGTTATTCTTATTTCCATAACAAATGCTTGTGCGGTTCTCCATTACCCTCCTGCAATTGATTTTTATTCAAACATTTATTTCTAATATGCAGTATTTATGTTATTGAAACATAAAATTGTTGCTAATGTAATAGTTTGATGCACATTGTTGAATAAAAATCAGTATTCCCAATAATATCCCTAGTTGGGCTAACTTCATTTAATTTGTAGCTTTAATTATTGTTGGGCCATGGGTCCAATGGACTACATATACATGATCAAATGATGACGTGGCTGGAATCGGCGGTTAGAGTTATATATATGTGTGTGTGTGAATTAATTATACATTCTCATGATAATCTATAATTAGGAAGATCAAGGCTTACAAAAAGAGAAAATTAATTAAACAAATTAAACTGAAGCTGTAATTAGTCCTACAGTACTTTCTAATCTTACAACAACCTTGGTCTTTAGTTTGGATTTTTTCTCTCTCTGCTCTAGACATCTACCATTATAAATTAATAAGAAAGCTAATTAATTATTAATATTTTTGGGAAGATATATATATATATATATATATAGGCAGAAAATATGTAGCTAGCTCGCTAGCTAGGGTTTGACTGATCTCACTCTCCGATCGTAGCGGTTAATTATTGGTGGCGGGGGCGGGACAACCAAAGGGAGCTGAGTGCACGGAGGCGGTGGAAGTACTCTCCGATTGCTAGAAAACACCTCGCACTTTGCCTCGTCGTCAGAATTTGGTGCACCCGGTGTAGGGTTTGCTGCCTCAAGTTATCAGCCTGCAGTAAGTACATTAATTAATCAACATATGTTGACACTTGAAGGGTTAATTTCATTAATTACTCCCTTAATTCCACCTACATTAATTCCACCTACTCTCAATTATCATTTGATTGATTGATTTGATTAATTGTGTAATGGTGTTGGTAATTGTTGTACTACAATCGTGTCCATCGACCGATCTGCATGTTCGACACGTTTTATGAGACGACGAGTAAAGACACTACTTGCACCAACCCTGAACAATCCACATGTCTCATAAAACGTGTCGAACATGCAAATCGATCGATGTACACGTACGGTACACCGCCTAATATATATCGACAAAAAAAAAAAACACCTAATATTAACTTCACCTACCAAATAAAACAGTATGAAGAAAAAGCATACATAGAATATGCCAATTTTCTATTATGGAATCAAAATTACTAGTACAGTAACTATATATCCACCAAAGAAATTAACTTATTTCGACTCCGATTTCAAAATAAATAAATAATAAAATATACCTGTCGAACGAAGCCTTCGAGGGTGGAGAGTTTGTTGATGGCAAGAGCCATGTGTGACATATAGTTGTTAATGTTTTGAGGGAAGCAATTTAAGAGAAGTGAATCAGAAATTAGGGTTTCTGATAGAGATTGATTCAGTGCATCAAGTCCATGTGAGAGTGCTTCTTCTGCTTCTTGCGTTGACTGCTGCACTCCATATATTCCCATCATTTGTCCCTCTGTCATCGGCTCTATCTCCCTCATTATTATCTAATTCATTACATACATCATTAATTCATTAATTAGATTAATTAGATTAATTAGACTGCATGCATGCATGCATACGAATTAGGGTTTTGTGTGTGCATGCATGCAGTGAATGAATGAATTAACGTACGTAAGGCAGACCTTGATGAGGTGAGATGGGCGGAAGCCGCCCATCCACATGAAGCAGCGCTCCGCCGGAGACTTCCAAATTCCGGTGAAGATGTGGAAAACGTCGGATTTAGTAATCATGTTCTTTAGCCTCATCATCTGATCGTAGTGGACTAAGCAGTTCTCCACAAACATACGAAGCTCGTTTTCCGGCAACTCTTCCTCCACCGCATTCCTCAGCTCCACCATCACACGGTGGTGCTCCTCCAGCCACCGTGCATACTCCATGTCAAACAATGCAGCATCTAATATGCATAAAATATATATATGTAGCTCATTAATGCATGCATTTTAATTAATTAAAATATAATGAGTGAGAATTAATACCTGAATTTAAGTTGAGAGAAAGGCCTTGATCTCCTGCTAAAACAGCATTTCCTCCCAACATTAATCCCTAAAAATGTATTAAAACATAATAATATAATGATTATATATTTAATTGCACTTATTTAACAGATAATTAAATGAATTAAATTATTTTAATATCACCTGGGACCTAGCTCTATGTATATCTTGTTCCAACTGAGTAAGCCTCAACCTACTCGATTCCAACTGCTGAACATAAGCCTGCAATTTTTTTTACATATTGCAAAGTATTATTTTTCTTCTTCTTGATATTATAATAATTCTACAAAAATAAAATTCAATAAAATAATTCCTTAATTTTAATTTTTTTTCTGGGAGGACATATATAATTAATAATGAAATATACCTTTTTCCTAAGCCTGCTTTTCCTAGCAGCCTCTCTATTCTGAGCAAGCCTCCTCAAAGTCTGCACATCACCAAATTAAACAGAGCTATTAGCTAGGTTTATTCACAAACCAACACACACACACACCCCCGCTTGTGTGTGTGTGTGTGTGTGTGTGAGAGAGAGAGAGAGAGAGAGTAATATATATATATATATATATACACCTTGGGGTCAGCAGGAGGTGTGTTTGGTCGTCCATCTTGGTCTGAAATTGAGGTTGCCCCTTTTCGGTTTCCTTCACGCTGCCACCCCCAAAGAAAGTAACAATTACAACACAAAGATATAATTAAATTATTAACTTTTAATTGATACAAATCTCTTGAGTTTACAATAATATATATCTTAGTTTCCAATTTGTTAATAAAACAAAAAAATATATATAAATAATAATAATAATAATAATAATAATAATAATAATAATAATAATAATAATAAGTGAAAATAGTATTTAATGTCCTAATAACCTTAACCAGTTTGGGTGGAGCAGGAGGATGATGATTAGTAGGGTTGGATGATAAATCAATGAATGGATCAGCTGATGATCTCTTCGAACCACTGCTACCTGCTGCTGCTGCTGATACTACTACTAATCCAGGACTACTCCCCTAATAATTAATTCATTACAATTATAATTATAATACAACAAATAAAATAGAAAATAAAGAAATAATTATTAAAAAAAAAAAAAGAAAAAGGAGATTTGATGGAGAGGTACCTTGGAAGGTGTTGGAGAAGGGTCTACATGCATGGGCTGAGAAGGGAAAATGTTGAGGGTGCACTGTGGTCTCACCCCCCCACTATTCTCTGCACCTAAATATTTTATTTATATTAAAAATAAATTCAATAAATAATTTAATCTACTAACAACAATAATTAAAAAAGCAGCAAATTAAAGAGAAAGTGATATTTGGTTAGTACTGTCAATAATCAGAGTAGAGAATATAATGGAAGTTAGCAAAATCATGTCTTCTGCTGCACAAGTTTGTTACATGTCTGTCCAAACTTTGAGAATCCACACATACATGCATACATCTTTTTATTTCTTTCTTTCTTTTGCAAAGTTAAAAATCTTTTTTTCCAGATGAGAGGATCTGGTCAAACAAAGTACAAATCAGTAAAAAATTAAAAACGAAATTATTTTTTGATCTTCCCCTCCAACATACTTCCCTCATGACCCCCCAAAACAAAAAGAAAAAAAGAATAGAATTAATTTCCCCAAGAATTAATCATAATAATTATTAAGAAACAAAAGTTTCTGTATAGTAGAAGTGAATTGAATTGAAGTAATTAAGAGAAAAATAGAGAGAAGATGGAATAATTACGTCGTTGATCTTGAGGGGAGTGATCTTGGCCGTTGAGATATAGAAAAAGAGCTTCTTCATCTTGATCATACTCACCCAACTCATCTTCATCATCATCATAAGCGCCGCCGCCGCCGCCTGCACCACCATCTTTGCCGCTTCTGCATATATATAAGAAATAAATTAATTAATTATATAAAAATAAGAAATTATTAAGACATCACTTTTAATAAAATTAAAGAAATAATAAAAAGGTGAAAAATGAATGAATGATATGTTACATATTGAAGGAGGTTGCAGAAGCAGGAAAGGGTGGTGACGAAGAGGAAGATGATTGCATCATGCTAGCAAACGATAACATCATCTGATTATTATTATTATTATTATTCATTTGCTGATGATGATTATGCTGATCAAGATGATGTGTATTAGATTGATGATGATGATGCATATTATTATCCTTGTTGTTGATGCTAATTCCTTTTTCCGAATAATTAGCCATCATCACACACAGGATCTGATGATATATATATATATATTCACTCAACTTCCTTTCTTTATTTTATTTATTTAATTAGTCACCACAACAGACTTCACTCTAGCGGCTAATATATATATACATAGAGAGAGAAAGCTCTAGAGAGAGAGAGAGAGAGAGGTGAGTCGTCAGTCGGTTATGGAGTAGTAAATGGAGGTGGGCGGATTTGACGGGAGAATGAGAGAGAGAATTAATTGAATGCAAATGAAGGAAAGGACAAACTCTATTTTAAGGCTTCTCCATTTTTTTCTGCTAAATTACACAACACTTTCTCACTCACATAATTCATTTCTCTTTTTCTATTTTTTTTCCACATAATTAAAATCTCTCTCTCTCTCTCTCTCTCTCTCTCTCTCTCTAAATACATATATGTACGAGGTTAGTTGAATATAAGGCACTCCTTTCCTTTCAATATAACCCTACGTTTACTTTTGACATTTCACTCAAAACATTAACATATATACCCAAACCTAGAATATTACTTTTATTTATTTATTTATATATTTACATATATGTAATTATCTTATTAATAAGAACAAACCTAGCTAGCTATCAGTTATATTTGTGTTAGGGTTTAATCACATGCATAATTAATAGCAAGGGTATGTTTGTTTGAAATAATCAGTTAAACTTTCCAATAATAGACTATTATTCCTCAAATTAATTTTGGTAGAGAATAATTTGTTTTCACAAGAGGATGTTGAAATTCTCCTAAATATGACGTCAATATAGAAACATACAATAGATGTTAGAAATATTGTATACTAACTAAATTTCTTTTTTTCCTCTAATAAATTAAATTTCTAATTATCTTGTTCTTGTTAAGTTTCTGAAGATGTGATTAAAGACAATTAAAGATGGCCAAACAGGGATATTTTTGCATTAATTCGTTAATTAACTACATAATATATATATATACTGATTAATTAAGTTATATGTTGCTTGTTCTCTTCAACCTGCCTCTTTCCAAATAGACTAATTTCTGTTAAATAATTATTAATTATTAAAAAGAAGTTGGAATAATTTGGATTAGGTAAATCAGCGCAACTAACTTCCAATTCACATCAATGTTTTATATCATTTGGATGGTTTAGGGCAAATCTATTTCTTTAATTTTCAACTACTCCTATTGGCCCAATCCATTTTTTGTGCTAAATATATTAAATAAAAACCTAAATTGGATGCAAATACACTGAAAAATTCGAGCTTCAGCTCGAGCTTTTGTCGAACCTATGAGCGGGCTCAACTCATTTAAACTCCTACTCAAAAGTCATTATTGCAACTTATAATTTATAAACATGGCTTGTCTAGCGGTTTTCAAAGGCCTTAATTATATAATTAAAATATATAATTATATAAATTTAATTAATTATGCCGTGAAGAAACAAAACTATGTTTAAGCAACAACTACACATATATACAATGCATCAACTCTCTCTTCGTTTAAACATTTAATTATTTAATTATTTAATTTCCCTAAGTAGTTTGTATAACCCTTTCAATTTAGCTACCTACCTACCATATTATATATACATGTATTCTTAATTACTATATGTATGTTGAGATTAATCTATATTTTGCATGCGGTCAACCATTGACCTACAATACAATAATCATTAGAGTTTTGATCATTTCTCATAGGAAGAACTTATCAAACTTAATGATTTATTTGATTATACATTATTCGGTCAATTTTTATTGATTTATGAGTATTGTATTAGATCTAAACATGAAAGAGAGAAAGGATCATTTGTGATCAAGGGCGGAACCAGAATATAAATATAAGGGGGGCTAACCAAAATTTCGGGGTTCGGGGCAGCGCCCCGAAATTTTTTTTTGGTTCACAAGACATAGCAAAAATAAGTTTAATAAAAAAAGCATATATATATTATAGTTTTATCATATTTTAAGCATGACGAAAAAATCTTAATGTACTGCACTTAAATATTTTGGAGGTTAATGGCATCGTCTCATATTATTTTAAAGAGACACCGATAAAAAAAGTTCCAAAATAAGTAAATATTCATAAATATTATATAAAATAATACAAATTTTAACCATTTTATTAAATATTTTTATATTAAATATGATGTATACAAGTATAATTTATATAAGATTGTGGAGAAGAAAAAAAAAATTAAGGGTTAAGACATATATTTACAAAAACTTTAGAAGGCCAAATGTAATATTCAAAAACTAAAATGCAAAAATAACTAAAAAAAAAATTAATCTTGGGGGGCAACAGCCCCCTGCCCCTTTGAAGTTCCGCCCTTGTTTGTGATGATTCTTTTTGTTAATTTTTTCTTTTAATAAAGAAATTAACAATCACATGTGTGTGTTTCGTAGATTTCACTTTCGTGTAATAGTTTGCAAATTACTGAAGATTACTGAACGGCGGGTTCGACCACTTAAAATACGGGCAAGAGGGAATCGAACTCGAATTATTAGACGATGTACGTATATGTGTATTTATTGATTTGTAGTAATTGCTTTTGGTGTGGATAAAGTTTTATTCTAAAATCAGCAGAAATAGGTAGATGAAATCCTTAAATTTGACTTGAAAACAATGGTCCCAAATGGTTCTTGGGTGTGTGGGCCCCTACAATGGGCTCAAATAGTTGTTTTTTGTTCAAGTGGGGCCCATAGCCCATCTTTTCTCGATTTCTATTTATGGAAAATGGTTGCTTGGTTCAAGCACTTGTATTTTTTGCACAATTTTTAATTCATGCATTAACAATAATGTAGAAAATTATATATATAAGTTGATTTATATGTCTATAGATATAAATTATAATTACTAAAAGTATAATATATAACACAAGAAAATAATATGGTTCGAATACAAAATAATCGATATACACTATTAAAAACTCCATCTTTAAATCCTACGTCGTTCTTGTAAATAACTCGAACGTCTTGTTTCTTCGCCCAACGCCTCTATCTGCACTTTCTTGGACTTTCTCCAACGCCGAAGTACTCTAATCAAACCGGGGGATGACCTCTAGCGATATCTGTACGGCAGATCTGTATGTATCGCTACAACAAAAGTTATAGCATAATACTACTCAACAGAATGCCTTATCAAAGATTCAATTTTTGATGTATAATTTGGACCCAAATTTATCAATAATGATGGCCCAATTTGGTTTGTTTGTGGCCCAATAAAAAGATGATCAAATACAAGACCAAGTACTAATCGAAAATTACTGAAGTAATATGGGAACAAGAACAAGAACTAATAAGGAAAGATGAGAGTTGGAAGAAAAGAATAAACTTTTAGGTTAAGATGAAGAAAGTATTAATTGGACAGCTCAGAGTTTATAGCTAAAGAAGAATAATAAGAGATGGACGAATAAAGTTTAAAAGCATCTTTTTGAGCATGCTTTGTTGTTGGTATGAATGACCCTTCTTCTTTACTGCTTCTGCATTGCATTTTTGCAGCAAAAATGCAATCTTTACGAATATTACATTATTGCTTTTCAATTCCATTTTTTTCTAATTCAAGTTTCTTTTTTTATTTACTATTATTTTATTTTTTTTGGAGATTTTCATAATGAAAATGAAAAATGAAAATCACAATGCTAATATTACCAAAAAGGTGTAAACTTGTTCAAGATTTGGAAATTAGGGCATATAAATAAAATTGGGTGCATTTACAGATTTAGAGTAGTAGTAAACAAATCCCAAAGAATCTCTGTACACAGACTTTCAAGTACCAAAAGAGAAGCTTTGTCATGATAGATGGGGCATTAGAACCAGCTTTAGTGGGAATATTTGAAACCTTTTTCCCCCTCTTTTCCTCCATTAAGTATTATTAATTAATTAAACATCACCATTAGTGGCCAACTTATAATATAAACAAAGCAAATTCTTTTCTACATTACCCTTTCAATCAAACATAAGCTCATTACACACTCTCTTCACATAGTGTTTGTGTTGTGTGCTTTGTTTTGTGAGGTATAAAATTCTCCCATATATTTTGAAAGAAACAAAACCATCAAGAAAATTCCGAGTATGAACCCTCAAGATGACTACAAGATCAAAGAAACGAAGCCGCAGCTCGGCGAGCGGTGGCCGCACGGCGGGGCCCGAGGTGGCTTATGGTGGACCGGCAGTGAGAGGATCACAAGCACCTACGACCTTGTCGAACAGATGTACTATCTCTATGTACGTGTGGTCAAAGCTAAAGACCTTCCCACAAACCCGGTTTCGGGGAGCTGCGATCCTTACGTAGAGGTCAAACTCGGAAACTACAAAGGCAAAACTCAGCGTTTCGAGAAGAAAACGAATCCGGAATGGAAACAAGTTTTCGCATTTTCGAAAGAAAAAATTCAATCTTCGGTTCTTGAAGTTTTTGTAAGAGACAGAGAGATGGTCGGGCGAGATGACTATCTCGGTCGAGTAGTGTTTGATATGAACGAGGTTCCTACGCGGGTCCCGCCAGATAGCCCTTTGGCCCCACAGTGGTACAGGCTGGAGGATCGTAAAGGCGAAAGCAAGCTCAGAGGTGAAGTAATGGTGGCTGTTTGGATGGGTACTCAAGCTGACGAGGCGTTTCCCGAGGCGTGGCATTCTGATGCTGCTTCCGTGCATGGTGAAGGGGTTTTCAGCGTTCGGTCGAAGGTGTACGTTTCGCCTAAACTGTGGTACCTTCGTGTCAACGTGATCGAGGCGCAGGATGTGGAGTCGGAAGACAAAAGTCAACTCCCGCAGGTGTTTGTGAAAGCTCAAGTTGGGAATCAGATACTCAAGACTAAGCTCTGCCCTAATCGGACAACGAATCCGTTTTGGAATGAGGATTTGATTTTTGTAGCGGCCGAGCCTTTTGAGGAGCAATTGGTAATTACGGTTGAAAATAAAATCGCACCGTCGAAAGACGAACTTGTGGGAAGGATAAGTTTGCCTTTGCATGTTTTCGAGAAACGATTGGATCACCGCCCGGTGCACACACGTTGGTTCAACCTCGAGAGGTTCGGATTCGGTGTTCTAGAAGGTGACAGAAGAAAAGAGCTGAAATTTTCGACTAGGGTTCATATTCGAGCATGTCTCGAAGGTGGATATCATGTTCTTGATGAATCCACTATGTATATAAGTGACCAAAGGCCCACAGCTAGGCAGCTGTGGAAGCAGCCAATCGGAATCCTCGAACTCGGAATCTTGAGCGCAAACGGGCTTTTACCGATGAAGATTAAAGACGGGCGAGGGTGCACCGATGCTTACTGTGTGGCGAAGTACGGACAAAAATGGGTTCGGACAAGAACCATAGTCGAAAGCCCGAGCCCGAAATGGAACGAGCAGTATACGTGGGAGGTTTACGATCCGTGCACCGTCATCACTTTAGGTGTCTTCGACAACTGCCACCTAGGCACGCCTGCAAGCGGGCCCGCAAATGACACGAGAATCGGTAAAGTGAGGATTAGGCTCTCGACTTTGGAAACAGACAGGATCTACACGCATTCTTATCCGCTCCTCGTACTTCAACCGTCCGGCCTGAAAAAGACGGGCGAGCTCCAGCTGGCGTTTAGGTTTACGTGTTTGTCTTTAGCACACATGGTGTATCTATACAGCAGGCCTTTGCTGCCGAAGATGCATTACTTGCAGCCATTCACGGTAAGCCAGGTGGACAGCTTGAGGTACCAGTCGATGAATATCGTGGCTTCGAGACTGGCTCGAGCCGAGCCGCCTTTGAGAAAGGAGGTGGTCGAGTACATGCTGGACGTGGATTCGCACATGTGGAGCATGAGGCGAAGCAAAGCGAATTTCTTTCGGATTGTCTCATTGTTTTCGAATTTGATTTCGATGAGTAAATGGCTCGGTGAAGTTTGTCAATGGAGGAATCCGATTACTACTGTATTGGTTCATGTTCTGTTCTGTATACTGATTTGCTACCCGGAGCTGATTTTGCCGACGGTGTTTCTGTACATGTTCTTGATCGGCGTGTGGAATTTTAGGTTAAGGACGAAGATTCCGCCGCATATGGACACGAAGCTGTCATGGGCGGAGGCGGTGCACCCAGACGAACTGGACGAGGAGTTCGATACTTTCCCGACATCGAAAGCGCAGGATGTTGTAAGAATGAGGTATGACCGGTTGAGGAGTGTGGCGGGGAGGATACAGACGGTGGCGGGTGACGTGGCAACGCAGGGAGAGAGGTTTCAGTCGCTGCTGAGCTGGAGGGATCCGAGGGCGAGCAGTATTTTTGTGGGTTTTTGTCTTTTCGCGGCGGTGGCGCTTTACGTGACGCCGTTCAAGATTGTGACGCTTTTGGTGGGGTTGTTTTTGCTCAGGCATCCCAGGTTTAGGAGCAAGATGCCGTCGCCGCCTAGCAGTTTCTTCCGGCGGTTGCCGGCCAGGGCTGATAGCATGCTGTGAAATGTTGGGCCCTCGCCTTTTTCGGCAAAGAGTGAGTCCCTCTCTCTCTCTCTCTCTCTATATATATATATATATATATATATATATATGTATTTTTTTACTTGATGATTTGATCTTGCTGCAAGATGTTTACACACTTAAAATATGATTTCTAGGCTCATTGTTTGGTATTTTCAAAGCCTGTTACATTGGTTATATGTGTAATTCATGGATACCTTAGGGGTTAGATTGTAATTTTCTCCCGAAAAATGACCCTTGAAACTCATTTTTTACCCCTACCTTCACATTCACAGTTCAATAGAACAAGAAACACAAGCCCTGTTTTAACATTTTGAATATGAACTAGGGGTAAAAAAAAAACAGAGGACAGAGATGTAATTTAAAAAAATATAACTCCGACAAGCATTTAATGGTGATGATTTTTAAAAAATACTGGAGCAGTTGATTTTGAAGGAATGTTTGAGAATTAAATAATGAAAAATAGAACATGCTTCTTGATAAAAGCTTTTGGTGCCATGATTCCAGGAATAATGTCATTTCTGCCCCTGTTTTTTTTAATCCTTAGCAAATAAACTATTGTCCACTTGTATTATTACAACTCACACTGTTAAACAAATGCTCCTTCATTTAGTTTTACATTTGAAAAGGATCAAATCTAAACAGCAAATTAAATGGTAATAACACAGATAAAAGACATAACAACTTAGCTTGGCAATTCACGGCCAAGTATCGCGCCCGTCGTAAAAAGCTAACAACTTTTTACCGACATTATTTATACCATTAAAATTCATATTAGATGATTTAATAAAGAAAAAGGGATAGTCCGGATTGAATTAAAACGACCACCAAATCTGTCTCGAACACAAAAACCAACATCCTAAACAAATAAAAGAAAACCTTAAAAACCAACCAAAATATGCAAAAAAAGTTTCAGAGACAATCTTACATAAACGCCACCGGGAAAAAAAAAAACACCTTTGTTTTCCACTCACAGCATACAGTCCGTCCTTGCTGGTAATCTCCTGAAGAAATTGAGCGGCACAGAAGGCAGCTTGTACCGAAACCTAGGATGCCTCAAAACGTAGAACCCCGTCAGAAGCGCCACCACCTGGAAAGGCGTAACATACAGAACAATCGCAGCAATCAAACAGAAGATGACAAACAAAGCCGTGGCCCTTGGGTCCCGCCAGCTCAGCAATGACTGCAGCCTCTCCCCCTGAGTTGCCAGGTCACCAACCACCGTTTGAATCCTGCCAGCAATGCTCCTCAGACGATCGTACCTCATTCGGACAATATCCGCGGGCCTAGAAGTCGGGAAAGTGTCGAACTCCTCGTCCAGCTCATCAGGGTGCGCGTTGTCGGCACAAGAGAGACGCGTGTCCATGTGGGGCGGGTGCCTCGGCCTCCATCTATAGTACCACACGCCAATCAAGAAAAGGTATAAAAATACCGTGGGTAAGATTAGCTCTGGGTACATGACCAATATCAAGAAGAGTATGTGGATAAGCACTGTCGTAATTGGGTTCTTCCAATTGCATATCTGATCGAACCATTTTCCAACCGCAATTAAACCGCTCAAAACACCCATAATCCGAAAGAAGTTAGCTTTGCTTCTCCTCATACTCCACATGTGGGACCCGACGTCGAGCATGAACTCAACCACCTCCTTTCTCAAAGGCGGCTCGGCTCGAGTCAGCCTCAACGAGACTATCTGAGTTGCTTGGTGCCTCAAGCTGTCGAGCTGGCTAACTGTCAATGGATGTATGTAGTGCATTTTCGGAAGCAACGGCTGCGAGTACATATGCATCATGTTCACTAAAGACGAGCACGTAAATCGAACGGCTAAATGAATTTCGCCCATCTTCTTCACACCCGACGGATGCAAAACTAGGAGAGGGTACGAGTGGGTGTAGACACGGTCAGTCTCGAGGGTTGAAAGGCGAATTCGTACTTTACCGATTCTTGCATCTCTTCCATTTTTGTCCCCGCCTTGTGTGTGACAGTTGTCGAATACACCGATGGTTACTACAGTGCATGGATCGAAGACCTCCCACGTGTACTGCTCGTTCCATTTCGGAGAAAAGCTGTCTATGATTGTCCTTGTCCTAACCCATTTCTGTCCGTATTTCGCAACGCAGTAAGCGTCTGTAGTTGCACGCCCGTCTTTCGTTTTCATCGGTGAAAGCCCCTGTGCATTTAATACTCCGAGCTCCAAAACACCAATGCTCGATTTCCACAGCTGCTTTGCTGTCGGTCGTAAATCACTGCTGTAGTGAGTGGATTCATCTAGAACATGGTAGCCACCTTCTAAGCAAATTCGCATGTGAATCTTGCTAGCGAATTTCACTTCCTTCTTCTTTTCGCCCTCGACCATGACGTGTTTTTCAAGGTTGTACCACCTCGTATTAACCGGCTTATGGTCCAATCGCCTGTCCACGTACTGCAAAGGCACACCGCATCTTCCTAGTACTTCGTCTTTATTAGGGGCAACACGGTCTTCGACGCTCAAGATTAGTGGCTCCTCGAACGGCTCTGCAGCAACGAACATCAAATCCTCATTCCACATAGGATTGATGCTCTTGTTCATTGAAACCCTCGTCCGTAAAGCCTGATTTCCAAGAATAGCTTTAACGTAAACTTCCGGAAACCTACTTTTGTCACTCGGCTGCAAATCTTGAGCTTCGATAACATTCACCCTCAAATACCAAAGCTTGGGCGATAGATACACTTTTGAACGTATATTCGAAAGACCGTCAGCCCCACTCACCGCTGCAGCATCAGAATGCCATGCCTCGGGAAACGCCTCGTCAGCTTGTGTACCCATCCAAACAGCCAGCATAAGCTCCCCTTTCGCCTTTTCATTTTTCCGATCCTCCAGCCTGTACCACTGTGGGGCCAGTGGACTGTCTGGAGGGACCCGCTTAGGAACCTCGTTCAAATCGAACACAACCCGTCCGATAAAATCGTCCTTGACAAAATCCTTGTCTTTTATGTTGACTTCGAGAACGGAGGCTTGGATACGGTCCTTGGAGAAGGCGAAGACCTGGTTCCATTCGGGGTTTGACTTTTTCTCGAAATGACGAGTTGTACCCTTGTAGTTTCCGAGCCTGACCTCTACGTAAGGGTCGCAACTACCTGCTACGTCTTTTCCTGGTAAGTCTTTGGCTTTTACGACACGTACGTACAGGTACTGCATTTGCTCGACGAGGTCATAGGTACTCGTGAGCTTGTCTCCAGTGATTTTGCCACCACCAAGGTGGGGTTTGGTCTCCTTTAAGGAGAAGTCTTCATGCGGAGGCCTCTGCATTTTGTTGACTTCTTTCGAACCTACAATTAAGAAAACCCCCAATAGATATTAGCAGAAAAACAAACAGTCAAGTATAAATCAGAGAGAGAAAACTTGGACTTAACAGTATGTACGAACACAAACAGAGCATAACAAAAAAAAAAAAATTTGATCTTGATTATGAATAAATTACCCGATGAAAGAAAACGGTGTAAGCCTGAAATGTCAATTCAAGGCTTCAGATCTGAGTGATTAAAACCTGTGGAATACAAGCGAGAAACGTGAGATCACACAGCAGGAAATAATGATCAGCAGAATTTACAAAAGGATAAAATCGTCACGAGGCAAACATTTGATTCCACACCCGCACAATTCGATCACTAATTCATAGTAATCGAGACACGCAGCAAGACAGAAGCCTAGCTCATACTCTTTACTTACATAAAGAGAAGTCACTAGCAAGACATAAGCAAAGATACATAATAAAGTTTGGGTTCTTAATGTAAAAAAACATCGATACTTAGAATTGTTGGTTGAAGAAATGACCAAACATAGAAGAAAGATTCACATCAAACACAGAGCCTTGCATATAACAACAAATTGGCAAATTGATTTTACAAGGGTAAGAATTCAGACACATAAAAAGGCAAAATTTAGATGTGCTTTATTTCAAGAAATAACCTTATGAAGAAGAACCTGGTAACTCCAAAACATTAGTTCAAAGCTTCAGATCTGAAAACAAAAAACCTGCTGAACAAAAGCGAAAAAAAAAAACATGAGATCATAAGCAACAAGCTTAACAGCTAACAACAAATAAAAGACCAATTTTTTTCTTGCAAGAACATAGGGAACTACAATGTACAAACCCACTAAGAATAGTTTTTAAGTTTTAACAGTAGCGTTATACCAACAAAGGCCATAAAAATGTAGTCTTTTACAGCTCACCTCCTTTAATTAAATAAACACTAACAGGAAAACAAACCCAAAAAAAAAAAAGTAAAGCAGCTTAGATCTTGAATGTTGGTACACCAATATAAAAAAATAAAAATAAAATAAATAAAACAGAAAATCGTACCCAAAAAAACTGAGTTTTTTTTTTTTTGAAGTTTCTCTGTTTTGGGTCAAATAATTGAAGGGGTTTAAATAAAGAAAAGAATAAAGGTAAAAAGAAAGAGATATAGATATGAATATACCTTGAAGGTTCACGATAAGGTTTTTGTTCCTGCAGATAGATTGATACAAACAACTGAGCAAAAGAAGAGAGAGAGAGAGAGAGCCAATATTAAAGTAGAGAGAAGGGTTTTTGTTCTTGTTGCCTTTTTTGAATCAAATTAAAAATAAAATAAAATAAATAAAAAAGCGGAAACACAAACCGGAGAGAGCTAAATCTAAATACAGAGGTGTTTTTTTTTTTTTTTTTGAAAATTCTTTTCTTTCTTCAGAGAAAAAGATTTAAAGGAAAAGGGTGGTGGGGGACACGCAGAGAGATCTGATGAATCTGCTTTATCAATGCACCCAACCCCAACTGTGTGTACTGTGTGTGTGTGTATTTTTTTTTCCTTTTTTTTTTTTTTTGATTAATTTTTTTGTATGTGCAGGAGTATGAATGTATGTACGTATGTATTGTCCTAGTGTGTGTACTGTGTGTGTGTGTGTCTTTTTATTTTTTAATTTTTTTATTACTATATCTTACTACTTGCCTTTACTGTCACTGTGGGACCCAATGTCACGCGTGCCAGGACTTTGGTCGGAGCATTTGCACGTGCCGCCTCCGTGTATCTCGGTCCGATGCTTATCGTGTTTTTTTTTTTTTTTTTGTTTATTACAACTATTTAAGTAATGTGGCACTATATTTTTAGGAAAGGTAGATAATTGATTAAAACAAAAATAGTAGTAAATTATATTGTTTGATTTCAAAATATTGACCTTGAAAATATTACAGATATTTGTAATATATCAATTCATTGATAAAATTTTATGATGGATTCTCATTGCAAAATAAATATGATTAAAATAATCTATTGAGTATGAAATGTAATTTTAAATTTATTACAGCAGTATTAATTGAGTTTTAATAACGTATATTGTATAATATATCCAACTACTAGACAATACTATGTTAAATACATGTTGCAACATGGCATACAACATTTTTTATTTGAGTTATTTAATTAAAAGAAATAAAAAATTATTTAAATATTATTTTATGTGATTATGCGGCATGGAACTTGTGTGCACCCACGGGTGAAGATAGGATCTCCCCTTCACACAGGACAAAAGCGTATGTTGGTGTAGTGTGTTTTTACAGGTGTCGAAAAAGAGGGGATGCTGAGATATATATACGTTCTTCAATATTCTCATGCTTTTCAATTGGACCCCTACTTCACACTCAAGCGTGGAATCCGATGCATGCATACGACGTCGTTTGATTACCAAAATTATGAAAATTTGATTTTCTATTTATTCATGGAAATTTGCAATGCCTATTTGTTACATTGCATAAATAAAAATATATTATTATTTTAATTCCATGTGATATACAAATTACCCAACTTCATGGAATACATATTCTGTTTGTATTGATCTAAACTTTATTAAATGGGCTGGGCCCACTAAGCCCCTTTCAATGTACAACACCTTTTTTCTCTGGTCCCATGCATTGGCCCATCTTTATATATTCTTCCTCCATACTGCACTATATTTTGGTAGGGGTCTTCACTCGGCCCTAAACCGACAAATCTGAGTCGGACCGAAAATTTGGTACGTGTAGATATTCGGTAATTCTTTTTTTGAAATTCTGGTGTTCGGTACGATACGGTATTGATACTTGGTATATCGTATACCGTACCGAATACTGAAATATTTAATATTTTTATTTTATTTTAAATTCTTTAAGGTTATAGAAATTATAAAATATTTTTAGCTCGATAATTTGTTTCATTATTACAAATTAGCCTCTATTGATGATAATTTTTATTTTTATTTTTATTGTTAGGACTGACTATTGAAATTTGAATGTCCAATTCGAGAACTAGTTAAATTAAATACCGAATTAATTTGGTAAAAAATTATACCGAACCGAATAGTTCGATTTGGTAAACTGTACAAATTTTCGAAGTCTTCAAAGTAACTCTAATATATACTAAACAGTGTATATAGTTTTTAATTAAAAGTATAAATTGATTAGTATTTATTAGAGTTACATAATTATGTTTTAAATTTTGTAATAAGCAAACAAACTCATGAAAATTGGATCCTAAATATAGGCTGAAGCATTTAAAACCATATATTGCAAATTGTTTGAGAGATTGAAAAACATTCATTGCAATAAATAATAGGTTCATTTATAATTATTTATCCATAAAATAAGGTTTAATAAGTTATTAACCCATACATACTATAATTAGATTTTTCTCCATTTTTAATACTCCAAAAAAATTCAATTCTGCCCAAAACTACACTCGCTTCGATCAAATTCCATTTCTGCTCCGTAGATCCACGCGCCGCTGCAATGACAGATCCCACCGCCGCCGAACAACCATCGGAACCACCGCCATCCACTCCCACCCCCACCCCCACCCCCGCGGCACCGACCTACCACCTCTACCCTCGCCGCGAGCCATTCGAGCACGGCCTTCTCCCCATCCCCAAACTCATCTTCTCCGATGGTGCACAAACTCTATCCCAGCTCAAATCTTCGATCCTCTCATCCAATTCCACTCACAGGCTCACCCCAGAAACCCTAGCCCCATTCATTCAATTATCCGTTGAACATGCGCGGCTTCTGATCGAAACAATATCATCAGTTTTGCACGACGATTCTGATCCATTAGTGAAGGCTGGTGCTCCGAAGGAGATCGATGAAATTGGGGTCAATGTATTTGATTTGCTTATCTTTCTTTATATACAGAGTTATAAGAGGTTGCTGCCGAAAGGGCACAAGGACTCTGCTGCTGTTGCTGATGTTTGGCCCTCAACATCTGCCTTTGATGGATTTTTATCTGCACTTTCACCGTTGCAGGTGATTCAAATTACTATTTTTTTTGTTTTAATTGATTTTTTGGGGGGTTTGTATGGAAATGTTGGATGTTTTTTTCTTCTTATTTTACGTGATCGGTATTATATGGTGAGTTATGTAGTACACATGGAGGTGCAATTTTGATTATAATGCATATGTAAGATATCTTTCAAAGAGCACTTTATATTTATTAAATTACGAGAATCCTGTAACGTAATTTTCGGATCATGTATAAGAATATTTGTTCCATTTACCGGCAACTTTTTTATGTGAATTTGTTTCCGGTTTGAGACTACTGCTTTGGTTTAGATCATTTAAACAACGGATATCTTAATTGTCTGAATTGTAGCTTAGTGAATGCGACTGTTGTCAATAGGTGGTAGATATAATATGATCTTTGCCAAATAAGAATTGTTCTATCTGTTGCAGTTGGTGCGGAGCAACAGTCGTAGGTTTATGCCATCTCAAGCTGACGAAGAGGCTCATCAGCTATCTTATTTACAGAAGCACATGGCCAACATTCTTTCCCTCTTGGCTGACTCCACAGAAGGTGGAGATGATGATTCCCTGGTATGTAAGCTTTTGTTGGCTTATTCTGCTTTTATTGTCGTAGGATGGTTTTTTTTTTAATTAAATAGGAGGTCAAATTTCATGCGATCTTAGGTTGTTGCTCTTGAGGGTGTTGAATTTCCAATGTTTATTGTGTCAGTCGATACTGTAGTTTAAGCTTCAAATGCTGCTTTTCCTTGAGCTTTGGAAACGGAGTTGTTCTGAGCTTGTCTTTCCTGCCAGGTTTTATCCGTGGATAAATTCGAGCATCTTGGGTTTCTGATCTATTTTGGGGAAAAGGGATCTGCTAAGATTTCCTTGAGCCAGAATGCTCCATTTTTCGCGAATTCAGATCCTGACATGCCTGCTGCTCCTGTTCCTGCATCACAAATTCTTGATTGGCTTCTCCAAAATATCTCGTCTACCCTGGAACATATTGCTGATAGAGTTTCTCTGAAAGAAAGTGGGCCCAGTAGTTCTCCTGACCCGGATGTTCAAATGGCTGATGTTGGAACAGGTTCATTGAAACCTTCAGTTAGTCATAGAGGTCCAAGTTTCATTGAGGGAATTTCCAAATCGTCATATGTGAAACAAGCATCTGATCTTAAGGGTACCTCTGTAAAGGTGGGCATCTTTTATTTTGCGAGTGGTTTGTCCTTTCCTATCTTACTTTTAACTTTTTTGACACTGTTAACATTATTTTCATTGATTTGTTTTGTTTTGTGAATCTCACAAGTTCTTGTCTTCCTTGTATCTTGCTTCCTTTATTTGTTTGCTCAGGTTGTAAACTGCCATGAATCAGTAATTTACATTTTGGCGCCACTGAGATATGCAACAATCTATGGATGCTCTGATGCAACTATTGTCATTGGAGCTGTTGGCAAGGTAGTGATGTGGTCAAAATTAGTAACACGATTCAATTCCTTAGTATGTAAATGCATTAAATTTGTGCTATTAGAGTAATAGAAGTGGTTCTTATCCATGCCTAAAGAATTCTCTTACAGGCTATTAGGGTCGAACACTGTGAACGCGTTCATCTGATCACTGCAGCCAGACGTATATGCATAGCTAACTGTCGTGAATGTGTATTCTTCTTGGGTGTTAACCAGCAACCTCTCATTGTTGGTGATAATCATAAATTGCAGGTCAGTATCGTTATACTTTCAATACTTGCTTACATGTATCATTCTAACAGTACCTCATATGATTAATAGTTGTACGGGTTATTTATTTGGTTATTATGACTTATGAATGGCCATATTGGACTTACAAATGTGTCGAATGTTGAACAAAATCCCGTGTCTGATTTTTTAACCTTCCTAAATGAGCTGTTGGAGCTGTCTTTCCCCGAGATTGGCAATTAGAATTTCCATTTTCACTTTTGAATTTAAATATTAATAGGTGGCTCCATTTAATACTTATTACTCGCAATTGGAAGAGCACATGAGTCAAGTTGGTGTTGATCCTAACATCAACAGGTGGGATGAACCCGTGGCACTAGGCTTGCTCGATCCGCATGATTCGTTATCCCATCCAGCTGGCGTTTCAGATGTCCAAGCAGAATCTGCTAGTCGCGTAGACCCAGATCAGTTTACCAATTTTGTGGTACGAGCTTTATTGGAACCATCTAGATGGTGAAATTTCTCAAATGCATTGTTTATTACATGTGCAATACTGATTTTTTTCAGTTTCTGCATAATGAGGTTCTTTTGGGCTCTACTGATCTTGGCTCGTTTCATGTTTATGGAAATCTCTGGCACATACTAATATTCATTTCTAATCATGCTCAGATTCCAAATTGGTTGGAAATTGAAAATGCTGGTCCCACTAAAGATAACCCCTTCCCTTTACCTGATGCCTACCTTGCATCACAGCAGAAAAATGTATGTTTGAGAGCTATCTGCGCTGGGCCTTTTTATGGGTTTGATCTCTTAAGTCATGTTTCAAATGGTTTGGTTGATTGTATTTTTTTTTTTTTTGAAATTTCAGATCAAAAGCTTGGCGGAAGTTAAGCAGATTTTGAGGGAAACTCAACTTGAAGAGAACCGGAAACGAGAATTATCAAGTGCTCTCCATGCATGTTTTAAAGATTGGTTATATGGTAATTTGTGTTACTTGAGAAATTTTTATTTCATATGTATGTGATATATGTAGATGTAGAGAAATCTCAACCCCTTTCCGTATAATGCTGATATTTCCGAGTGCAGTTCTCTCTGCAAGATTAACCATATATGCATGCAGTTCATTGCGTCGAAAATGAATAGATTTTACTTGTTATAGAGCTTGGAATCTAGTTCTCTTACGTGGTGGTGGTTAAGTTAGCCTCTTTACTTGCCATACGATGAAAATTGGTGCTGTACATAATTGCTATTTAAGTTTCTTTGATAACTCTCTTTTCTTCCTTTAGTAACAATGAAACGTATATAGATGTGCGTATTACATTGAAGAACATTAGCAAAAACGAACGTATTTTAACTTGCTATGTTTCAATGAATGGACAGCATCAGGCAATATCCGGCAGCTGTACTGCTTACAGGGTGAATAAGTGACGGAGCAGAAAAAATGATGAATGGAGACAATGTTTTTTAAGGTTTCTCTCTATTTAGTACTCGGCCATTTGAGGCTCCTCTTGCTGTTTTTTCATGATGCCAGAGGCTGCTGGGATTTCGATGCTGTCTTAGTTTACTGTTTCGTGTGTGTTGATAAGTTTTGAACCTCAGTGAAATTTGCAATAAAACAGGAATATGCTTGTTACACTTTTTCGTTCTTCCAATTTGTGAATTAATTATTTTGTAATTCCAGGAATAATGTTTTATTTTGCTAATGGTGCATTTCTTTCTTGTTCCGAAAATACGAGGTTGAAATTTCCAGGGCATTTAATTCCCATGAAAGACTACTCGAAGTTTAGTTTAATTCCACAGATAAACAAAAGAAAGAGAAACAAAGAACAGACAAGATCCCAGAAAGTGTAGCCAATTCAAAGTGACCAGTTCATATGCTGGAGAGAAGCAGCATCATATCCAGTGGGGCCCTCGAGCCCGTGATATTGTCCCTCGCTGAGTTGACTCAGCCCGAGTTCATGCCTGCTATACTGAGCTTGCATATGATGAGGAGGAGCCATTTCATGAAAGGTGGTTGCGGCGGTGGTGGTGATGCTATTATTAGCAGCAGCTTCATGGTGGTGGTGGTGGTGGTGGTTGGCCGCCTTCAAACCCCACGAAAATTGAGCGGCGGCCGCTGCGGAGGTGGTGGTGGTGTCTAAGGAGGGCTGAAGCAGCAGGGTTTGGTTTGTTGATTCCCAGGTAGGAATGGACTGTTTTGACAGAAGAGAGAGAGCACTTTTACTTGTGGATGAGCTTTCTGGACAAGGAGATGTTATTACAGCTCCACCACAATAACTGTGCCTGGTTGTATTATTTCTGGTATTAGTTGAATCTTCTAGAAGATCGTCGTCATCATCGTCTTCGTCATCTTGCTCGTATTTTAAGGCGGAGATAGTATTATTATTATTCGGCCATGAATCTTCTCTTCTGGTAAAGTCCATCACAAGTCCTCCTGTTTTGCTCTGATTATCTGCATGCAATTCAATTTTACAGACAAATACACACAACATATACATACATATATCATCTTATCTTATATGTAATAAATTATAAAATGTTTCATAAGCAGAAACAAAATATATTATTATGCTAACCGAAGGTGGGTGGTGAAAGGGTTGTTGTGTAAGAGGAAGACATAAAAGGTCCCGGTGGTGGCGGCGGCTTCCTCCTCCGCTCGTTGTGCCCGGCAAGGCGGCGGCGGCAGCTCCGTTTTCCTTGGTCAAATTCCGGTAATTGATGGAACCTGGTCAACATTTAATTAATGTAATGGTGTCATTTTCAGGTCCAACAAAACAGCATTGATTACATTATCTTGATTCACATAAAGAAACACAATCCAAAGACCCCCCAAGTCAATATCATCATCAACATTAAAGAAAACAACAGGAAACTCATTCTTAATTAATGACACAATTATTCTAACACAAACATGATAAAAAAGAGTAATTAGTAATTAATTAATTAAATGGGGAGTAATTAAGAAGGGGGGAAGAGAGAGAGAAAGACCTGCTGCACTGCTGGCAAAACCTTTGGTGAAGGCCAGCAACAATGACTCTAGAAGACTTTGAATGTATACCACACACTTTGTGCCTGCAATAGTATGCCTTTGTACCACTCAGATCTATATTACACCCCTCCACCTGGCACCGCGGCGGCTGTCCGCCCTCCACACTACTCCTCCCTTTCTTCGCCGGTGACCTCGGCAATCTTCCACCACCGCCGCTGCTTCTGGGCCGCAGTACTCCAGAACCCACACCACCGCCACCTTGGAAGTAGATTTTCTTCCCGAAATTCAACCCATTTAGTGAGTGCGAGTGTGAGTGATCTGCCGCCCTACCACCGCCACCTGATGCTGAAGAAGATGAACCCTTTTCCATTCTTGATATATATAAATGTGTGACTGTGTGTATCTTAGCTAGAAGAAGAACCCAGTGATGATGAAGCTTCTTCGTGAATCAGCGCACATGCAACATTTAAGCAAATCAAAGATCAATTTTTTAACCGCAGGAAAATAAATTTGAACACTTTAATTCATTCATGGGAAATTTTGTATGGAGGGTTTCAAGTGGAATTTGGGTACATATATATGTAAAAAAAAACGTTCTTGTTTTTTGCAATTCTTGATATGCTGATATATATATATATATCGAAGTATGTGTGTGTGTGTGTGTGTGTGTGGTGGGAGAGTGATGGTGTGGAAAGTAGAGAGAGAAATTATCAAAAAAAAAAAAGAAGGTAGAAAGAGAGAGAGAGAGAGAGAGAGAAAGACCTGACAAATGAGGGCCCCAAATAATGCCAGGCTGCTTGGGTTCTGTGCAGAGAGAGAGACGAAGAAGTCGGTCAACTTAATTTTTTTGTTTGCTTTTTCGGACTTTTCATTACACACTTGTGTCTATTTCTCTCTCTCTCTCTAGAAATTCAAAACTGGCAATTCTCCCATAGCAGATGTTGCCAATTGTTCTGTATTTTTTTTAAAGTAAAATTCTCTACTAGCTAAAAATTCAAGAAAGTAAAAATCTTCCACAAAAATACTTTATTACAATTAATATTAAAAATAATAGAAATCATTTTGAAATAGATATATTGGTTGATGAAATAAAACCTGCAAGATAGATAGGGGCTTATGATAAGGTTTATGGTCTGGTTTGGTCCATACCTCATTCAATTTTTTTGGCAAAAGGACTCTGTCAGAACTCATTTTTTATTTCTTTATTTATTTATTTATATTTACCACCACAAAAACAAATAAAATGTGACAAGGGGACCCCTTACTCAAATTGGTCCACCCCAAGAATTATGGATCTAAATTATTGTTCCAGTTAAGGACTTTTTTTCTTTTTCTTGGCCATCTTCTTCTCCATCAACTGTCACTGTTCATGGCTTCTTGTGAACTTGTGTTGTGTGTGTTTTGTGTGTGTGTGACACTTGACTCTAACATATATATTGATGAATTTAAATATATATCCACCAATATTCAAATCAATCATTGTGTATAAGTACTTTTAATACTCACCTAATTTCATAGAGGTACATGATTTGTTCAGGTGTTCCAAACTTTTATGATTTATTAAAGTTGTCAAATCTAATCATCTGTCACCGAACCATTCTCGACACTTTAAGCTCTCCCGATCGAAAGAAGCTTAACCAAATTTAACCGTTGATGCGGATATTTTAAAATTTAATGAAGGTCTAATTCAACGAGAGTCTTACATCCCCGGAAGCAGTACACTCCGATCCAATTCACTAGATCTAGAGATTACAAATCAATACATACATGATGTAAAGATCAATATTTACGAGCTCAAAACCAGCTGATAATCTGCCAGGAAAATAACCCCTCGCTCGTTTTGTAGCTCAAGAAGGAGGTTTCTATATATAGTACGTCAAGGCACGTGATCCCATGTACACTACATATCCACCTGACATGTATTCCTCACGTGCACAACAGCATATGCATAATCCATGCACTTTAACCTCTAGTAAATTAGGCGTTAATCCAACAATTATAACCACAATTTAATAGATGCCAAGTAAGAAATGTCAAATTGGCATAAAACATCATATAATCAAACAACTTGAAATACTTTAGTTTTTTTTTCTTTCTTGTTTCCTCTATAAGAAAAAGTCATATTTCAAATTTGATTTAAAGGAGAAAAGTGTATTTTTTTCTCTCCGAAGTACTTGTAAACACAGAAAATTACAAACCACAGTTTGTTTGTTTGTTTGTTTTTTTTTAACTTTTATTTATTTATTTCAGTACGTTGGGCTTTTACTTGACCACAGCCCAGTATACAGATGATGTAATATGTAAGAAGAAAGTGGGCTCAATCTTTAAAACTGTAGATCCATAGGCCATAGCCCAAGTACTGTTGTAATTTGTTAGTATATCATCTGTTGATTGTCCTAACAAAGACAAGCAGAAAAGAAAACATCTGCAACTTTCACTTGAAGAATCTGTTTCTTGAGTACAAAACCTGCAAAAAAGTCAGCTTCTTCCTCGATCAAACGAGCATTCCAAATTACGTACCTACACAAATTCGCTAAATCACGGTCCACACCTCACTCGAGTCACGACCCTATGGCCACCTCATAAATTTTCCAAATAGAACCTATGCAAGACAAACATAACTGAACTATTTGAATCAAATTTATACAAGAATTTCACGACACAAATACTTGTACATTAAAGCTGCTTCACTCTACCAATCATCGTAAAGTATGAATGAAACGTCGAACAAAGAACTGTCACAGTTTACCTCGATCTCGGGTGGAGCTGATCCACCTTCTCTTCATTATCCGAGTGTCAAACGTATGATACATAATTACTACATAGTATGATGGTATCAAATACTTGAATAAAAAAGATTATCAAAAAGAAGAAACTGGTTGCAATAATATTCTCCATTAAAGCAAAACAAATCAATTCTACGAATTCTTCAAAAAGGGCATTAGCAAAAAACACGAACTCGAAAAAGAAATCAAAAATCCCATATGAGCATGCAATGCAAAATTCATATCATTTGCACTCAACACCAACTTCAGCAGCTCGTCTAGGCTTATTTTTCCTTCTGCTTCCGTTTTGTCTAAAACCAACAGATTTAATCGTAACAGTAGCATCATCTTCCTCGGTAACCGAATCCGCAATTTCTTTAACCTGAGAAGCCCTTTTTCTCTTCTTGCCATTGTTTTCATCTTCTCCGTCTATCTTTTCCTCCAATTCTTCCTCATCGTATTCGATTTCGTCTTTCATCGGTTTTAAGGGTCTTCCTCTTCTTCTCACGGGTAACTTATCCTCTTCGCCGCTTCCATTTTCGTCACGCGAAGCAATAGCAGACTGTTTCTTCCCTTTTCCTCTGCCTCTTCCCATTTTTTTTTCTTTTTTTTTTTATTTCAAGATCAGCAATTTGAGTGAGAGAACAAAAACTCTGCATTAACCAAACAAGGGTATATGAATTAAGAGAGCAACCAATCAATCTAAAGTTTCTCCTTTTCTTTTTTAATTACAGATGATTAAACCAATTAAAGAAAACCTAAAAAACTACATAAATCTAAAAGTTGTATATTCTTATCCACTGATGAATATACATACAAGACACAACTGCTAACCAGATTTCAAGATTTAGTATACATCCAATACAAACTACCAACTGCAAATCCAGTTCATGTAGAACATAACTGATAACCTTACAACCAAAAAAAAAAAAAGTTTCATTTTTAAAACTAAAGGAGAAAAAAAATAGCCCCAAACAATTAATTATAAACATGGGATTACAACAAAACAGACAATAAAAAAACTATGATTAAATATTACTGCAAGAGAAAGAGAGTTACTTACCAGATGAAGAAGCTGCCTTCATAAAAAGACAAGAGCCATTCGCATCCTAAAAAATCAAAAGTAATGATTTTTAAACAAAAAAAAGAACTCCACCAATCAGAAAGCAAAGAAGAATCAGTAATCAGATGAGATTTGTGGCTGCATGAATAGTTTTCAGTAGTAACGGATAAGAAAAAGGTGGAGTCTTGGTAAACTATAAGCGACGAACAGAGACAAATTTAATCTGAAAAAATAAAAAAGAATGAAAGCCCAGATCAAATAAACAACAGGAAATTGATTATAGATTCAGAAAAATGGAGTCAGATTTGAAGTGATGTTAATTTTTTTCCCCCATTTGCAAAGGTTGAAGAAAGAAACTAAGGCAATAAGCTGAGGGAGGCAAATAGAGTACTGAAGGAGAGAATAAAAAAGTGAAGAAAGATGTGATGTAGTTATGTTTCAAGTGGTGAAAGGATTTTTTTTTTTTTTTTTTAATTTTTTTTTTTTTTTTTTGATGGAGTGTTTGGGGAATTAGGGTAAAGTAATAATGAAGGTATTGAAAATAAAAACAGTAGAAATGTTTTATTAGGTTATAATTAAAAATTTAAAACAAATGTAAATTTTGTAGGCCAGTCTTCGTAGGCCTATTCTGTACCACACCTTGCTACCTTAGATACAGTTAGATTGGTTCAGTCTCAGTTTTCACTTGGATTTACTGGAAATAGGAACCGAATTTTTAATTTTATTCGATTTTTTTAATTGAAAATGAAATAAATTTGATATTCCAATTTTTTATCGGCCAAAAATTGATAATTTTCTGAAAATTAAAGTTATAGTATCGGTTATTATGTAAATTATATTATAGGTAAATAAAAAAATGGAATCTCCGAATTTCTCCAGTTCCAATCCGAAAATTGCCGATTTAGATAAAAGCGTTTTCGTTTCCAATTTTTAGTTTTCCATTCACCTGTGACCAGACAGTCGTATATTCCTTGCTTGTAAGTTGAATTGTCAAACCTAAAAACAGGGCATTTTGCTTCAATAATATATATAAATTAAACTTTTAAATCGTGAAATGACATAAAAGACCCTAGGGCTTTGTTGGGTAGGTCTCAAATCTTTTCTTCTGGAAATGGGACCACACGTTAACCAGCTGGGCTCCACAACTCATGTTTTTATTACATGTTTAATGATTGCATTGAGCTGAAATCTTGATAATTGGGCTGAAATCAAGAAATAGCCCATTTTCATTTTAGGCTTTCAAGAAAGCCCAATTAACATAAGCAAATAATGGAAACATATCCACGTTGGTGTGTGTAAAGAAACGGTAGATCGTTACTCGGTGTAAACTTCACCGAAAACACAGAAGAGAGCAGCAAAGAAAGCAAAGAACTCGCAACGAATTCTTGAATAATGACTCTATAACAATCCGGTTTCCATTCTTCAACCTTGTTGTACAATACGTATGCACATTTTTACTCGGCCCGTAAAAAAAAAGATGTACATTTAGTTCAGAACAAGATAGTGATGATGCCGTAACTTCAATGTATCAGTAAGAATTGTCAGAAACACGAACAAAACTGTATATATAGCTGAGAGACGATTAGTAATAATCAAAGGAAGTATCACTGTTCAAATTTGATGAATACCGAGGTAATTTTCATTTGAGCCGTACCTAATCCAGCAAGCTCTTCTGGTAGATGAAAATACGAGTTTTCAATCTGATTTGCGACGCATCGCGTTTTTGTCATCAATAAGGTCACCACAGCCTTCGACAAATCCCTGCCACGGGATTGATGAAATACTCAGCACATTTAAAATATGACATCATCATTAACTTATGTGATGCATCTCGATTTAGTGCTTCTTAGTAGCAACTATAATACAAAATCAACATCGACTATATAACTAAGACACAAACATAAACCAATGTGTAACTAACCGAAAAAATCAAACTATTTACAAACGTATATGTATAATCGAAATTCATTTACCTGGTTTCATAATCCAGCGTATGTTTGCTGCACTCCGAAAAAAGGGAAGGAGCTCTTGCAAAGGACAACACTTCTTTTGCAGAAGACTTCTCAAAACCGATTACCTTTTTTTTTTTTTTTACTCGGCAGAGTATATTTGCTTCTTCAACCTCTCCCAAAACTCAGGCCCTTTCGGATGAGAATTAACCCAACTCCTCAGAAATATTTCCTCCGAGCACGACAAGAGAGTGCTCAAGGTCAACTTTGGATGCACCACTCTTTCATCTTTGAGCCATTTATAAGTCAAAAGTCTAAGCTTCACTCTCTCGCTCGTGTAAGAAACAAGTGCTGGATGAGTGACCAAATCGGACAGTGAGTACCCCAAATCTCCGACAAAACAACCAATTTTTGTTTCGATAACATCCTTTGACTGGTTAAGAATTTGCGGTGCTACTTTCAGCATCTCCACAACTTCCTCTCGACTCAAACCGAGTTTCACTAAACAATCGAATCTCTCTTGGAGTTCCTCTCCCTTCCCACGAAACACTTTAAGTGCCCTTTCCATTTCCTTCGAATCCTCCACAAACCCTAGGCTTATTAGAAACTTGATTTTCATCATTCGAACATTGAGAATCCTGTTTGGGTCTTGTAACCGATCAACTCTCACTCCAAGAACCCATTTCTTTAAAACGTACGGGTCTTCTTTGATCATTTGACAGAGGCGGTTCATTCCACAGTTCAAAATACCCAACAAGCTCGTAACTTTTTTGAGTTCACACGAACCCAATAGCAGTGGGTACAATCTACATATTCTACCAATTTCTTTGACGGGCATTTTTATTTCGTCCAGAAATTTATAGCAGTGACATAAATTATAGGTGAATTTCACAACCGACATACGTGGAAACTGAAGAAACACGGATTGTACAATATTGGGCGTGGATCCGAATTTCAACAAAAACCCCACTAAGCAAAAGGTGATTCGTCCAGAGCACTCGAGTAAAAGGTCTGGATGCTGTTTAATTACTTCGCCTAAAATCTCCCCCTTCAATCCCATTTCACCTAATAAAGAGATGAGCTCAAGCACACATTTCCAATTACAAGAATCCCGTTCCGATATATTCTCCTCAAGCCAATCGTAATCAATCCCTATACTTTTTAACTTCTCTAAGAACTCGAGAAATTCCTTATTAGCATCTCCACGTAAAAGATACGGACTCGAAGCAACAATCTTGACAACAAGAGACTGCTTCAACCCCAAACTCTGTAAAGACAGAAGCTTTTCTTGCATAATCCCATAATCGTACCTAAAAACCTCGTTCGCTTCCTTATAAATCCTCCCTATCCTATTCCTAGGAACTCCGTAATTACACAAAACATAATAGTTCCGCAATAACAACTGATCATCGTTTAGAAACATTAAATTGCGAGGAAGAAACGAAGCGTACTGAGACGGCTCCAAACCAATGCTCTCGAAGAAAGGCTCAAATTCGTTAATGGGATGGTACCTCAAGAACCGAGTCAACGATCTGCTGACATCACCATCGTCGATATCCACCTTGGTCAACAACCTGTCGAAAAACTCCGGCGTGTTTTTGCTCATGTTTTCGGCATCCATAAACTGGAGGCTTCTGGTGGAATGTAGATACTCCAACAAAGCAGCCTGAGCTTCTCTTCTTACTACACGAGACTTCTTTGCAAGTTCGGAAAGATTCGCACGATTAACAGCCCTTTCTGTTCTACAAAACCTAAGTATTCGAAAAATGTGGCCCGGCCCGTTTAAGGAAAGGTGGGAGTTCGATGAATTAAGGTTGTTTTCTGCGCGTAATAGAGAGAGAAATTTGAGGAGAGAAGGGTTTCTGAGTCTGTGTAAAACGTTCATGGAGATACTATTTTTCTCGGATATGTGGAGTATATATTCCAAAGGGTACGGAAAGAATCGCGGACTGAAAATAGATTAAATTTGAACACTGTGACAGAGAAATTCTCACCTTGAAGGGGATTTGTTGCAGGGTTTTGGTTGAACAAGAATTGGAAAAGAATGGCGCTGCTGCACATTTCCCCCCCCTTGTTCAAGGTTGAAGAGGAACTACCAGGGGCAAATTTGACTTTTTACGCATCTGCAATTTTGTAAAAGATTCATAGATAAATAACTCATTTTTATTAGATTATCGCTGTAAAAAATAAAAAATAAAAAATAAAAAATAAAAAATAAAAGTGAGTTGGCTCATGGCTGTATATGTTGCCCCTTGGCTTTGATTTTTGTAAAGTTAACATGAACCATTAGTCTCATTATCTCATCATTATTCAACAATTTAGTAATTTACTATCCCTATTTTTTTTCATATTAGAAATTTAGAAAATTGGTTTTTCTCTTTATGTTAATTTTCTTTTTTTACATTACTTGGTAAAAACACCACAGCAAATCTCACACACGACACGAGGTGTAAATCACATCAAGCAAACAATTTACGACGAATTCGATCTAATGTTTGTTGACAATAATCAAACTCGGATCATTAGAAGATGTAATCTCATTACACCACCAATTAAACCACCCATCGTTTTATTGAGTTTTTGATTTAGCATTACTCGCATGCATGTATAGCTCAACTGGTTCCGAGTAGTATGTTGGTGCAAGTTTTGATTTAGGATTTGGATGCGCCAAATTAATTTGGAAAGTGTTGCAAACACCACCTAACTTGATAATTCTTCATCACATCCACCTTCGTGTGTGTGTGTGTGTGTGTGTGTGTGGGTGGAGGGGGGGGGGGGGGGGGGGGTACCCTTTCCCCCCAAAATTAAAAAATTTCCAAAAAAAATTAAAAAACCTAAAACTTAAAAAAACCATTTACAAAAACCCTCCAAAAATAATTTAACCAACCCAATTAACCCAATCCCCACTGCCCCAAAAAAATCCCCTCCCAAAATTTAATTTAAGTGGCTATTTCTTTTGCCTTTGGTAAAGGTATCCCCCCAAAAACCAATGCTTAAGTGGCCGAAAAACCTTCCCAAAAACCTACCGGGGAAAAAAAAATTTCCACCTAACCCAATAATTAAAAACCTCCTCTTCTTGAATTTCCTACAAACCCATTTTAAATTCCCCACCCCCCCTATTTTTTGTATAACTATATCCCAAAAGGTTTCCCATTCCCCCCCCCCCTTTTTTAAATCCCCCCCCCCTATTTACTGGCCCCCGTGAATTCCCCACTTTTCCCTTTTGATTATCAACAAACTTCCCCCCCCCATTTCTTCCCCCCCATTTTCCCCAAAAAGAAACCATTTTTAAATTTCCTTCCCATAAAAAACCCCCCCATCCCCACCTTTTTTTCCAAAAAAGGAATGTGTTTACTTACCCCCAACATCTTTTTAAGGGCCTCTAAAACCCTTTTTTCTCCCCCCACAATCCTGTAAATAACAAAACCCAAACCCCT